CCACCAATTTTGAAAGCAGCAATTGTTAAGAAAAATTGGTCATTTATTTCTTTTTTTTAGGACACAAAACCGAGAGCGTACTTTTTGGAATTTATAATCCTTTGCTATTTCACCCTTTCTCAATTTCTCATGAAATATAATATTTTGTTCCTATCTCAGTGCTTTTCGTTTTCTTTCCATGATTAAGAATAAACAAGATTTTCTATGTTCCCTTGCTTTTATATTGAATATCTTCTATTATATTTAAAGGGTGACTTTTAAGATATAGATTTCAATCAAGCGTACTTTGTAGTTTTCAATGGATTAGCAGGAATAGCATGCATGATCATGTTTAATACCTATTATAAATGACCATAATTATTTTACTCGAGAAAAGAAATAATAGAATAAAAGGAATAAACGTTTTTCTAGGTGACAAGAACTCATGCTAAAAATGTCCTAAAAAAAATCGTACTGCTATACAAATTCATTTTCACAGATACAACAATAAACAGTACATTCGGTTGAGTTTTAATCTGTGCCAATGAAATTGAATGTTGAAAATGCAGTATCTATTTACGGATAGCCGATATTTTGGAGTTGTAATAAAGTGTAATTTTCTGTGCTTTCAACTAAATTGGGGCTAAGAAATGAGTTCCTTATAAGCGAAAAGTTCGCTATAACCGTATATCTTTCTATTAAAATTTTTATATCTGTGATGTGGGAGTAAAATATAAGATGTTTGGCTTAAAATGATTATTTTGTTGGAAGTAAAGAATCTACCTCTAATGTCACTGGCTCTATATCCATACCTCTTCTATGAATCAATGATGGTAACTCACTTCTAAATTCTCGCATGTCAACAATTACCTGTTATATAAAATTGTTAGTTTTCAATTAACACACAAGTAGTTAATAATTCTATGTTACTTTCAATCTCCATAAGACAATTACTCTGTTAGTATTTTAATTTCAAAATTTGATATTTATAACCATACCTAGGCTTATTGATGAATATTTAAAATATTAAAACCTTGTTTTGTGAAGGATTTAGATTGAGTTGTCCCCCTTTCCTGGTATTTGATGTAGCACCAGCTGGAGCTATACCTCTTTCTAAATTTAGATCATTTTCCATTTTGCCATCTCTTTCCTCTGGTATAACCATTGTCTATAAGTAAAGATTAAAACACTTGACTAATGCCAATTTACTGTCAACATAAAATATGTAAACTTACTAAAGATAACCCCCCTGCTAGAAATTTGACTTTCTCAAATCTCTTTTTAAAATCTCAGTATCAACAGAAGCAAGTGTTTGTACAAAAATTTACTCCTTCATATAAAACTCTTAATTTCCTTAAAAGCCAGATAAACTTAAGATATACTTCTGTTGCAAAATAAAATAGCAATATTTTGTTTTCAATAAAATTTTATATTTAAAATAGCTCTGAAAAAATGTATTATTTACCGCCTTTTCTTTGATGAGAAATTCAAAAGCTTCTTTTTCTTTTCTAAGAGTAGTGAGGTATCTCTGTTCCTCCACAGATCCTGTATACATGAGGAAATAAACTCGTAGTGGACTTCCAGGTGTGCTGGCTCTATACACCTGTAATAACATCAAGTTTACTTTAACCTATAATAACTTGCTGAATTTCTGTATTGCATTTGCCCTGCTTTGATTTTGGAACAGTCTATTCAAAGTTTTAGGGAGTTCAATATCAAAATGTAAAACTATATCTACCAGCAACATATAGAATGTGCAGGCTGGTCTAGGTTTATTCTGGTCAGGTAACAAAGGATCATCATTTTAAGTTCCAGTAAGTTAAGGGTTAAACTCAGCTTTGTTTAATTTACAGGACCAACATAAAAAACTCAATAGAGAGATGTTAAGAATACATATCATCAGATTTACAAGTGTCTCTAACAGAAATTTACATGAAAACAAGACAACCTGTCCCATTCACACCCATTTGAAAAGTTTCATTTGATTTATGTAGAGAAGTTTGAAAAAGTAAAACATGTGCAGTGCTATAACATAAACCTCGAGCACAAAACACATAAATGGTCACAAAGTGACAAACCTCACACAAATAACCATTAGACAGATGAGAGTAAAGTAGTCCCCAACATTTCTTTAAGACATTCAAAAGAAAATTACACCACATACAATGAAAGTTATTTCTGAGATATCTGACTGATAAACCTACCTCAATTTGTCTCACAAACTCCATATCTGGATCATACAACACGATGTATGTTGGCTGGACTTCATTCAGTGTTCGGACAAGACTGTATGGATCAGAGCAGCCATGTAATGGGTGTAGAATAGTAATTGGGTCAGGAAGCACCCCATAGTAAACATCTCCTGACTGACCACTAGTGTCCTGTGAAAAAATATGAAATTTAGATATTTGTAAAGTTTTATATCCATTTCTCATTAAGAAAACAGCTAATGTATTTCAAAGGTCATAATACATTCACAAATACACAAATGTGTTCTTTATAAAATAAATATCTTTTGATTCCATTATGAAAGTACATGTTCATGTTAAGTTTTTTTGTGTTTTTTTTTTTCATATTAAATAGTTTCTGATGTTGTGAATGTAACTTGCATGACATGTCATATTTTTTTCTTATCACATAAACCGAGGGGCAGGAGTGTAATAAAGCCATTTAATAAAAACAATATTACACTAGTGTAATTACACTTTGACATGAAGTCATTTGCATTATACATGTAAACATGCACTTATGTTGGCATTACACTTAAATTTTAGGCATGTCAATGAAAAATCACTCTTTCTTAACTGTCAACCATTCTTATTTTGGATATGTGATAAATAGAATATTATATTTGTGTTAATTCTTAAGATATTAACTTGTTAAATAAAACAATATTATGCCAGAGGCTCACATAATATTTGTTCAAGAAATATAGTATTAAATCATTCAATATCCTCTATATATCCTTCATTATTTCTGTATAAACAGGGACATATGTACCTTCGTATCACCATTTTCAGCAGGTTTTCCAACCATCTGTGTTATTGTTACATCATCGTCTTCTTTGTTTATCTTTTGTTTCTTTCTTTTTCCAACAGGCTTTTTCTGGAGAGAAAATAAAAAAACTCTCTACTGAAACTCTAGTACAAAAATCTAACCGCAATTTCAGTTATTCTACATTTGTGATCATATACTAATAACAACAATTAAAAGGAAAAAGAAATCAAAAAGACACACACATAGGGAAAAGTGTGTAAAATAAATTGACAATTAATAAATATAGCAGCCATTCTCCTATAATTGAAGCATTTTTTAATAATTCCTGTCTCCTCTTTTAAAATCGTAGTAAAATGTACAGACGAGCTTTAACGTTTGTGACAAACATTTAAATAAGTACACTGGGATGTTCTCAGCAGCTTAACTTAAATTTTGTAGCGTGGATGCTCCTCATTTTTCATTTGGGTTAAACTGTAAAGCAATAGTAACTGCAAAAAAAAAAGCTTGACCAATTAAAGTTTAAGATTGATGAAAAAAATAATCCATTTCCATGTTTTCCAACAAGTTTTGCCTAAAATCAATACAGTTTTGATAATTGATTCAGAATTACATAAGAAGTTCAAGAAAGAGACCCTTATTTTCCATGATTTTTTTTTTAAATGCTGCCGTCTCCGAAATGCAACTATGGTACCGTAACAATTTTAAACTGGAATGTAACAATCTTGAGATGTGTTACATTCTTTTAAATTTGTACTCAAAACAATATCAAAAGACTATATTTGGAATAAAATTGATAAATTAGACTCCTGCGATGAAACATTTTTAATTCAAACCGCTTTATTGTAAGTAATTCAAATGTCGCGTTTAAAATTCTATGCCTCTGTAAGGGGCGTATACTTTTAAATATACATTATACCAATCAAATAAAAATTTTGAAATATTGTTTTGTATTTCTTTAAATGAAAAAGACCAAAATGAGATGTCATTTGCACAAAAATGTGATAACTGTGACCTGTAGAAGTCTAATTTCACTATGTTTCCATAACGACTATTTTCAGTAACAAAACGATCATCCGAATTTCGGTACAGTATAAGGTTCAATTGACGGTGTGACATTTTTGCCTATCACTGCTCCCAATGATACGTCACTAAGAGGTATGCATGCAACATCTTAAATGACTTTTATGATACAATTGGGCAACTGGAGGTAATTGGCAATCACTGTACTTTATTTTGGCAACCACTGTTCTTGATTTGATAACAATATTTTCACTATTATGTTACTTACATGAGGAGTTTTACTGATAAAAATCGATTGCAAGCTTTATTTTCAGCAAACCTCATAGTCAAAAAGTAGCAAGTTTGAGGCTATATTTTTTTTTACCTGTTTAAACATTTGTTAGGAACATAGTTAATTATTTTTGAGATTCATAAATCTGATGTCATATATGTACTTTTTCCATATTTAACAATTTGAAATGAATGATTGGTTTCAAACATGGAACACATATTTCGATGAAAAAGAAGTGCACAGTTTATTAAATAGTGCTCGAGGGCAATTTTGTTACGGAAGCATAGTCTTCTATCGAACTTTTTTTCAGCACCATAATACTTATATTCAGTTTTGTTTATAAAAACTGTTCCAGTGAGTTTTTTCATTATAAAGATATATGAAAATGGGTGTCCAATATTAACTGGAAGTCTAACATGATTTGTATTGTGTTGTAAGGTTGCAAGCTTTCTGTTAGGGAACATAATTCAAATTTGTTACGGAACATAGCATTCATAAATGCTATGCTTTAATTTTTATCTATTTATAAAATACCAAAATTGTATCATTATGTCACTTACATTATCTAAAAGTTTTAGATTTTACAATTATCATGGAAAAGTAATATTAATAATGATATAAATATAATGATAAAAATGATGATTATTATGATAATTGTTATATTAATAATAATCATGATAAAAATAATAATTTTAATGATGTTCATGTATCAAGGTTAATAAATTTATAATATGCAACGATTTTCTATTTTAGAATGGTGCTTTTAAATGCAGAAATACAAAAGACAAAAGCAGAGAGAGGAAAACAACAAATCATTTAAAAGAGAATGAAGCAGAAAAGTATGTTCCCACTCAAAAAAGAACAAGGGTGCCATAGTCACAAAATACGCCCGTTTACGAAAGCTTTAGATGGAGATGGGGGCATTATGGATAAGTGTTATCTAGCAAGCAAGTTTTTATCCTTGGCACTGTGTTGTTAAATGAACCTTAAAAAAAAAATCAGTAGGGAAGATAAAAAGTACATGTAATTGTTAATTTAATAACTAAAAAATTCTGATTTAAGATTTTATTCTAGGGAAATACATTTCATTTACAAATTCCTTAATCTTTGAATGAGCCTGAACTGATATTTACTTGAAAATTAAAAATATAATTAAAATTTCTATGGGAAAGTATTTACATTTGATAAGTAATTACTGTATGATCTTTATGAAACAAATACCAAGTCTACAGAACACCATAGTTATCACAGTTAAGAATCTTGACCAATGAATGAAACATGTGTAAATAAATGTTACATTCTTTAGAACATACTTCCAAGAAAGAGGATTATTTTAATTAAATTCTATTTTTAGAATTGAAAGTGAAAGTAGATCAAGGGGGAGTAATTGTGTAAGTCATTTATGAACAAAGTAATAACTTTGTTGTCGCCCTTTGATTAAATTCTATTTACAAAATCTGGATATTTCATCATCTTTAGTGACCTTGACCTTGTATATATTGACCTAAATTATATGTATCACAGCCATAGTCTTGATAATGACCATTTGTGTTACAATCCCTCAATAAATGATGACTAAATGGTCCATATACACATCTTCATATTTTTATCTGAACTTTGACCTCTATGTGTGACCTTGACCTTGGCCCGCAAGGACCTGAATCTTACACGCGACACTCCGCCTCACAATGGTGAACATTTGTGCCAAGTAATATTGAAATCCCTCAATACATGTGGAAGTTTTTGCTCCGGACAAAGCATTTTTCAATGACCTTTAAGTGTGACCTTGACCTTTGACCTAGAGACCTGGTTCATGTGCGCGACACTGCTCCTCATAGTGGTGAACATTTCTATGAAGTTTCATTAAAATCCCTCCATACATGTAGTAGATATGCTCCGGACAAAATTGGACGCCGCCCGCCCGCCAGGGGCGTTCCCATAATACGTCCCGTTTTTCAAACGGGCGTATAAAAAGCACTGGTGAAGAAAACGTAGAGAGAACTACATGAAACATTATAACAATACAACAAATTTGTGTAAATTAGGCAGAAATAAAGGAAATGAAAGTGAAAAAAAAAAAGAATTCTTGTTCATTTTTAGTGAAAAACATAATATTTTATTTTCCATAACATATGTTCTGTAACAGATATCTTTTCCTGCACTACTCACTAAATTAAACTGTTGATGTGATTTTTAATTGATACAGTGTTTTATGATTGATGTTGTTTTTGAAGATAACACATTTACATTGTTTAAGTAATTTTAAAGAGTGAAAATATTGAGTTATAAATCGTATGTTTTTGAATTATTCACCTATGTTCCGTAACAGATCATAAGAACTGTTTGATGAACATTTGTGCAGCGAAGTTTGTTTGGTAACGTTACACCGATTAAAAGTTATGCTTTATTTGTTTTCTGCTTCTATTTTAGATATAATTCGATAACTTTTATGACAGTATTTGTTTGTGCATTGTATTGAAACAATATCAATCTTAAGTTACGAAAATATTTGCTTATACAAGGTTTTCAAATACGAAGTATACAAGTTTCAGAATAATATATGTTCCGTAACAATGTAATTCAGTAACTAACTTAAAAAGCTTTCAGTATACAAACAGAGCGATTGGTGGGTGTTAAACTACCACACAATCTGTCCAAGGTATTGAACATTAAAAGCAAATCATAGAAAACGTTGTTTATTAAAGTCAGATTTTTCATTTTTTGTGAACCAAAAGTGCTTCAATTCTGGGAGAATGGCTGATAGACCAATTAAAAAGATAGACAATATAACACATTGAAAATAATACTCATCAAAATGCTTGATGTAGAAGATTAACAAGGTATACACCAAATAAAACATTTGTTAGGAAGATGTGTAATGAACAGACTAGTATATTACCTTGACTTCTGGAATGTACTCTCCCTTTGTTGCTACAGACTTGTTAAATAACCTTGCTAACAGACTTTCACTTCCATCACATAGAAACTGTGCAAAAATATACATTCATTTATATTATTATATATAGCTTTTTATAACATGTAAGAATTTCAGTTTAAGAGCGATTAAAGTTACTGAAGAATTATATAACTTATATAATAATAAGTAATACTGAATCTTTATATAAGAAGCTTATCAGCTATCTTGTTGACATCTAGTCATTAGTTAGTTGACACAAACAGTGTAGGTCAATTGAGGCCTTCCTCTGACACTAAAAGCTAGAAATTTAGCATCAGACCTTAAAACCTATCAAAACAAATGACAATTCCTATTTTCAATTAAACTAGAAATGTGTCCATAGGACATGGGTGCCCCCACCGCGCCACTGTTCTGTCAATCTTTTTACAAAGTCAAGGGAAATAACTTTACAAATACTGGATAAATCCACAAACGAAACCCCAGGTGCAAATCTAAATATGCTGAGCAACCTGCCCATAAGGTTTAATGACTATGTCAAATCCTTTTTGAGTAACTTGCGACACAAGTTGAAAATTGCAAAAAAATTTTAAGTCAAGGGCAATAACTCTGAAAATACTAAATAAATCCAGACGAAAATACCTGGTGCACAACTGCACATGCTGATCAATATTCCTGTAAAGTTACATGACTCTTGGTCAAATACTTTTTGAGTTACGTGCGACACATGTTGAAAATTGCAAAATTTTACTAAGTCAAGGGCAATAACTCTGAAAATACTAAAAATATCCAGACGAAAATACCCAGGTGCACAACTACACATGCTGATCAACATTCCTGTAAAGTTTCATGACTCTAGGTCAAATACTTTTTGAGTTACGTGCGACACAAGTTGAAAATTGCAAAATTTTACTAAGTCAAGGGCAATAACTCTGAAAATACCAAATATATCCACACAAAAATACCCAGGTGCACAACTACACATGCTGATCAATATTCCTGTAAAGTTTCATGACTCTAGGTCAAATACTTTTCGAGTTACGTGCGACACAAGTTGAAAATTGCAAATTTTTACTAAGTCAAGGGCAATAACTCTGAAAATAATAAAAATATCCAGACGAAAATACCCAGGTGCACAACAACACAAGCTGATCAACATTCCTGTAAAGTTTCATGACTCTAGGTCAAATACTTTTTGAGTTACATGCGACACAAGTTGAAAATTGCAAAATTTTACTAAGTCAAGGGCAATAACTCTGAAAATACTAAAAATATCCAGACGAAAATACCCAGGTGCACAACTACACATGCTGATCAACATTCCTGTAAAGTTTCATGACTCTAGGTCAAATACTTTTTGAGTTACATGCGACACAAAAGTGAACGGACGGATAGACGGACAGACAGACGGACAAGGGTAAATCTAAATGCCCGCCACTAACGTGGGGGCACAAAAAAGGTTATGAGAAAAGATGGACCGATTTTAAATTCATGTTTTTGTTTTGTTTTTATTGAGTTTTACGTCACACTGACACAGTTTAGGTCATATGGTGACATTCCAGCTTTACTGGTGGAGGAAGACCTCAGGTGCCCTTCCGTGCAATATTTCAGGCACAAATGGGCACCCGAGTAGAACCACTGACGTTCCGTAAGCTAGCTGGATAGCTTCCTCACTTAAAGAATTCAAGGTCCCTGACAGGATTCGAACCCACAGTGGTGAGGGGCAAATGGTTTGAAGTCAACGACCTTAACCACTCGGCCACGGACGCCCCCCTTAAAATCATGTATGAACGAAAAATCTATGGTATCATAATTAAAAAATCCCATGAAACCCCATAAGTTTTTATTTGATCAGGGTTTCATAAATCTGTTTTTGCTTAAAACTTAATAATGATAAAATAAATGAAGCAACGAAACTGATGTAATACCTCTTTTATTTGAGAACATGTTCTATCGTCTTCTGCAGCAATGAGGACCCGACCAGGTCCAATTTTCTCATCAGCCTTCTTGTTGTGTTCAGATATTTCTTCCATCACCTCTGCCAGGGCCTCCCATTTAGGACATGCTTCCAATGATGGTACATCTACAAAAATGAAATATTGGCACCTTCACTAAATAATGGAGTATAATAGGTAAGTGGACAAACAAGGAAACTGTTGCAGTATATTTTAAATGGAAAATATATAGCAATTTATACTTATTACAAATGGAAATAGAAAGGTGTGAAATACAAAATGATTTACCATTATTAGTATACCTTTTTCTTTTGTTTCCTTTTTCAACTTTTTTCTCTTATCTGGGTCCCCATAGACTCTGCTCTTTGCATGCTACAATAATAAAACAACTATTTTATTAGTCTTGTAACATATTGTTTTGTTTCAAAGTTTGATTATCTCTGTATAATATAGTTAAACTTAGACTTCACACTATTAACAAAAATAACAAAAAATGGAAAAAGATGTGCACTTAACTATTCTATAAATACATTCTCTGACAGCTACATACATATTTATATCATACAGACATACAGATACAATGTATGTAAAACAAAAAAAGATATCAGTCAATGAGTGATATGAACAAAAAAAGATTTTGATGTAGGCAACTGGCCCATAACATATACATTGTATAGAATTTTTACACATCAAAAATACAATGTAATGTGAGAATGTGTAATTGTGACAGAACTACATTATTGTTTGCCTCAAAAACAAATTTAGGGACGACATAAAGTATTCTGGCAAGAGCACCAATATAAGCTTTCAAGTATGTGACGGTTTTTTTCAGTGAAATATACTTACAATAAATAAATTATCAGCTGATTCCAGGAACAGCCATCCTGTATTCTGTCCAAATGTTTTCTCACTTGTTCTAAATTAAAACAGCAAAGTCAAAATTAAAGGTAAGTATATATCAATTGAGATGATAAAAAAACATTAATGTAGAACAAAACAAACGTTAATTTGTAAAATGTAAACTAATAAATTCTATAATTTCAGAACATCAATTGTACAATTTGTGCAACATAAAACCGCATGTGGTCTGTTAAAAAGATCTTATTTAAAAATGGGCAAAACTCCAAAAATATTGCTTTCAGAATTATGCCCCTTGTCTTACAACTTCACTTTGTCATAATAAGCAAGTTTCTAAAGTTTTATGGGTTTTTCTTTTCTTTCCAAAATGACTAATTATTTTTAAGCAAAATGACTTATTATTTTTAAGCCCAATTCATATTTATTATTTGGAGATTTTTAGCCACTTTGTGTTTTATAGCAGTAAATGATGTAGTTTTACAATAATAAAAACGTAAGGAATCACCTGACAGAGTTCACCATGTTGTAGAAAGTCACACAGTCATATTGTGTTAAATGTCTGAAAAACAAAATACTCCTCTTCTTCAATATATATTGATAAACATGTATATAAATATGTCTGAAAAATGTAACCACTATTCATTGCATTTGTCAGTTGAAATATAATAATTTAGACATACATACATTAAGTTTGAGGCTTTCATTGACATTTTTTGGAATACAAAAATTGGGTTGAATAGTGTACAAGTTTTGTCAGACTTAATGGCCTCACCTGGCTTACCACTGTTGTTTTAGCCAAAAGGGGCTTCTATAGTCTTTACAATCCACAGCATGAAGCTTAAAACAACTAAATATATAGAGGATATTTGTTTGTTTTGCATGTAAGATTGAAATATATTTCACTGAGTGAACACCAGATGCAATATTTTCACGAGTGGCGTAGCCACGAGTGAAAATATAATAGCTGGTGTTCACAAATGAAATATATTTCAATTTTATCTGTAAAACAAATAAATTTTCTTTTTATTTCATGCTTTTTAAGTGATTTTAAGTATTTTTTACTGATTTTGCCGCGTAATGTGGCGCATTCTCCTTTATGACGTCATAACATTATGACATCATCATTTTTGAAATATAGTTCTGTTAAATCTCTCTAATTTTGTTACATTTTTAACATGATCAATGATGACATCGACTTTCTATTCTTAAAGAAGGAACATCTACGTATGACAGCATTTATTTTTGCCTGTTATACCATTTAGTTATGATATTCTTTTCATCCACATTCAGATATAGTCCAGCTACAGTGAAAATTATATTTTATAAATTTCACCAGTGGTTTATCAGAATATAATCATCTGATATATTACAGTAAAACACTGGAAAGCATGAAATAATGTTTAATATTGGCACTTATTCACTATATTATTCTGTTTGTTTTGTGGGGTGTAAGGTCAGTGACGTTGCAAACATCCTATAGCTTTACTCAGATGCCCCTTCTGGCATTATGTGACTGACCTTTCATAAGCTTGATGGAAAGTTTCCTTACATAAAAGAATTTCAATACCTTGACTGAATTTGAACCAACATCAGTGATGGGCAAGTGCTTTGAAGCTAGTGACCTTAACTGAGGCCCCATTCAGGATATTAAAGGAGAAAAATTAGATTTCAAATGTACCTGAGTATAAGCCTGAGTGTTTTGATATCTGAGACAAGTTGTTTAGTTTTTGGTCCAAGTTGATGCCAGACAGGATCAAGTTGTAGTCGTATCATCTGATCAAATGATTTTGATATAGCATTCTCTACAGTAATCTCCTCAGAATCTATCTATTGAAATATAAACAAGAAATTTATTCTATATATGAATGATACAACATAACTTACTTAATCATCATTGTCTGAATCTTAATTACTTTCAGTAAAAGATAACTTGTAAGATGTTGAAGCAAGAATAGTGTATGTCTGATTTCCTTGCAAGTAGCAATATTTCTTAACAATCATTAACTTTATAGAATATGAAATAGCAAAAATAAGCAATTTCTTTCTCAATGTAACAAAACAGGCTTACCAGCTCATCAGATATTGAACTTGCTACATTTACTGTGCATATTATAGACACATAACGCAAGAATGAAAAAAATCCAAATTCTTCTTCCTCATCAAAAGATAATTGGTATTCATCACCATACATACAACGTGTTATATTGTACAAATGTGATATGAAAGTTTTAATTCGAGGAGGTATTTAGCTAAAGGGGTTATTTATCTATTGCTTGTATTTGGCTGGTAAAATCCACTCATGTCAAATACAATTTCAAGTTTCCCTTATAATAACCCTATTGTATTGTACTGATGATATAATAAACATATCTATAACAATATGTATAAGTTTATATCTTACTGCAGTGTTACATCTCTTCAGTTCTTTAATGCAAGCATTGAGTAGATCAAGTAGAGCAGCCTGGCATGCCACCATATTATCTGTCAACTGTACATGTATCTCTACAACATCTACCTGCATTATAATACATGGTATATACAGAACTACTGTACATGTATCTCTACAACATCTACCTGCATTATAATACATGGTATATACAGAACAACTGTACATGTATCTCTACAACATCTACCTGCATTATAATACATGGTATATACAGAACTACTGTACATGTATCTCTACAACATCTACCTGCATTATAATACATGGTATATACAGAACTACTGTACATGTATCTCTACAACATCTACCTGCATTATAATACATGGTATATACAGAACAACTGTACATGTATCTCTACAACATCTACCTACATTATAATACAGGGTATATACACAACTACTGTACATGTATCTCTACAACATCTACCTGCATTATAATACATGGTATATACACAACTACTGTACATGTATCTCTACAACATCTACCTGCATTATAATACATGGTATATATAGACCTACAGTACATGTATCTCTACAACATCTACCTGCATTATAATACATGGTATATACAGAACAACTGTACACGTATCTCTACAACATCTACCTGCATTATAATACATGGTATATACAGAACAACTGTACACGTATCTCTACAACATCTACCTGCATTATAATACATGGTATATTACAGAACTACAGTACATGTATCTCTACAACATCTACCTGCATTATAATACAGGGGTATATACAGAACTACAGTACATGTATCTCTACAACATCTACCTGCATTATAATACATGGTATATACAGAACTACAGTACATGTATCTCTACAACATCTACCTGCATTATAATACATGGTATATACAGAACTACAGTACATGTATCTCTACAACATCTACCTGCATTATAATACATGGTATATACAGAACTACAGTACATGTATCTCTACAACATCTACCTGCATTATAATACATGGTATATACAGAACAACTGTACATGTATCTCTACAACATCTACCTGCATTTATAATACATGGTATATACAGACTACTACAGTACATGTATCTCTACAACATCTACCTGCATTATAATACATGGTATATACAGAACAACTGTACATGTATCTCTACAACATCTACCTGCATTATAATACATGGCATATACAGAACTACAGTACATGTATCTCTACAACATCTACCTGCATTATAATACATGGTATATACAGAACTACAGTACATGTATCTCTACAACATTCTACCTGCATTATAATACATGGTATATACAGAACTACAGTACATGTATCTCTACAACATCTACCTGCATTACAATACATGGTATATACAGAACTACAGTACATGTATCTCTACAACATCTACCTGCATTACAATACAGGGTATATACAGAACTACAGTACATGTATCTCTACAACATCTACCTGCATTATAATACATGGTATATACAGAACTACTGTACATGTATCTCTACAACATCTACCTGCATTATAATACATGGTATATACAGAACTACAGTACATGTATCTCTACAACATCTACCTGCATTATAATACATGGTATATACAGAACAACTGTACACGTATCTCTACAACATCTACCTGCATTATAATACAGGGGTATATACAGAACTACAGTACATGTATCTCTACAACATCTACCTGCATTATAATACATGGTATATACAGAACTACAGTACATGTATCTCTACAACATCTACCTGCATTATAATACATGGTATATACAGAACTACAGTACATGTATCTCTACAACATCTACCTGCATTACAATACATGGTATATACAGAACTACAGTACATGTATCTCTACAACATCTACCTGCATTATAATACAGGGTATATACAGAACTACAGTACATGTATCTCTACAACATCTACCTGCATTATAATACATGGTATATACAGAACTACTGTACATGTATCTCTACAACATCTACCTGCATTATAATACATGGTATATACAGAACTACAGTACATGTATCTCTACAACATCTACCTGCATTATAATACATGGTATATACAGAACAACTGTACACGTATCTCTACAACATCTACCTGCATTATAATACAGGGTATATACAGAACTACAGTACATGTATCTCTACAACATCTACCTGCATTATAATACATGGTATATACAGAACTACAGTACATGTATCTCTACAACATCTACCTGCATTATAATACATGGTATATACAGAACAACTGTACATGTATCTCTACAACATCTACCTGCATTATAATACAGGGTATATACAGAACTACAGTACATGTATCTCTACAACATCTACCTGCATTATAATACATGGTATATACAGAACAACTGTACATGTATCTCTACAACATCTACCTGCATTATAATACATGGTATATACAGAACTACAGTACATGTATCTCTACAACATCTACCTGCATTATAATACATGGTATATACAGAACTACAGTACATGTATCTCTACAACATCTACCTGCATTATAATACATGGTATATACAGAACTACAGTACATGTATCTCTACAACATCTACCTGCATTACAATACATGGTATATACAGAACTACAGTACATGTATCTCTACAACATCTACCTGCATTATAATACAGGGTATATACAGAACTACAGTACATGTATCTCTACAACATCTACCTGCATTATAATACATGGTATATACAGAACTACTGTACATGTATCTCTACAACATCTACCTGCATTATAATACATGGTATATACAGAACTACAGTACATGTATCTCTACAACATCTACCTGCATTATAATACATGGTATATACAGAACAACTGTACACGTATCTCTACAACATCTACCTGCATTATAAAACATGGTATATACAGAACAACTGTACACGTATCTCTACAACATCTACCTGCATTATAATACATGGTATATACAGAACAACTGTACATGTATCTCTACAACATCTACCTGCATTATAATACATGGTATATACAGAAACTACAGTACATGTATCTCTACAACATCTACCTGCATTATAATACATGGTATATACAGAACAACTGTACATGTATCTCTACAGCATCTACCTGCATTATAATACATGGTATATACAGAACTACTGTACATGTATCTCTACAACATCTACCTGCATTATAATACATGGTATATACAGAACTACTGTACATGTATCTCTACAACATCTACCTGCATTATAATACATGGTATATACAGACCTACTGTACATGTATCTCTACAACATCTACCTGCATTATGATACATGGTTTATACAGACCTACTGTACATGTATCTCTACAACATCTACCTGCATTATAATACATGGTTTATACAGACCTACTGTACATGTATCTCTACAACATCTACCTGCATTATAATACAGGGTATATACAGAACTACTGTACATGTATCTCTACAACATCAACCTGCATTATAATACATGGTTTATACAGACCTACTGTACATGTATCTCTAAAACATCTACCTACATTATAATACAGGGTATATACACAACTACTGTACATGTATCTCTACAACATCTACCTGCATTATAATACATGGTATATACAGAACTACTGTACATGTATCTCTACAACATCTACCTGCATTATAATACATGGTTTATACAGAACTACAGTACATGTATCTCTACAACATCTGCCTGCATTATAATGCATGGTATATATAGACCTACATGTATCTCTACAACATCTACCTGCATTACAATACATGGTATATATAGACCTACTGTACATGTATCTCTACAACATCTACCTACATTATAATACATGGTATATACAGAACTACTGTACATGTATCTCTACAACATCTACCTGCATTATAATACATGGTATATACAGAACTACTGTACATGTATCTCTACAACATCTACCTGCATTATAATACATGGTATATACAGAACTACTGTACATGTATCTCTACAACATCTACCTGCATTATAATACATGGTATATACAGAACTACTGTACATGTATCTCTACAACATCTACCTGCATTATAATACATGGTATATACAGAACTACTGTACATGTATCTCTACAACATCTACCTACATTATAATACATGGTATATATAGACCTACTGTACATGTATCTCTACAACATCAACCTGCATTATAATACATGGTATATACAGAACAACTGTACATGTATCTCTACAACATCTACCTGCATTATAATACGAGATACATGTACAGTAGTTCTGTATATACCATGTATTATAATGCAGGTAGATGTTGTAGAGATACATGTACAGTAGTTCTGTATATACCATGTATTATAATGCAGGTAGATGTTGTGGAGATACAATACAGTAGTTCTGTATATACCATGTATAATAATGCAGGTTGATGTTGTAGAGATGCATGTACAGTTGTTCTGTATATACCATGTATTATAATGTAGGTAGATGTTGTAGAGATACATGTACAGTAGTTCTGTATATACCATGTATTATAATGCAGGTAGATGTTGTAGAGATACATGTACAGTAGGTCTGTATATACCATGTATTATAATGCAGGTAGATGTTGTAGAGATACATGTACAGTTGTTCTGTATATACCATGTATTATAATGCAGGTAGATGTTGTAGAGATACATGTACAGTAGGTCTGTATATACCATGTATTATAATGCAGGTAGATGTTGTAGAGATACATGTACAGTTGTTCTGTATATACCATGTATTATAATGCAGGTAGATGTTGTGGAGATACATGTACTGTAGTTCTGTATATACCATGTTTTATAATGCGGGTAGATGTTGTAGAGATACATGTTATGTAGGTCTGTATATACCCTGTATTATAATGCAGGTTGATGTTGTAGAGATACATGTACAGTAGTTCTGTATATACCATGTATTATAATGCAGGTAGATGTTGTAGAGATACATGTACAGTAGGTCTGTATATACCATGTATTATAATGCAGGTAGATGTTGTAGAGATACATGTACAGTAGTTCTGTATATACCATGTATTATAATGCAGGTAGATGTTGTAGAGATACATGTACAGTAGGTCTGTATATACCATGTATTATAATGCAGGTAGATGTTGTAGAGATACATGTACAGTAGTTCTGTATATACCATGTATTATAATGCAGGTAGATGTTGTAGAGATACATGTACAGTTGTTCTGTATATACCATGTATTATAATGCAGGTAGATGTTGTAGAGATACATGTACAGTAGTTCTGTATATACCATGTATTATAATGCAGGTAGATGTTGTACAGATACATGTACAGTAGTTCTGTATATACCATGTATTATAATGTAGGTAGATGTTGTAGAGATACATGTACAGTAGGTCTGTATATACCATCTCCACAACATCTACCTGCATTATAATACATGGTATATACAGAACTATTTTATTCTTTTCTTTTGTCTTCCAACTTTTAAGAACTTTCAGCAGTTAAAATAACCATTTAAAGTCATCATTGCGAAGTAACTGACAACCATTGTTGTGAAGTAATGATATCTGAATCAAGAGATATGCCAAAAAGAAAGAAATGCAAATATTAGTTAAATTTCTTATGTAAATTTACCAAATCATACACATAAATATACACAACAAAAACAGTTTCGCAATGTCATATCATTTACAGTGCGAGTGATATGGATTTTATTTCACATATAAAACTCAGTATTTCACTTGTTCATTTAAAATAAAATCAAATTTTCATGGCTAATGAGATATGAACTTGTACAAGAAGTTGCATGCAAAATTTCATCCAGTGTTAAGCCAAGTGCTGAGTGAATAAGATAGCCCAACTTTTCTTGAATTAACCTTTAAAAAATGGCTTAAATAACATATTGTTATGTAAAGTATTATGCATGTATTGATGTATGTATTCAAGTCGATAATTTACCTTGTGTTTCTCTAATGTTTCTTGTACATTGGCCTGAAATCTAGGCCACAGGAACAGTTTCCTGACAAATAAATTTTTCATTGTCCTCTCAACATGTGAAAAGCCAGTAGTAAATGCTGTTGGATTGTGGGAAAATGCTTTAATAAAACCCGTCTGAAATGTATGCAGATAAAAATTAAGAGTAAAAATATGATATGAAGAAAGATATACTCTTTATAGACCTAAATGCAAAAGCAAAAAGGAGGGAAATATCCCAATAAATCAATATCAAATGATCATTGCAGTCATCATGTAAGAGCAGCCTTTGCAATAAGTATCTGATCCAAATGTGTTTTGTTTGTTCGGGCCAATCAAGATTAAGCTTGAAAAATACAAATATATACACACTTTGCAAATATATCTTTAAAATTCACTTGAATGAATAAATTGTATGTTCCTACCTTATTTTTCTGCCTGTACAGTCTGAGAATAAAAGCCTCCTGACCTGATTCTACAATCCTTGAAAATAAATACACACAGCAGATATAAAATATATTATATAAGTCAATACAGTAATACCAGACAGTTGTAATTAGATTTTGTATTAAAATTGTACAAATACTATCTAATGAATGACTTTATGAAACCTAACCTTTTTCTACATAATCCAAACTTTAAACCATTCTAATCACTACCATGAAAGGTTTAATTAACATTGGTGTTATAGTTAATAATAAAGAAAATCGATATCTAAAAATGCATGTTTGAGACCACAGAAATATACATGTATTTCAATAAGGGAAGAGACCCATTCATTAAATTTGTCTGAAACTTATTTTAAATTAATCATTTATTTATTTTAGTTTGATTGTGTTGGAAGCTATAAGCTTATAGAAACACTCTAGATTTCATTCCTGGAACCAACCAGCACTGAGCAATGAATATAAAGTCTATTGCTCACAAAAACAACAACATGCCTCTGACAGGGTTTGAACCCATGCCACTAGCAATCCTTTAATAGATTATTGTCTGACATGTTAACCACTTGGCCATGTCGCCACTCATTCTTCTGTTACAAAGTAACTCCAAAGACCCCCAGGGAGGGAATTTTTTTATCCTAAATACATAACTCATACAACTAGAGTTTCAACTTGGCCATGCAGCATGCAAAATATCTTAGGTAAATTTTTATTAAAGTTAAAAATGCATCATATAAAAAGACATTTTAGCACCCAATTTTTCTGTGTACTTTGATCATACAAGCTATCAAGGTGTACACAACTGTTAACAATAACAACATACTAACCTATGTGCCCTACAAACAATAATTCCTGTGACATTTTCTATAGGAACACGATCTGTGAGTAGGTCGACAACAAGTATACGGGATGTTATAAATAGAACCCCTCCTTGTAGGTAAAGCTTTTGTCTGTCAATAGATAATACAACTTACATGTTACTTATTCTTTTCTTAGTAAAAACAATGATGGTAAAAAGGCAAAGTGAAATAAAATCTTTTCCTGATATTTTTACTAAAAAATAAATAATAATACTAAAACATTCTCAATAAACAAATAAATAGCCTAAAACCATTTCAATATGTTAGTTTTATAAACTCTGAGATACTCATGAAAAAGTCTATCACAGAATTTCTAGTTTCTTTTTTGTTTCTTTTTTATTTAGTTTTAACATTCACACCCTAGACTAATAGATATTTATCTCACCTATCAGATGCATTATACTCATTTGTTACAACTTTTGGAAGAGGTGTGACATGATCTCTCTCCAGCTCTTCTATGTAATACTCCTACAAATATTTAAAGATAGATATCTTAGGTTTTTCAAAAAAAAATTCCAAGTTTTAAACCCTTTATCTGCTAAATTTGTTTAAAGGATTTGTCCTGCTTTGACGATGAAACAGTTCATTTGAAGTTTAAAAGAAAGTATAAAAATTGAGCTACCAACAGTATAGAGCCTGGTCAGACTGCACACAATGAATGTGTAGTCTAGCCTGGCTTTATACTGGTGAAATAGGCTTAACACTTTTGGTTTAAATTAAAGGGTTAATCACAATTTATCATCAAACAATTAATAACTAAATAAGAACATTCATAAAGTTGCAAATAAATTTAATTTGAATGCCAATGGCATCAAATTTCTAGAATTTATCAAAAAGATTTGTCTCAAACATTTCTAACTAGAGTATAAACAAGAGGGCCATGATGGCCCTGAGGTCGCTCACCTGTATATAGGCCCCCGGAGCGGGGCCAGTTTAAACCCCAGGGCTTTTATTTGAACAAACTTGGAAGACACCCATTAGAAGATGTTTCATGATGTTAAGTTTTTACTACACACATATAATGAAAAACAATGACCTCTGCTTTCCCCCTTTCCCCCCCCCCGGCAGGGCCAATTTTAACCAAAGGGCTTTTATTTGAACAAACTTGGTAGACACCCATAAGAAGATGTTTCATGCTAAACATCTAAGCTCTAGCTCATTGGGTTTTTTAAAAGAAGATTTTTATTTGTTTGGGTCGTCAGACCAAACAAATAATGGTAGCGAAATTTCAGACTCTAATGCTGTTAATTGCAAGTGCCGAAAGTAGTCCGCTTTTTTAAGCAGTTACTTCCCTTTATATGTAACACTAAGGCCGAAAAATTCAGGAGAGATCACTGCGTAAATATGGTCATATGACAGGCGCATTAATTTTGAAGCAAAATAATTCCCTGTTTTATTCTTTATAGATATACATGCTTATTGTAAGCGCCATGAATATTTACACAAGTGTTAAACAACAGTTAGCGTCGTTACAAACCCTAATTTAGAATAATATGGTTTTCTTCAGGCCGTTAACATATAAATTCACCCTTGCGCGCTCGCTTCGTAAGCGAGAGGTCTGGAGTTCAAATCCCAGTTAAGGCACCTCATTTTTTTTTCAAATTGTTTAAGTCAAATAAACACTGGATTGAATATCAGTGTTGCAATTAGTCTTATAGCCAATCTACTATAATCAAAACGCTGGAAAGCATTGGTGGCACTATACAAAAACAAATTGTTTTATAATCTCACAACCTTCACCTTTCTGACATTCTGAGACCCAAACAAATTCAGCGCCTTCTGTGCTTTGATTTTAAGTTTTTACCATACACATAATTAGTTAAAAACAATGACACCCCTTGAGCGGGGCCAGTTTTAACCCCAGGGCTTTTATTTGGACAAACCTTTGTAGACACTTACTAGAAGATGTTTCTTGCTCAATATCTAAACTCTAGCTATTTTGGTTTTTTCAAAGAAGATTTTTTAAGTTTTTGCTATACACATATAAGGAAAATCAATGACCCCCAGGGCGGGGCCAATTTTGACCCCAGGGCTTTTATTTGAACAAACTTTGTAATAATCAGTTCAATAAAAACAAACCCCTTTCTTAAGCTTTCGACGTTTAGTCTTCTTCAGAAAAAATTGACGTTTATAAAATAACAAATGACATATGACGCAACGTCCTTTTAACTATATGCTAAACAGAACGTGATGTTAACGCGGGAATAAAAAACTTTGTCAAATAAATACAGAATCTTTCATGAATATAAATACAGAAATATACAAGAAATTACACATATAATATGGATCTGCACATGTGATACAAAAATTCTCATAATTAATAATAACAAACTTTGTAGACACTCACTAGAAGATGTTTCATGCTTAATATCTAAACTCTAGCTATTTGGGTTTTTTCAAAGAAGATTTTTAAGTTTTTGCTATACACATATAAGGAAAATCAATGATCCCCTGGGGCAGGGCCAATTTTGACCCCAGGACTTTTATTTGAACAAACTTGGTAGACACCCATTAGAAGATGTTTCATGCTAAATATCTTAGCTCTAGCTCTTTGAGTTCTTTAAAAGAAGATTTTTTAAGTTTTTACTATATGCATATAGGGAAAATCAATGACCCCCTGGGGCGGGGCCAATTTTGACCCCAGGGCTTCTATTTGAACAAACTTGGTAGACACTCATTAGAAGATGTTTCATGCTAAATATCTGTGCTCTAGCTCTTTGCGTTCTTGAAAAGAAGATATTTTAAGTTTTTTCTTTCGGTTGCTATGGCAACCAGAGTTCTGCATGGAATTAAATTCTTTGAACAATTTTTAAAGGTGACCACCAAAGGAACATACCTGTGAAGTTTGGATGAAATTGGCTGAGTGGTTTATGAGGAGATGTCATTTAAAGTTAAAGTTTACGGATGGACGGACGGATGGACGGCCGGATGGACGGATGACGGACGGACGCAGGACGAAAAGCGATCACAAAAGCTCACCCTGTCACTTTGTAACAGGTGAGCTAAAAATTCCATCTATTTACATCTCTATGGTAACATACCTCATCTACAGAAGATAGATTAAGTACAAGAACAAGGTTGGCAGCATCACAGTACACCTTCAGAAAGCTAGCAATAATCCTCTCTAATCCTAATCCTCTATAAATATATAATGTCAAAACATATACATATTACATGCTTCATATCACTTCAACTTTAATAACTTGTTTCATTATTTGTTTGCTAAATAAATTAAACATTTGAAATTATATTTCATCACCTATTTTCATATGCATGCAGTAACTATTTAGTAAAAATAAACTCATATGTGCATAGCACTAAAATTTTTATTTTTTCCCTCATGCAGCACTTAGCCATATTCATGTTTTATTTAAATCACAGATAATATATAACTTTAAGAAGAATATCATTTAGTATTTTTCAACAACATAATATAATCAAATAGCAAAACAAGCAAATCAGCCAATACACAAAATTATTTTATAGGAGAAGTCTTTTGAATCATAAGGTCAAACAAGAGCACCGCTAGGCGGAGCATTATATGCCCGAAAGTGTTTTTTTTTATTAAGGATGAAAGATTTGTAAGACATGGGAATTAGCTGTTCATCCTATAAAACTTTACAGATGTAGGTTGATTAATACTTAAGTTATTAATAATGACCTTAACCTTTGACCTTGTGACCCTAAAATCAATAGGGGTCTTCTACCTTATATGGACAATCATCCTAAGGAGTTTGAATATTGTGGGCCAAATGGAACTTTAGTTATGCTCCGGAAACTGTTTTCAGTTTTAAGGTAATAGTGACCTTGACCTTTGACCTTTTGACCCCAAAATCAATAGGGGTCTTCTACCCAATATGGACAATCATCCTATGAAGTTTGAACATTGTGGGTCAAATGGAACTTAAGTTATGCTCCGGAAACCAAATTGCTAACGGACAAATTGCTAACGGACGGAAACTGTTTTCAGTATCAAGGTAATAGTGACCTTGACCTTTGACCTTTTGACCCCAAAATCAATAGGGGTCTTCTACCCAATATGGACAATCATCCTATGAAGTTTGAACATTGTGGGTCAAATGGAACTTAAGTTATGCTCCGGAAACCAAATTGCTAACAGACGGACGGACGCCAGGGGGTATAACATAATATGCCCTTTTGGGCATATAAAAAGAGAGAAAAAGTATATTATCAACAGTAAAGTCACAGTTTTTTTGCTGTAAATACAGGATTTACTTTCATTTCCTGGTATGAAAAAAATTATATTTCACTTGGGGTTAACACCACTTGTGAAATATTTATTTTCATACCACTTAATGAAAACATATCCTGTATTTATAGAAAAAACTTGAATTTTTCAGAACAACATTTTTTTTCAAATATATTATACACATTAGTTTTTACCTTGCAGTTATAAGAAGTCCATCATCATGAAGAGCATCAAGGAATATTTGTTGCTCATACTCCAACAAACTCATCTTTACCTCTCTCTCCCTCTCTCTAGCTTATATGCAGTAAATCTTATCTTTCTACAGAAAATAAAAATAAAGTTCAAATTGTTATTTATGTATGAAAATAATTCATAGGTCTTTTAAAACTTAAACTGAAATACAATGTCTTATTGAACTGAAATTGAGTATAATTGATAAAATAACTTTTGTAAATTGATTTGATCTTATATGCCAATGACTTTGTTTGCAATTCTTATACATTTTACATATTTAAGGGATTTGTGTGTGCATTCTAACTGATTGTCAAATAAAACTTTTATAACTTTCATATAATTCTTCAAATTGGCTGGTAAGTTTGCAAACATCAAATCAAGTACAAACTGACTTTTTTTGTCAACAATTATGATAATATTTGAGAATAATCCAAGATTGCTTATAACTTTTGATCAGTTACTAAATAAACACAATATTTCTCTAACAAATTCATTCTAAAAAATCTGTATTCCATCTTTTCTTTTTTCTTTTTGAAAATTCAGGCGTCACAATATTAGTAGCAATATTGTAAACCACTACTTTGCACTTTTAATTATTACAGTAAAATGGTAATAAAGATGCAATAGATCAATTCCTTCACTTATAGGCCAGGGTCTTTCAAAAAGAATGGTCTGGAAACTGACAGATTTTACAAAAAAAGGTGTCTCAGCCGAGTCAAGTGATTCAATTATCTTCTGACTGCGATCACCATTCAAAAAATGAAAGTATAAGATAATTTGTTGTTAAGTCTATCAAACTAATTTTAACTAATCCTTACTGTATTACCTATTATCATTTTTTATTTTAAAAACAAGAACAAACATGTTTTGTAAACATAAATTATCCTGATAGGTATAGAAATCTATATAATTTTTTAAATTGTTTCTTATTTGATTTCCTTTTAAATATGCACGTGTAGTCTATAGCCGGGCAAGCCAAAGCCCTTTGACTTCCCAATATTAGTAATAACACTGAAAATTTCACTGATGGTAAAGAAATCTATACATTTTCATTATTTTTATTATAAACATAAATGTGTAGTCTACTGGGATCCTACATATTTACTGGACAATCAGTTTACCGGACAATCAGTTTACCGGACAAATCTATTCCTGCCAAATAGTGCTTTATTTTTTGCTTTGATTCAAAAATCATCCGGTCTGAATCATACACACACTTCTATTTCAAAGTAAATAACAACAAAACCACTCTCAGATAAATATTGTTGATTCAGTTCTTTATTTACTAACATGCCCTTTTGTTTACTAGTTATTTCATGACCTGGTATTTTAAGAAAGATTCTACATGTAGAAGATTATTTCTAAAGCGGAAGTGTTCTCCCGCAACACATGCCTGGCTCCCCTTTCCGTTCTATGTCAATGTATGTGAAACGGAAGCCTAATATTGTCTACATGTAGAATATTTCTTTAAATACAGGCACATAGGACTTGTTCAGCATAAGACCATTAAAGGTATCATATGTAAAATCCAGTTGTTCGCAATTGTGTGTTCGATTCATCTGATCTCTTTGATGATGCATTTCAAGCGTAAATACCAGGCTACAATGTACATGTCATGACGGTCTCATTGTTCGGACCTGGGTGATTTCTGACTTTCAGGCTTTACTGCGGTAGTTTGCATGTAAATAAGAATCTGTTCATGGTCAGTTTTGATAGGAAAATAGATATTGCATTGATTCCATGCGAAAATCCAACGTTATTACTACCTGGTGGAAAGTGTTCACACTGTCAACGGACATGAACACAATTTTTGTACTCGGATGTTGAATACATGTACCTTGTCTATAAAAATAAAATAAAAAAAAAAAAATTCTATTTTAAATTTTTTTAATACGGGGAAGTCAAAGGCTTGTTCCACGAAGTGGGCCCGGGCTTTGGCTTGTCTGGCTATAGACTACATTGTGTATATTTAAAAGAAAATCAAATAAAAAGCAATTAAAGAATACATAGAATTCTATACCTATCAATGAAATTTTCAGTGTCGGTTCTAGTTGGGCAGCACCATTTTCAATGAAATTCAATGATAATACGCGGGATATTCTGTTAACAGACAATCGCAACTTTTTGGATAAATAATAATCATTGAGTATTCGTGTGAAAACGGAAGTGGTGCATAATTATAATACCAAATGACACCTTTAAAACAGTAAAATATGTTTATAGGCTTTGCCTAATTTCATATCATATTGATATTATATCACATGAATAACAAGATTAAACAAATGTTAGGTAATAACAAGAGCCACCGCCGGGCGGGGGCAACGCTCGACTTTTTACTTTTTCTAAACGCAAACATAGAAAGGTTTGAACATATATTAACGTTTCCTTTTTATAAATTTAGTTTGTCTGTCTTGTCACATTAGTTTTCTTTATATATTTTGTATATATATGAATAGAAACATTAAGCATATTTCTAAAAATAGCAACAGTACGCAATTTCTTAAAATAGCAACATGACGCAATTTCTCAATATAGAAAAAATGACGCAATTTCTAAAAATACAAAAAATGACATAATTTCTAAAAATAAAAAGTGATGCAATTTCTAAAAATAGCAACAATGATGCAATTCTAAAAATAGAAAAATTGACGCAATTTCTAAAAAATAGAAAAAATGAAGCAAATTTCTAAAAAAGAAAAAAATGACGCAATTTCTAGATATACTAAAATAGAAATTATGACGCAATATCTAAAAATAGAAATTATGACGAATTTCTAAAAGTAGAAAAAATGACGCAATTTCTAAAAATAGCACCAATGACGCAATTTTCTAAAATAGAAATTATGACGCAATTTCTTAAAATAGAAATTATGACGCAATTTCTAAAAAAAATGACGCAATTTCTAAAAATAGCACCAATGACGCAATTTCTAAAAATAGAAAAAATGACGCAATTTCTAAAAATAGAAATTATGACGGCAATTTCTAAAAATAGAAAAAATGACGCAATTTCTAAAAATAGCACCAATGACGCAATTTCTGAAAATAGAAATTATGACGCAATTTCTAAAAATAGAAAAAATGACGCAATTTCTAAAAATAGCACCAATGACGCAATTTTCTAAAAATAGAAATTATGGCGCAATTTCTAAAAAATAGAAAAAATGACGCAATTTCTAAAATAGCACCAATGACGCAATTTCTAAAATAGAAATTATGACGCAATTTCTAAAAATAGAAAAAATGACGCAATTTCTAAAAATAGAAAAAATGACGCAATTTCTAAAATAGAAATTATGATGCAATTTCTAAAAAATAGAAATTATGACGCAATTTCTAAAAATAGAAAAAATGACACAATCTCTAAAATTAGAAACAATGACGCATTTTCTAAAAATAGCAACAATGACGCAAATTCTAAAAAATAGCACCAATGATGCAATTCTAAAAACAGAAATTATGACGCAATTTCTAAAAATTAGCAAAAAATGATGCAATCTCTAAAATACTAAAAATAGAAATTATGACGCAATTTCTAAAAATAGAAAAATGACGCAATTTCTAAAAATAGCACCAATGACGCAATTTCTAAAAAATAGAAATTACGACGCAATTTATAAAAATAGAAATTATGACACAGTTTCTAAAATAGCACCATGATGCAATTTCTAAAAATAGAAATTATGACGCAATTTCTAAATAATAGAAAAAATGATGCAATCTCTAAAAATACTAAAAATAGAAATTATGACGCAATTTCTAAAAATAGAAAAAATGACGCAATATCTAAAAATAGCACCAATGACGCAATTTCTAAAAAATAGAAATTATGACGCAATTTCTAAAAATAGAAATTATGACACAATTTCTAAAAATAGAAAAAATGATGCAATCTCTAAAAATACTAAAAAATAGAAATTATGACGCAATATATCTAAAAATAGAAAAAATGATGCAATTTCTAAAAAATAGAAATTATGATGCAATTTCTAAAATAGAAAAAATGATGCAATCTCTAAAAAATAGAAACAATGACGCATTTCTATAAAAAAACCCAAAAAAACAATGACCCAATTTCTCTAAATAGAAACAATGACGCAATTCTATAAATAGAAACAATGACGCAATTCTATAAATAGAAACAATGACACAATTTTAGTTATTGTTGTTGTTGTTGTAAATATATATATATAGACACACACACACCAATAAATATTTAAATATGGTCATTTAACTGCACAAATCTGAGAAAATTCAGTAATTTAACCTTCAAGGTCAAGGTCATTTAAGAGCCCAAGCAAAGTTGGGTTTGATAAACAACAAGGTCTGGTCCTTAAGAATGTTCTCTAATAATATGAAGTTGATCCCTTCAATAATAGCAAAGTTACAGTCAGTGACCGCCAAAACAATGAAAATTTCAATAATTTGACCTTCAAAGACAATGTCATTAATGTGTGAAGGTCAAGGTCTTCCGGTATATCTTTAACAGTAATCTTTGAAGATTATTATGTTCAAGTTTCAGGACAATCCATTCAAAAAATAACAAACTTACAGCCAATAAAAGCCAAAAAAATGAAAATTTCAATAATTTGACCTTCAAAGTCAAGGTCTTTTATGAGTGAAGGTCAAGGTCTGGCTGGTTATTTTTAAGGATATCCTTAAGATTATTATGTTCAAGTTTGAAGACAATCCATTCAAAAAAAACAAAGTTACAGCCAATAACAGCATGAACAAGCAAAAATTGGACTTTTAACCTTGAAGGTCAAGGTCATTTATGGATGAAGGTCAAGGTTAGTGTGGTCTACTGAAAGGTCTTGTCCCAAGGGTTGTTGTGGCCAAGTATGAAGACAATACACAAAGAAATAAAAAAGTTATGATCCAGGTACAAGTTTTCGGACGGCAACGGCAACGGCAACGGCAACGGCAACGCCGACCTGACTGTAGCAATACCTCTATTTTTTTTTCAAAAAAAAAAGTCGAGCTAAAAATGGGACTTTGGGAACAATTGCAACTTAACAGCATAATAATAGCGAGCACGTAGAGCTGGCCCAAAGGGCCTGCTCGCAAAGTGGGCTTTACGGTAACGCGAGTACCTGCTAGATAGTGATGGTTGAAGTACCAAATTGACACATCACAACGTTTCGAATTACAAGATAACAATAAAAGCCGAGGAATTCTGATTGAAAATGGAAGAATAGACTGGTGTCCTGAGCACTTATATGGGATTCATAATAGGACAGGGAACCAGAATAAACGGAAGCAATGTATAAAATACTGAATGACAATTTTAAAACAGAAAATGTAAAATAAAAATGAACGATTATTTTATACTATTTTATGGTAAAAGAAAATCGAGCTCATTTTGAGGCTTTGCCTTTTTTATATTAATTGTTGAAGGAACTCCACTGAGGTTCAAAAGCCTAAAATCATAAAATTTATTTTTTTACACAGATCAGCTGGGGCACGTAAAACCCAGCAAACAAAAGACGTTGTACCAACGTTGTACTGACGTTAGACCCTGACGTTGGGTAAACGTTGGCAGAAGGTTGCATTTTAAAGTTTTTTAGACGTCGGAAACCAACATCTATACAACGTCATAAAATGACCTTTATCCAACCTTTTCTGACCATTATTTGACCATAATCCAACCTTTTCTGACCATTATCTGACCATAATCCAACCTTTTCTGACCATTTTTTGGTCATAATCCAACCTTTTCTGACCATAATCCAACCTTTTCTGACCATTATTTGACCATAATCCAACCTTTTCTGACCAAATTTTCTGACCATGATTTAACCTCATTCAAAACTTTTTTGGAATATGATTTTTTCAATTTAAGGCTCTTTAATAGGGTAAACAAATAAGTATTCTTATAATTTCATCAATTTATTTTCAACACAGAATCACATGTACAAAACAATAAACGTGGTACTACATGTATAACAAATGCAAAATTTACATAACATTTTTTGAAACTATTAAACTTGACAGTATGTATAATATAATTATAATAACACTTCATGTATTAATTAAGCATGTTTTAGATAAACAAAATCCTTCATTAAAATTAACACTAACATTTTATATAGGTAAACATCCATGCATGTGTTTTTTCTTATATCACCAAGGCTTATTCCCGATCCATCTCACTGATTGTATATTTGTCTTTGTATTTTATAACTGAATCTATCTAGAACTGAATATTAAATGAAACAACATTCCGAATATTTTGATATTACTATAAATAGCAAAATTCATTTATCTTTATTAGCATTCTTCTTAAGTCCTCCTCCACTATGGCGATCTGGAGCATACTTTAAGCATATCATAATCTGAATATTTATATAGACATCTCATCAAACTATCTGAAATTAAACAAGAGGGCCATGATGGCCCTGAGGTCGCTCACCTGTATATAAGCCCCCAACCCCCCCCCCAACGTTGCAGGGCCAATTTAACCCAAGGGCTTTTATTTGCACAAACTCGGTAGACACCCATAAGAAGATGTTTCATGCTAAACATCTAAGCTCTAGCTCATTGGGCTTTTTGAAAGAAGATTTTTTTTTAAGTTTTTACTATACACATATAGTTAAAAACAATGACACCCCTGGGGCCGGACCAGTTTTGACCCCAGGGCTTTTATTTGAACAAACTTTGTAGACACTTACTAGAAGATGTTTCATGCTTAATATCTAAACTCTAGCTATTTGCGTTTTTTCAAAGAAGATTTTTAAGTTTTTGCTATACACATATAAAGAAAATCAATGACCCCCGGGGCGGGGCCAATTTTGACCCCAGGTCTTTTATTTGAACAAACTTTGTAGACACTCACTAAAAGATGTTTCATGCTTAATATCTTAACTCTAGCTATTTGGGTTTTTTCAAAGAAGATTTTTTAAGTTTTTGCTATACACATATAAGGAAAATCAATGACCCCCGGGGCTGTGCCAATTTTGACCCCAGGGCTTTTATTTGAACAAACTTGGTAGACACCTATTAGAACATGTTTGATGCTAAATATCTTAGTCATAGCTCTTTGAGTTCTTTAAAAGAAGATTTTTTAAGTTTAGTATATGCATATAGGGAAAATCAATGATCCCCCGGGGCGGGGCCAATTTTGACCCCAGGGCTTTTATTTGAACAAACTTGGTAGACACTTATTAGAATATGTTTCATGCTAAATATCTTAGCTGTAGCTCTTTTGGTTCTTTAAAAGAAGATTTTTAAGTTTTTACTATATGTATATAGGGAAAATCAATGACCCCCCGGGGCGGGGCCAATTTTGACCCCAGGGCTTTTATTTGAACAAACTTGGTATACACCTATTAGAACATGTTTGATGCTCAATATCTTAGCCATAGCTCTTTGAGTTCTTTAAAAGAAGATTTTTAAGTTTTTACTATATGCATATAGGGAAAATCAATGACCCCCTGGGGCGGGGCCAATTTTGACCCCAGGGCTTTTATTTGAACAAACTTGGTAGACACCCATTAGAACATGTTTCATGCTAAATATCTTAGCTCTAGCTCTTTGGGTTCAATAAAAGAAGATTTCTTAAGATTTTACTATATGCATATAGGGAAAATCAATGACCCCCCGGGGCGGGGCCAATTTTAACCCCAGGGCTTTTATTTGAACAAACTTGGTAGACACTTATTAGAACATGTTTCATGCTAAAAATCTTAGCTCTAGCTCTTTTGGTTCTTTAAAAGAAGATTTTTTAAGTTTTTACTATATGCATATAGGGAAAATCAATGACCCCCCTGGGGCGGGGCCAATTTTGACCCCAGGGCTTTTATTTGAACAAACTTGGTAGACACCCATTAGAACATGTTTCATGCTAAATATCTTAGCTGTAGCTCTTTTGGTTCTTTAAAAGAAGATTTTTTAAGTTTTTACTATATGTATATAGGGAAAATCAATGACCCCCCGGGGCGGGGCCAATTTTGACCCCAGGGCTTTTATTTGAACAAACTTGGTAGACACTCACTAGAAGATGTTTCATGCCAAATATCTAAGCTCTAGCTCTTACGGTTTTTTAAAAGAAGATATTTAAAGTTTTTTCTTTCGGTTGCCATGGCAACCAGAGTTCTGCATGGAATTAAATTCTTTGAACAATTTTTAAAGGTGACCACCAAAGGAACATTCCTGTGAAGTTTGGATGAAATTGGCTTAGTGGTTTATGAGGAGATGTCATTTAAAGTAAAAGTTTACGGACGGACGGAGGCCGGACGAAAAGCGATCACAAAAGCTCACCCTGTCACTTTGTGACAGGTGAGCTAAAAAAAATCAAATAATCAGTTACAATAGCAAGAAATGAATCACTTTTTACATTACAATTAAATGAAATTCTTACAAAACTCTCCAACTACTTATACAAAACGAGGCTTATTTTTTTATTTAGTTTTAACCATGCAGTTTCGTGTACCTATATATCTATTTGATAAAAATGACTTCGTTAATTTCATTATAAAATCAAGTGGAATAAGATCACAGTATTTCCTATAATATTTTGAAATATACCTGTCGCAAAATCTTGGTAGGTTTCCATTTTTCTTTTCCTCTTAATATTTTCATCTTCCTCCTCTGAACTTTTGACAGATGTTGAATTATCATAATTTTCACAATCTCTGATATTTACTGAAAGACAAAATTTAATGGTAATAGAATTTAACCATGTGATGGAAGGATATGTTTGTCTAATACAATAGGCGAAATCCAATTACTATTTACTTCTATTTTACTTAACGCCTGAAAAGAAATATTTTGCACGCTTTGTCATTTCACTGTCTAGATATATATATGCACTGATTAGGTAATAAAATGTGTCAGAACTGTTTTTAAGTAATAAGAAATAGAAAAATACGAAACATTTTTTTATTTCAAAACTGGCACTGTTGCAATATTTTTTAATTATAGAATCAAAGATCTGATAAATATTCACCAGACCAAACATACAGTGATGTTTAACAAAATAAAAGAAAAACGTGGAACATTAATCTTAGCACGTATTTATATTACATAAATTCGTGATCTTAACTCAAACGGGCATGAAAAACTGGCATTACAAATATTGAATTAAGTCTACTTCCGCAAATATTAATATTAAAAAAATGTTATTTTTTATATTCAATATTATTTACACAAATGCTCATACAACATCAAAGAAATTCACAAGTTACTGTAATTTTTATAGATATCATATCTGCCCAGCATGATCCGACCTCCTAAGTGTATAAAGGACAGACTGGCTTAGGGTAAAAACGTTTTATGATGAGCATACAACTTGTTTCACTATGTTTGATAAGCAGGCTAATTAACAAACTATTACTTTTATTGATTTATAACCATGATAATGTGTTTTCTGAATATTGATAATATATGTTGTCTGATTACATTAATGAAAAGATAAGTAGTCAAAAACAATGTGCTTTCAGATATGTCTTACCAAAGTAGTATCATTTATATACATGTATCAAATGCCATGAATCAGTATCATAAATTATATAAGAAACACATAGTATGCTTACAGTATGGGTACAATAAAGTACTTCAATTTACAACCAGTAGTTTAGCAACTACACAGATATCAATATCAAACTGTGCTGAGACCCTACAGTTATCTGATACATGTGAACGACTGGCCCCTCAGGGAAATTCATGTTGATAAGAAATAAGAGGAAATTTTATCAGCCAGTATTTGAATGAACTGCATTTAACTTTTATTGATTTCAATAACTAGTATATTTCCTTCCATTGAGTGTGCGTTATTTGGCAATGGCGATATAGTGTGGGAAAAATGATCCGATGATACAGATTGTTCTGTAGCAATTAAATACAGTCGACTCTCGTTATCTCGAAGTCATCGGGACCGTCCAAAAAATATCGAGATAACGAAATGTCGAGATAAACATATTAGCAGGGCTTTTTTTCACAGGTTGGGGAAGCAGCCCAGCCCTTAATTTTGGGGAAAAATTACACGGTATATTTGCAAAAGGGGAAGAAAAAACTTGATGTAAATTCAATTTTTGGGGAAAACTGCATGATTTTAAAGAAATTTTCTTTGGGGAAGCAGCCCTATACCGGCCCCTGTTATAGAAGGTAAAAAGGCCCTGATTAGGGTTTGAATAAGGCAGAAACTGATTTTTACAAAAGACATGTGCATACCTTATGTCAAATAAACTATGATATCCCCATGTCTTGTTTTCATATGCATAGTCAATAATTAACAAAGTAACATTAGCGGATGTTTACCAGCGGAAATACGGGTGTCTGTGATAAAAACACACAGTGAGGTTTTACTCAGTCATACACCAATGTAGTGCAAACATTGTTTTCAGGGTGGTTGATCCGGATATCCTCCCGGGTATTTATCGGGTCTTTCTCGAGATTGTTCGACTGCTGATTGATTTAGTGGTGATGTTGTGAAACTATATTGCAACGATAGCGTTTCTATACTTTCACTATTTCATTTACATTTAAAGTCATAATGAATTGATACAGAGTTCGAATATTTATAAAGAACGTAACATTCACTCATTTTGGACATAAGTCAATCAACACGCTAAATAACTTTTATAAAAAAAAACAGATAAACTTGTTACAAACATAATCATCATTATGACACGCGCTATTGAGCAATTATCGTCTAGTTTGTGTTTTTCACACGTCTGAAGGGAACAGATGAAAGAAAACTATTAGTCGAGATAAACAAAGGATAATAGTGTGAAAATAATTGTTGGGGCTGAAATTTTACATCGAGATACTGAAAATATCGAAATAAAAATATCGAGATAAACAAATGTTTCCAATACAGATAAAGAAGGAAGAAAATCGGGACTTTCAAAATTTTGTCGAGATAACGAAATATCGAGAAAAGCGATGTCGAGATAACGATAGTTGACTGTAATAAAAAGGTCTTACGAGGAAACGAAAATATTTATCTCGCGAAATCGTGTGACATTATGTTTTACCAGTCAAAGATTACAATGATTAAATAACCGTCGAATCCATGCAAACATGCGGTAAATTAGCATTAAAACAATATACATGTATAACATTTGCCTACCTTTTTCCTTTTGTTTGGAATATACAACTTTGTCTGTCAACCCGTCGTTTTTGTCCGCCAATACAGTTGAATTTCAAATCCGATAATTCGCCAATTTGAATTTACTGAATTATTAACCACTATAAAATGAAGCCCACAAAATGATAACAACTTCATTGTTAATTATATAAACACTTCTGAGACTAATTCGTGGAGATAAGATATTATTAAAACGAAAATAGAGCAAATATATATAGTTTATACTGATCTGCGACTTTCCGTTTACCGAGCGCCACCTATCGAATATCGTACGTTAGCCACCCACATGACACTGTTGTTGTTTTGATGGAGATAAAATATATATAATTTTCCCTTTCAAAACAAACTTAAAATGGTCGCTGTTTATGCTTTTATTTAAATATATATTGGTTTTATAAATTAAATCACCTATAATAGACTATTGTCAGATTACCGACCAAAACCCGACGTCGAATCGACGTCAAAATGAAACGTCTGTTAGACGTCGGGGATTCAACGTCGGTTAAACGTTGTGTGAAGGTCGCCGACGTCGTGACCATGTTTCAACGTTGATCCAACGTTGTGTCAACGTCGGGTGTTTGCTGGGAAACAGGAAGACATGCAAAAAAATTAATATGGGGAAGTCATTCGCGGGCCCGGGCTTTGGCTTGCCCGGCTATAGCTTACACGTGTATATTTAAAAGAAAATCAAAATAAAAGAACAATTAAAAAATATATAAAATTCTATGCCTATCAATGAAATTTTCAGTGTCAGTTCTAGTCGGGCGCCGCCATTTACAATGTAACTCAATGATAATAGGCGGGGTATTCCGCTAACGGAACAATACTCAACTTTTCGGATTAATAATAATCGCCGAGTGTTCCGAGTGAAAACGGAAGCGGTGCATGTAATACCGAATGACACCTTTAAACAGTAAGAATGAAAGGATATTTTTAACGACTTCCCCGTTCATAGGCTTTGCCTAATTTCATATTACGGGGAAGTCAAAGGCCGGGACCGCGAAGCGGGCCCGGGCTTTGGCTTGCCCGGCTATAGACTACAGGTGTATATTTAAAAGGAAATCAAATAAAAATCAATTAAAAAATATATAAAATTCAATACCTATCAAGGAAATTTTCAGTGTCAGTTCTAGTTGGGCGCCGCCATTTTCATTGTAACTCAATGATAAAAGGTGAGGTATTCCAATAACGTAACAATCGCAACTTTTTGGATTAATAATAATCATCGAGTGAAAACCGAAGTGGTGCATGAAATACCATATGACACCTTTGAGGTGTTCCGAGAGAAAATGGAAGCAGTGAGGCGTGAAATACCGAATGACACATTTAAACATTTAATGTAAAGTAAACAATTTTTTAACCGACTTCACCGTTCATTGGCTTTGGCTGCATCCATATTAAGTTTAAAGTCTAATTTGTTGTATAACCCGTTATATCCATCCGAAATTTGTAACGTCCGAATACTTGCAACATTTAAAAAACTGAAATTCGATGATGGCAACAATTTTTTGTTACTTGTTTACAAGCACAATGATAAAATTTAAAAAATGAAGTAAATATAGACGCAGAATGTGACATTATAAGTTTTAAACGTGCATGTTACTTAAAATTGTGTTACCACCATGGGCGCAGCCATATTGAATCCGCTTGATTTATGCCTTTACAAATCTACAGTACTCAGTACCATTACACATCGAACTTTACAAGTCGGTATAGTAATTGAGTATACAACAAGTTAGGATAAAAGTCTTAGGCCTTATTAAATTTATGTGAATAATACAAAAACACTGATCTAAATAATGATTATTCCATGTTCGCCTAAATTCCCTTGCTATTTTAACCTGGAACATTGTTATTTTAGTCTTTGTTAGAAGCTAATCAAAGTGAACCAAACAGAAAGCGCTGAATTTCTTTTTTCGCATATTTTGTTTAAATTTTACCGTAAACGTAAGTATATTGTAATTAATTCTTCGTAGATTAATAAACATTTTAAATTAAAAAGTATTAATTATTGGTTTGCTGTTTTTGCTGTTGTTTACTTGATAAGTATCATTAATGTCACACATATTCGCGAACTGGTCAGATGATGATGACAAACAAATTGGAGAAAACTACAACGGTATACTAAGTTTTTTTGCCGTACTAACTACGGTCATGTAGCTTTGTATTACATGGAGAGAAAACTATAATCTGTGATAACAATCAGAAAGTATTGTCAGTACCCACAAATGAATGACATCATCATCGGTAGGGCAGGTGTACTAAAGCTCCTCGCCAACCTCAATGCCAACAAAGCTGCCGGCCCTGACAACATTAGACCAATTGTCCTGAAGGAGCTGAGAGAAGAGATTGCTGACATCGTTGCAGTTCTTTTCCAAAAATCCCTGACCACCGGTAATATTCCCAATGACTGGACCCGTGCAAACGTATGCCCTGATTACAAAAAAGGTGATACAAGTGATCCAGCAAACTATCGCCCAATTTCCCTTACATGCATCCTCTGTAAAACACTCGAACATATAGTTGCCTCTCAACTATCCTCTCACTTTACCACCCACAACATACTCTTTGATCTTCAGCATGGATTCAGAGAAAGACGATCATGTGAGACACAACTCATTGAACTTACTGATTACTTTGTGAACAACCTTTCAAATGGCAAACAAACAGATCTCATACTTCTTGACTTCTCCAAAGCTTTCGATAAAGTAAACCATCTTAAACTCTTAGATACCCTGCAAGAACATGGTGTTTGTCCTCAAATTCTAAACTGGATACAGTCATTCCTTATTGGCCGTAGACAGACAGTAGTTGTGGATAGTGACTGCTCATCTGAAGTCCCAGTTACCTCTGGAGTGCCCCAAGGCTCGGTCCTAGGGCCCCTCTGTTTCCTTCTATATATCAACAAGTTACCATCTTCTGTCCTCAAATCCCAAGTCAGATTATTTGCAGACGACACTGCTGTATACCTAACCATCAATTCCTCCTCAGACCCCCCAACTCTCCAACATGATCTAGACAATATGGTTCTGTGGGAGAAGCAGTGGGACATGGAGTTTAACCCTTCAAAATGCCAAGTCATCCATATCACCAAAAATAAGACCATAATTAAACACAAATATATGCTCCATGGCCAAATCCTAGAGTCTGATACAAATGCTAAATATCTCGGACTAGATCTATCTGCTGACCTTAAATTTAATACACATATATCTCGAATAACTTCCAATGCAAACAGATCCCTTGGCTTTATTAAAAGAAATGTCATCACTAAAAATGAGAAAGTAAAAGAACTAGCATACAAGTCCCTGGTCCGCCCACAGGTTGAATATGCCTCATCTATTTGGTCTCCTTATACTAAAACCAATATTGACAAAGTTGAGATGATCCAGAGACGTGCAATAAGATGGGTTAAAAGGGATTACTCCCCTCACTCTAGTGTCACAGCCATGCAGGAAGAACTGGGCTGGCGATCCCTTGAACATCGCAGACTGGACTGTAGACTGATAATGTTTTATAAGATATACCATAACCTAGTTGCAATTAATCTCCCAACTTATGTTCAAACCCCACATAGATTAACCAGACATATGCATCCCTTATCCCTACGTCAAATACAGGTATCCTCCGACTACCATAAGTACTCTTTCTTCCCTCATAGCATTATACTATGGAATAAACTTCCTAGTAACATTGCCACCCTGCCCAACCTGAGTCAGTTCAAACAGGCAGTGGTGGGTTTGCAGTACTAGTCTTACTCCCAGTGTTTTTAAACTATTTTATCTCTTATCATCTTGTTTCACTATTAACATTTTAACCATGACTAGAATACATTTTCAGTCTCACCTTCCAAGCATGTCAATGTTTGGACTTTTCTTTTTAGCTTTTCTCTTCACCTTTTACTAACAATCCGACGTGCACTAAATTCCTGCTTTTAACACTCGTAAGAGGGGTTGGCAGTATCCAGAGATAGGATGCCGCGATTGGATGCCATCATGGATTTTAGAAACCCTTTGAGTTTGATGTTCTATCTATCTTCCGTTAATGTCAATGTAGACATGTTGTACACCACAGCAGACTGTTGTTAAAACTAGCCTTTTATGACAAAAGCTGGCCCGAAGGGCCTGCCTGCTCGCAAACCGTCTAACTGGTATAATTTACATAGACCAGACCTTCAGAAGTTTTCTATAAAATAACATATGATAACAGCAACATAACATAACAGCAGGCAAATTAACAGTTACTTATAAAGTATGTTGCAAATGAAAACGGTTCCAGTATTTATCGGTCAAACGGAAAAAAATGCGGTGTTTGAATTCAGTGTTGTACGGTGCTCAATAGGCCTTTTTTCAACAATTATATAAGATATTTTGTAAGCTATTACCTGCAATTGGGTTATCCCGCTATTAATATTTTGTCCAGAAATATACGGTGTCTCGGTCAGAAGTATGATATTTTGACGTTGCGCGGAAAAGTTGTGGTAAACGCCCTATCGCCGTGGGGAACTGCAGTCAGTAAGTCACAAATGGGGCAGCATCAGCCATGGCTCCTATGATCTCTGATGTATGCCAGATGTCAGACCTACCTACATCTATGAACAAATGCGAAAACCTAGCTAAACGCCGTTTTTCTGTATTTTCTGTACATAGCTCAATTCACCTAATGGAGTGTAATAACAATCTCATTGTTTTCGGTCTTTTTTTTTTTTTTTTAAGTAAAGTTAATTAAAACATTTATTATTTTGTAAGAAAATAATTAATAATATCTATTGCAAATTTAAAAAAAAAATTGTTGATAATGAAAACAGTCGTAGTGGCATCTTCCATAATAAATAAGATATATTTTCAGCATAAACTTGTGTATTTACTTTAATTTTTGAATGGAATTAATCATACAATGATATTTAAAGGAACATTCATAATTTTCAAACACATCAAGTTTGTTCACCTTTAACACCAAAATAATGATATAAAAAATAAAAATATCATGTAATAGTGTTATGTACTTCATTTGGTGTAATTCCCCAGAGCTAAATCCATCACATACCAGAAAACTGTGTTTAGCTAGCTTTTTGGAAAGGTCAATATTGGCTTTATTGCAAATGTTCGCCTTTTAGCAGATGACTGTGTTATTCACAGATTTGTAAAGTCTTTTGAAACAGGAAAATCTAGACAGTTTATCATTATGGGAGCAGAAATGATAGAAGTCTTTGAACATTAGTAAATGTCATATCATGTAGAAATAGTAAAACCAATAAAAGCTATTTATAAACTTCACAATCCACCTCTGTCTGTTGTTGACCAGGCAACCTACTTGGGTGTAGAAATAGCTCAACATTGAGCTGTTTACCTCTAGTAAAGCCAGTCAGAGCTTAGGCTTCTTAAGATGTAACATCCATTCCAGCAAACTTTGTACTAAAGCAGCAGCATATCCAGACCAACTTGAGAATATTGCTCTAGTGTAGTCAATATCCATACCATCCGATGGATATTGATAAAATTGAAAATGTTCAAAGGCAAACTACTAGATTTGTGACAACCGTAATAAAAACAACAAAACCCCAGACACAGTCTCCAATTTAATTTGAACTTAAAATGAAACTCTTTGCATTCAAGAAGACAACAAAGTACAAATGTAATTGTAGTTTAAATATAATGAATGAATAAATTTACATACTTGTATTTTCAGCAGTTTTAGTTTGTCATGGGTCGAAGGAAGTCAAAAAGGAAGCCTCCACCAAAGAGGAAGAATATTGAAAAACTTGACGTTTATTTCAATTGTCCATTTTGTAACCACGAAAGATCTTGTGAAGTTAAATTGTAAGTACTTGATTTTTTTTAACAATTTACTTTTCTATCTTAACAAACTTTAATGAGAACTAAGGCCCCCACGATTACACGTTTAAACGGATTCGTTTTTTTATTGTTTACTGTTTAATCGAAATGACCATATTGTCTTACAAAATTTCTTAATCATTGCCTGTAATCTGACATGGATTTTATCAATTCTAGTGGTTTCTTTCAAAGTTAACAAACGGAAAATAGGTGTTTACAACCCTCCACACAGCATTACGGTGCAAAATTGCTAGTGACATAATACATTTTTGGTAAAAAATGGGGTTACAATGCAAAAAATGTGTGCTGACTCAATCGTGATGAGCCCTGCACATTCTTTATTTGTACATGTATAAAAAATAGAAAGAAAACCATACGGCTCTGAGCTTTAGTATTTTGCATGGTATTCTACTTATGAGGCTGCACCTTATCTTATATTAAAATTTATACCTAAAAATGACCATTCTGTGTTTTTTGTGTGCATGTTTTTTCACACATTTTTAGGGCCCTATTCACAAAAACACAAGGTATCTTTACATATGTTTTAATAATAAAGGGAGAGACCCTTTTACAATGTATTTAATTTGTTCTGAACATGTTTTATCTAAATTGAGTAGTAATCATAATTTAACAAATGTGATTCTTCAAACAAATTTGCATTCAGGTGTACAGTATCTTATCAGACTTTTGCAGTGCTCTAGTTTATATTTAAGATTTATTCTGTATGATCATTTTGTTAAAGACAACATGCTTATTAACAATGATATGATGGTGATATGTTGTGAGAGACTGCTATACCTTTAAAGTGCATGTATTGTTAATTACTTTATTTATTGTTAATTTCAGAGATCGGCAGCGGAACACAGGTAATATATCATGTGGGGTATGCATGGAGGATTACCAGACAACAATTAATTGTATCCTTTACAATAAGAATAACTAGTCATCTTGTATGATGTCTCTAGTCTTACTGTATTTTGATCACTTGTCTTATTTGATCAAGGGATGATTTCACTTAAATTGCTCATTGTGTTTTTAAAATCACAAACCCATATTATGATCTTTCGTCTTTTAGTTCACAAAATCGATATTTTCAAGGTGATCTTTTCAGCCCAGCATACATATGTATATGTATGTATTCTTTAAACTATATTTGTCTTAAACGACAATGTCAGTATCAACAAATTCTCATAGGAAAGTTATTTGGCTATCAAAATTGTACATGTATTAACCATTTAATGTAACCACAATGAAAATCTTCAATATCAATACTTTTTCAAAAGGTTTTGGTTTGTTTTATATATTATTTCACAGAGATCCTCTTCCTGGCTTGTTCAGATAATAAGACTCACCACCATGGAGTATTTCAGCTATTGTCCCAATTAAGGAAAAACTGAAAAAAAATTCATAAAATAGTAAGATCCTTGAGTGACTATCAACTTTTAACAGCTGAATTGTGATGACAGCTTAGAGCTTCTATTAACCAATGTCCAATCTGCTTCAATGAATTATCTAGCAATGATGTCAGACGAGGTAACATGCTCATGACCCAGTAAGACTAGAGCTCCATGTTCTCTGGTTTGAGAGGCAGACACCTTAATCACTAGGCTATCTCTTTCATAAGAAACTTGACAATATGTTCAAGTTAGTTCAGATAACTTGGTTGCTTCTATGGGGAGCAATAACAAAGACAGATTAGTAGGTGGAATTAAAAACCCTTTAATTGTAAGTCAGTTACATTTTTTCAGTAGATCATTCTTAACATGTATAATGATAACATGTATTATGCTGAGAGTTATATTTTTTGAATAGAATATGTTTAAAAAATAGTACAGTAGAACATGACCTTGACATTTGTGTAGATTTATCGGAGCCTATAGATGTGTACAGTGACTGGATAGATGCTTGTGAACAGGCAAATCAATAACACATGGACCAACTTTTCTCTTCTGTGTTCACAACTTTATACTGGTAATCATAGAGGATATTAAGTGAAATGTACTGAAGAGCAATGGAAGAATTAGGATAGATAAAATCATGTTTTTAATGTTCTGTTTTAAGTTTATGTTAAGCATTACTGCTTATAGAATAAGTTCATTTTAATTGTCAATGCATGATGTGTTGCTTTCAGCATAAACATGTTGTTAGCTTTAGAAATGTGTACAGTTGTTGCCAGTATAAATTGATTTTGTTTTATCATTGTATATAAAAGAAGAAAAATCTTACACAGTATGTAATGAATATCGAGTTAACTGTAACTTTTGAAAAATGTTTATGTGAAATGTGAAATGTTTCACTGTTAATGAAACATTTGTAATTTATCTAACACAAGTACCTGCAATAATATACTTAAAGGCATTTGTTGGTCTTGTTTCCTTTGTACAAAGCTATAAAGTTACATTTTGATACACACTGAAATTCTACAGATTAATACATAGAAAGAAAAAAATATGTACTTACATTACTTAAATATGAATGCCAATATTATGACCCCATGTGTCTGTACCTTTGTTAAAGAAAATGCACATTTATTATATTAAAAATATTACAGTTACAGATCATTTAAATGTACCTCAAGAAATTGTCTTGAATTATAAAATATGACAATTTGACTGGTATGTTTAAAGGGACTGACATTCCACTGAGGTTTTTTGACATGATGGGGCTGAAAATATTTTTTCCAGATAAATGTACCATTTGATGTAGGTTTAGACCACAAATCTCTATGCAAAATTTCAGATCATTTGCGCACTTCGTTTTTCCAGAATAATTATTCAAATATTAAAAAAATGACACAAAATGAAAAATGTGTAAAATCAGGTTAAGAAAAGCATAAAAATACAATTTTCAATTTATTTCAAAGTATATTTCTTAACAATCTTTGCATATATTTCTTTTTAAAGTGCCTCAGCTCATTCATGTAAGAAATTCAAATATTTTGTTTTTAGGCTTTTAAACCTCAGTGGAGTCCCTTTAAGACCAAATGTATACACATTTTATTTCATATCAAAAGTCATTTTGAAACTGTGGCATGTATGCATAGGTATTGAATAAATGTTTCATGTCATGCATAATTAAAGGTACATATATTACATGTCAAACAAACTGGTTTATATTTGTAGTGAATGTTTAGTTATACAGGTATGTGTGGATATACATGTATCATGTTTCATATTTTAAATCATCAGTCTGTGTTGTATTTCATGTAAACTAGTGAATTTGTCTTGCACATATTTTATCATTTAAATAAAGATAGTGAAAAAGAAAAAAAGTTGTTGCATTGTTTTTATTAGGTCACCATCAGAGGTAGGATTTTGTGATGACCAGATGTATGTCCTCTGATGATGATCATTAGTGAACCTCCACAAACTGTATATAAATGGTTACTACCTGATGTGTTGGTAGGTCAGAGGAAGTCTATTTTAATTATCATAGACGTTGAAATATGAATTTTAATGCTCCCCGAAAAAATTTCGGGGGAGCATATAGTCGTCGGGTTGTCCGTCAGTCTTTCCGTCCATATGTACGTACGTACGTGTCCGGCCCATAACTTTGTTATTTGAAGTCAGATTTTACAACTATTTCACAGAAATGATCACCATATTGAGACGACGTGTCGCGCGCAACATTTGGGTCGTTACCTTGAAGGTCAAGGTCACAGCATGACCTTTGAGCAAAATCGTGTCCGGACCATAACTTCATTATTTGAAGTCAGATTTCACAACTATGTCACAGAAATGATCCCCATATTAAGACGATGTGTCGCGCGCAACATTTGGGTCGTTACCTTGAAGGTCAAGGTCACAGCATAACCTTGCAGCAAAATCATGTCCCGCCCATAACTTTGTTATTTGAAGTTGGATTTTACAACTATTTCACAGAAATGATCATTATATTGAGACGACGTGTTGTGCACAACATTTGGGTTGCTACCTTCAAGGTCAAGGTCACAGCATGACTTGCAGCAAAATCGTGTCCGGTCCATAACTTTGTTATTTGAAGTTGGATTTTACAACTATTTCACAGAAATGATCATCATATTGATAAGACGTGTCGCACACAACATTTTGGTCGCTACCTTGAAGGTCAAGGTCACAGCATGTCCTTGCAGCAAAATCATGTCGGGCCTATAACTTCGTTATTTGAAGTTGGATTTTACAACTATTTCACAGAAATGATCACCATATTGAGACGACGTGTCGCGCGCCACATTTATGCCTCTACCTTGAAGGTCAAGGTCACAGCATGACCTTGCAGCAAAATCGTGTCCGGCCCATAACTTATTTGAAGTTAGATTTTACAACTATTTCACAGAAATGATCACCATATTGAGACGGTGTGTCGCGTGCAACACTTGGGTCGCTACCTTGAATGTTAAGGTCACAGCATGACCTTGCAGCAAAATCATATAGGCCCATAACTTTGTTATTTGAAGTTGGATTTTACAAGTATTTCACAGAAATGATCACCATATTTAGACAACGTGTTGCACGCAAATTTGGGTTGTTTTTTCACTTTGAACTTGGTCTGTGACATTACTCTGACACTACAAGAGGTATATCTTCCTTTTTCCAAAACCTATTCGGGGAGCATCACCCGGTTCAACCGGCTCTTGTTTCATGTATAATGTGCTGGGATTGACAAACCTGCATTAATTTGGATTTTAAAGACACCCCAAGTGTCTGTGGCCCTGTGATCACATTTGCAACAGAAATACTAGTTTTCTTAATGACCAGGACTAAATATCTAGCATGTGGCATTGTCTAGTGACATTTTACAAAAATTACATTGATCTGTCAGCTATTGTCCGAAACGTTCCCGTCCTAATATAACCAAACGACCTGCTTCTGCATTGAAAAAGTATTACATTTTCTAACAATGTATGTCGGGTGGGCTATCTGGGTCCATTCCATCCTTGTTTTATTAGCTCACCAGAGCCAAAGGCTCAGGTGAGCCATGAGTACCAAAGGGGGATACTCCGTTGTCATGCCTCAACAATCATGCGTCAACAATCGTCTTCTCTGAAACTGCTGGGCAGATTTACTTCATATTTGGTCTGTAGCATCCTTGTGACAGTCACACTTGAATTTGCTCATGTCATTTCAATTGGCCCCTTTTAGGGGTCAACAGAGATAAAAATATAAAAACCTTTAAACATCTTCTTCTACAGAACTAATTGATGGATGATCACCAAACTTTGTCTGTAGCATTCTTATGTACGCTTTTATCAAATTTGCTCATATTAATTTGATTGGCCCCTTTTAGGGGCCACTAAAGCCAAAAATAGAAAAACCTTGGAACATCATTTCCTACTGAAATAATTGATAGATGATTACCAAACTTTGTAGCATTATTAGGTAGTCTTTTATCAAGTTTGCTCATATCAATTTGATTGGCTCAAATTAAATATCAGAAAATATTGACAATGGATAATTTCCAACACTGAAAAGCAGTTGTTTCTGGTGAGCGACTCAGGGCCATCATGGCCCTCTTGTTATAGGAATTGTTCTTAGCTATTAACTTTTCTAACTTCTTTGCTTTTGTAACGTTTAAAGCAGAGTGATTAAAGTCGCTGACTGAACTGCTTCTTCTTCTTACCGTGGATGTAACTTGTTCGATATGTTAAATATGATAATAGACTTGATAGTTAAATTATGGGGACCGCTTATGCACAGGGTTATTTTAGATCTTTCTTCACAAGATAAATTTAAGTGCACATAAATGACGTGAATATACATGTTCACAACATTTACGTTTACATGTATATAAAAATTCTAGATAGGAGAGATTCCTCGAAAGCAATTCTGGCTTAAAGTCAAAAATCGCAGACTAGGGTTTATTGGTTCTGCAACATCACTCGCACCCCGGTCCCGGTTTGATTAAAGTTAGACTGTTTCGAGTCAAAGATCCTGATTAGGACCAGAATAATATTATAAATTTTGTAACAACACTGAAATAAAATAAGGGCCATATTTTGACAGCATCCATATTATACTGCGAGTCATCCATATGATATTAAGAGGTTATAGAGTACCCATTGAGTCCCAATTGATGAACTCCCGTACTTCATCTAGTTTTATTAAATTTTAATACAATATACCACAGTATATTTCCTTCTACCAGATATATCAGGCAGGCATACACTTTATTGAACATCTGTTTACGTACATTACATGAAACATAACATAATATAAAATATACATCTATTTGAAAACATAACAAGTATTGCACATTGTAGATTGAAAAATACAAGGAAAATAATAATCTAGGTGAGACTACATACTATTTAACCTAGTGAATTGTGTAATGCAATTGTCTAACTTTGAATTTAGATCAGAAGATCTACATCCGTCCGAAATTTAAGAGATTTTATTACACAAAAATTGAGTTTCCAACAGTGCGGATGCGGAGCGTGAACTGGTTCTATTCTGTTGACAAACGCTGCTTACATTCAGTTCTTGTATGCTATGAAAATATTACAATATGTATCACAATTCACTTATGCATTGCTTAAGACTCACTAAGCCCGGGAAAATACTATCAAGACATTGTTTGAGCACTGTTACTGTTCCTAGTCCACATAGTTAAACTGGGCCATTAGTATTGGAGATCCGATTAGTATTACTTGTAGTGTGGAAGGTAGAATGCCACCTTGTTAATTGTATGAGGAATTATTTCACATTCATCATATCTTTATTCACGTGATGAGCATCTACATGCTCTAAATCTATCATCAAAGCATTTAAAAGGTAAAAACGTGTTCATTTCTGAGGCATAATGTCACGCCCTATAGGGATTCTTTCGTATAGCCCGAATACAGGTCCTCATCGAATTTTAGCTCCATACGGAAAAAGATACGAAAAGATAATAATAAGAATTTTACATTGCCTTTACTGCACTAATAAATATCTAATCAGATGCTTAAACATTACTATTATACATTTAAATGAATAACTTTTAGGAAAAACATTGTGTACATTCTTATTTGTCAAAATTCCTGATATTATATATGACCACCTTTGTATATTAAAGTGTGCAGTGAGTTTTACAACTAGTGAAAGGAGATTCTTATCTTGATCATTTTGTCGATATCGACATTTACAACATTTCAACTGAACTATCTTGTAAATATGGTTTTAATATTTTCACTGGTATTTAAACATACTCGATCTTTTAATTTGTTCACCTTTCGACACATACGCTATTTCACCAGTATCAACATATAGACGCTATTTCACCAGTATCAACATATATACGCTATTTCACCAGTATCAACATATAGACGGTATTTCACCAGTATCAACATATATACACTATTTCACCGGTTTCAACATATATACACTATTTCGACGGTATCAACATATATACACTATTTCACCAGTATCAACATATATACACTATTTCACCGGTATCAACATATATACACTATTTCACCGGTATTAACATATGGACACTATTTCACCAGTATCAAATTATATACGCTATTTCACCGCTATCAACATATATACGCTATTTCACAAGAATTAACATATATAGACGCTATTTCACCAGTTTCAACATATATACACTATTTCACCGGTTTCAACATATATACAATAGTTCACCGGTATCAACATATATTTCACCGATATCAACATATATACTCTATTTCACCGGTATCAACATATATACATTATTTCAACGGTTTCAACATACTGTATATATACAATACACGCTATTTCACCGTTATCAACATATTCGCTATTTCACTGTTATCAACATGCATATTTACACACTGTTTCACCGTTATCAACATATTCGCTATTTCACCGTTATCAACATGCATATTTACACACTATTTCACCGTTCTCAACATATTCGCTATTTCACCGTTCTCAACATAAATGCACTATTTCACCGTTATCAACATATACACATTTTCACCGTTATCAACATGTATACACATTTTCACCGGTTGCAACATATATATAATATACACACTATTTCACCGGTATTAACATATATATTTTCACAGATATCAACTAATACACTATTTCACCGGGATCGACCTATCTTTATTACAAAAAAAAAATACATAGATATAAATAAAATGAAAATTAAATTAAATGATTAAAAAAAATCCTGATATAAATAATTTTGAATTACAATTTCAAACGGAGTTTGATATTACTTTATTTTCTGACATATATTTGTTTATTCCCAAACATATGTCGTTTTTTATAAACAGATTTAGGGTTTAAGCAAACTTTTTATCTTCCTGAATTCTTTTCCTTACAAGTTTTATCAAAAGTAATGTTATTACGATACACCCGAAAGCATAAAACACGATGGAAGTACTAGGTGATAGCTACTAACGTGGTGACAAGACCAAATAGAGCTGACATTGTTCCTTAAATCTTCTCGTGCGGCGTTCATCTGCAACAACACTGTTAACGTCTGGAAAACGTGAAACCATTGGTGACTCATTCCCATAAAATCAAACTTTCCCGGAGCTAACTTTTCTGGTAAATGACTTGAAAAGAAGAACAGACAAACTGCCATAGAAACCATCCAAGGGAAATGATGTGTATTATTGCAATCTGTTGTATTGATACAATATGCCAGTCTTGTTATAAGCGGTATACAACTAAAAGATGCGTGGATACAGCCGGACCCTATTTGAACAAGTCGTCGCTTAAACGGATATGGTCGTCTGTATAAGATTTTAGATAAACTTCCCCCTAACATAACGAACAACGAGAGAACGACGTTCAGAGGTAGTGATGCCATGCTCAAATATTCAAAAATAGCATCTGGGCATGAAATGTACATAAATAAGATACACTGGCATAAAGCATAAATTCCAACTCCAACGTAATCAAAGTGGAAACAAATGTAGTGACAGAATGGCGACATTGACTGAAACGTGTGCGCAAATGCACTCAAAAACGAGTTTGCAGCTGCGCATGCACAAAAGACAGCCAATGGTAAAATCCCGCATTCACTTTCCACGTCGTATATCTCAAGAATATGTACTAGTCTATTTATAAAAACAAGCGTTGCTATTATATGTGTCCAAATATTTATTGTCTCATTGTGAAGATGAAATATGCTGACAGTATAGTAACGCCATGATTTGTCCGGGATCCTATATCCCGACAATATAGCCGGCTCTCTATAAACATCAGGGGTATTTTGATGACTTTCGGTAGATTGCGTCTGATAGAATTGTTCAACACTTCCGAATTCTTTGAGGATTGTTCTTCGCAAAACGTTTAAAGTCATTTTTCGAGTAAATGACTACCTTAACAGTAGGTTTTAATGAAACATAGACCTGGAACGACATTGGTATATAGGTAATGTAAATAACATGTAACATCACCCGTACGTGCATTTAATCATGTTATTATTTTTTTTACTTTTGTCAAAACAAGGAAAATAAATTAAAATACTTTACTGTTTGGCACAATATTGAATAATCCGAGAAAACTCGAAAAAAGATTTTTTAGCATTATAATTAGATATTATCTGCGAATTAATAGTTCTGTATAAAACGATTATAATAAAAGAAAAAGCCCTTACTTACTGAATGGTTTTAAGCCAGTTTCACATGTAGGGTAACTTTACATTATACATTTACGTAACACTACATGGCAAAACAACTGTCCTGTGACGAATGTACAGGTTTTAAACTTATTTAGCATTTATGAACTTAGGGAAGTAGAGAACTATTTTAATTTATTAATGATTTGATCCACCCGATAGAATGTATCGATCTGGATCAATGCTCCTTTCAGATGTGCATATCATAGATTTTTTCTTTTTTAAAATATTGATTAGAAGTTCCAAATATATATGAACTATATCTAATGACAGTAATTGAATCCTCCCATCAAAAGATACTACAGGAATAAAACAAAACCAAACAAACAAACAAATGAAAAAACCATCGTCAATAACTTAGTTCTTTGTTAACTGATACGTTTCTGTTGTAGTAACAAAGGAGATGGCGCCATTTGTCGTATGCAAATAAAATATGATCGATTCAAATTGAACGGTAATTTGAAACAATAACTAATCATTAAATATTAATATAAATAACATCCGTTTATTTACTGTAACTATGATGTTTAAATTATCATCAACACAAATTATTTAAGGTGAAAATAACGCAAATAATGCATATTTTGTCACACTGTACCGTTTATCAATTCCAAAACTCCCATTTTCACAGTCAATGGTGCATAGTATGAAACAATAAAAATGCATATTTGTGTCTGTACATATCTAAATATTACATAAAATAGCATGTTTTAATCAGACAAACTGTTGTATGTTGTACAATTTCTAGTTATATTGATATTTACAGCAGCTTCCAAGCTGTCGAATCGCTTTTCATTTTGATCATTGTTACATTAAATGTCTTCAAATACATAATATACATTCTGATGCACTGTGTTGTTGTTGTTGTTGTTTTTATATCTTATTTCAAGGAAAATTTGAAAAACACTGTATTTAAATAGCCAGTTGTCAATCCAAAAATTATGTATTTATTTAAACTGTACTCTTTAATAAAATATTCTAATATTCTATCAAATACATATATATTTATAGGTAGCGTTCTTTGTTTTTGTCTGTTCTGGGGCTTTTTATTTCTTATTGCGTTTCACAACTCATGGTGACATCATTTGTAACATTAATACCTCTGTAATTATAATTGACTGCTTGAATACAGAAAAGGTGTTTTAAAATTGTACAAAATCGTATTTAATGTTGTTGCTTTTCATCACTTTCTATTCGTTTTGTTACATATTTCCTCAAAATAAATATAATTACAACACAACCTATACAGTACACGAGTATTGATATAAAGAGTGTGACAGCACGTACAGGATGACATTTCCACCTTGTACCGTCACCATTCTCCATATCTATATAGGCGGCACGGTACTGTAACAATATCGTGTAAGATATTATAACATGGAATATACTATGTCCTTGACCAAAATAATCAAACTTTCCAGGAAATTTCTTTTCAGGAAGATTACTTGAGAAAAAGAAAAGTGACACAATCATAGTTATCATCCATAATACATGATGATTTAAAGAGGCAATCTCGCAGTCGTCATCAACAAAACAATATACAAATCGTAATGCCATGGGTATCCCACCAAGTAATGCATGCAGACCTCCGGAGCCAAGCTGGAAAAACTTTCGTTTAAACGGATAAGGTCGTCTGTAAAATAGTTTGGCGATACAGCATCCACACATCACTACCCACGACAAAACTACATTATAAGGGAGATAAATCCAATTCATGTTCCGAAAAACATCAGGTGGGCTGGAAATGTTGAAAAATAATATACACTTCCCTAGTCCATATATTCCCACGCCAGCATAGTCCATCAATAAGCACATATAATGACATAATGGAGACTTTGAAAGGAATGTATGTGTTAACGCACTTAGAAATGTACTTATTATAACGCAAACGCTGAAACCAACCAATGGTAGAGCTTCACAGTCCGTGTCAAAATTTGATGATTGTAATATATGATGTAGTTTATATAGAAATATAAAACAAGCTACTGAATGTGTCCAGATGTTAACGGTCTCATTATGAAGTTGGAATATACTGGCTATATAATACACGAAAGATTTCCTTGCTGGCCGGTACCCAGTCAAAATCCCTGGTTCTCTATACAGCATGTGCACGTCCCTGTAGTCTAGTGTCGGTTGTATACAGAAAAAACCCTTGAATCTTTTAGCCACTGCCATTGATGATTTTTTCACCATGACCTGTTCAGAAAGACACAGTTGTTTAATAAAAAAGCAACAAATACATGTAATTTGCTTAATTGTTAACACAATTAGTCTTATAATATTAGAACGTTGCCGGTTTAAAAGGAGAGAGAAGTGCATGGAAACCCACATACACTAGTTAATTAATAAAAAATATGTCGTTTTTTTCTGTACGTGAAAGCTAAATTGAGAATATAAACTAAAAAGTTACCTTTATATATGTAACTTCATTCCCGTTCTTTATCGCATTTAATGATAAAATTTGACTTTAATGTAGTTCATTAGCACATAATTATATATAAACTAACAATACACTTAACACTGATTCGAAACGAAGTTAGTCGAAACCTAAACACTGCCGAACTTATTTCGAAAATGTTTCACATAAATTATATATATTATAACTTTAAATGTTTTTTACATGTTTTTGGTTTTAAACTATACATTGGGCAAAATCAATTGTTTTTGCCCCTTAAAAAACTATTTCAATTTTCGATATTTAAATAATTTTAAAAAAACCCTTCTGGATAACAACTTTTTTTATTTTGAAAGGTAATTATTTTTTTTGAAAAAACTGTTTTATATTTTTTAAAAAAATTTTGACTTTTAAAAACACAATTTTAATTGAATTAATTAGTGCTTTTTTTTACAGCTTTTAACTTGTAAGACCCTATCGGAAAACCTTGTTAACGGCCGTAAAAATTTTTATTCAAATCCCTGAAATTTGAAAATTTTTATATCCAAATTAAAATTTTAATTGAAAATTCTTAAACACAAACCATTGCTTAACTTGCCAAACATTTTTTTAAAAATTTGGTTTTAAAAAATTTTGGGGAAAATTTATTTTTTGGACAGTCCGCTTTTAATTTTTCAAATTATATTTTAAACCCCTTTAACTTGTAAACAGGGGATTTGTGAAAATTTGGCCAAAACTTGCTAAAATTTTTAAAAATTAAACGGCGGGGACAACCATTTAAGCCCCCAAAAAATTCTAGGTTGTCCAAAAAAGGTTAATTGCCGAAAGCTGTATAGGTTTAAATTGCCCGTTAAATGTTTTTTTAAGGGTCAATGGTTTTTCCGGATTAAAATGTTTTTTTCAACAATCTCTTTTTTGCAAAAACCGTCCGGCCCGCTCAGATATTACTTTCTTTTTCCAAAAATTTATATTAAAATCACTTTTTGGTCAGTGCAAAAATTTTAATGTAAATTTCCGGCCCCCTTTTAAATGTAATAATTGGCCAAAAAATATATTCATTTAAAAAGATTAGCCCCCCCCCTTAGATAAACGTCCCGTTCCCATTAAACAAAAATTTTAAAGGGGCCCGGGGGATTAAAGGGGTTATTATTTTCGCCATGGCCATCTGTGTATTTTTGACAATAATGTTTTTCTTTTTTTGAAAAAGACAATTTAAAAAAAATAAGTTTGGGAATCCTTTTTTATTCAAAGTCTGATATAGCCGGCCGCCCGTTTAAAATATATTTTAAATAATGAAAAGAACTTTTCGGCCCCTTTTCCGGGCAGTCTTCGGTAAGGGTAAAAGGAACTGCAAAACATCAAAGGCGACCGCCCCAAAAAAAATTTTCCCCCTAAATACTTAAAAAAATTTTTGCTTTATAGCGTCCTTAATGTGACCTTGGGGGCTAGGCCCCTTTAAGTTAAACTTAAACCAAAAAAATTACTCTGGGCTTTTCCAAAAATGCAAAAAACAATTTTTAGTCAAAAAAAAAGAATTTTTCAGTTTATTTTTCCAGACAAGGTACCCGAGTTATCAGCATTTAATAAAAGCCCTTATTTTCTTAAAGGGGTTCCAGACATGTCATTGACATATATTAGACATAAAAGAGGACCTAAAATGAACCTCAGGGGAACACCATAGGTACCCGGAGCAGTAGTAGAAATAGTACCAGCCACATCCACAGCTGCTGTCAATCAGATATAAGACTTGAACCATGTTAAAATGTCATTACCTATGGCAGATGCTTGAAGTTTCATGGAAGAAGAAGAAGAAATATATGTATATATATAGAAACACGCAATTCTATACATAGAAACACGCAATTCTATAAATAGATACACGCAATTCTATAAATAAAAAACACGCAATTCTATAAATAGATACACGCAATTCTATAAATAGATCTATAAATAGATACATGCAATTCTTTAAATAGAAAACACGCAATTCTATAAACAGAAACACACAATTCTATAAATAGAAACACGCAATTCTATAAATAGAAACACACAATTCTATAAATAGAAACACGCAATTCTATAAATTGATACACGCAATACTATAAATAGATCTATTAAAAGAAACATGCAATTCTGTAAATAGATACACGCAATTCTATAAATAAATACACGCAATTCTATAAATAGAAACACGCAATTCTATAAATAGAAACACGCAATTCTATAAATAGATACACACAATTCTATAAATAGATACACACAATTCTATAAATAGATACATGCAATTCTTTAAATAGAAACACGCAATTCTATAAATAGAAACACACAATTCTATAAATAGAAACACGCAATTCTATAAATAGAAACACACAATTCTATAAATAGAAACACGCAATTCTATAAATAGATACACACAATTCTATAAATAGATACACACAATTCTATAAATAGATACATGCAATTCTTTAAATAGAAACACGCAATTCTATAAATAGAAACACACAATTCTATAAATAGAAACACGCAATTCTATAAATAGAAAGACACAATTCTATAAATAGAAACACGCAATTCTATAAATTGATACACGCAATACTATAAATAGATCTATTAAAAGAAACATGCAATTATATAAATAGAAACACACAATTCTATAAATAGATACACGCAATTCTATAAATAGGAACACGCAATTCTATAAACAGATACACGCAATTCTATAAATAGATACATGCAATTCTTTAAATAGAAACACAAATTCTATAAATAGAAACACGCAATTCTATAAATAGAAAGACACAATTCTATAAATAGAGTTGTTGTTGTTGTTATTGTTGTTGATGATATGTTGATGATGATGATGATGATGATGATGATGATGATGATAGATATCTATATATATAATTATATACACACACACCAATAAATATATATGGTCATTTAGTGCACAAATCTGAGAAAATTCAGTAATTTAATCTTCAAGGTCAAGGTCATTAAAGAGCCCAAGTCAATTTGGGTTTGATAAATAGCAAAGTTACAGCCAGTTACAGCCAAAGCAATGAAAAATTTCAATAATTTGACCTTTAAGTGAAGGTCATTAATGAGTGAAGGTCAAGGTCTATCTGGTTATTTTTAAGGGTTATCCTTGAAGATTATTATGTTCAAGTTTGAAGACAATCCATTCAAAAATAACAAAGTTACAGCCAATAATAGCCAAAAAAATGAAAATTTCAATACTTTGACCTTCAAAGTCAAGGTCATTTATGAGTGAAGGTCAAGGTCTGTCTGGTTGTTTTTAAGGGATACCCTTGAAGATTATTGTGTTCAAGTTTGAAGACAATCCATTCAAAAATAACAAAGTTACAGCCAATAATAGCAAGAACAAGGAAAATTTGGACTTTTGGCCTTGAAGGTCAATGTCATTTATGGATGAAGGTCAAGGTTAGTGTGGTCTACTGAAAGGTCTTGTCCCAAGGGTTGTTGTGGCCAAGTATGAAGACAATACACCAAGAACTAAAAAAGTAATGATCCAGGTACAAGTTTGCGGATGGCAACGCCGCCGCGACTATAACAATACCTCTACTTTTTTTTTAAAAAGTCGAGCTAAAAAGGGCTTAGACAGTTATTGGTTATGCCATTATTTATAACAGGTCAATTTGAAAGTGAACAAAACTGTACTAATACATGTACAATATCTATTCTTTTTGTACAGATTAAAAAACTAATCTTTTTTCTATAATAAGAAATTTTATGAAGGCTGATTTGTATTTTGCACCGCTCAAAAACATAAAAATACAACAAACAAACCACTTTGTGGGAGATTGTATTTTCATTATCTCATCTGGTGCCCGGTTACTTTTTGTACTTTGTTGGATTTCATGTGGCACAAATCACCCACTTTAAAATTGTGTGCACAAATTTATTCAAGTGCAATAATTCCCAGTTTCCATTAAAAATTAATATAACATCCTATTAAAGGGACTCCACTGAGGTTTTTTTGACATGATGGCACTGAAAATATTTTTTCCAGATAAATGTACCATTTGATGTAGGTTTAGAACACTAATCTTTGTGCAAAATTTCAGATCATTCGCGCACTTAGTTTATCCAGAATTATTCAAATTGTAAAAAATTGACCCAAATCGAAAAGCGTTTAAACGCTTTTCACTCAAATCGGGCTAAGAAAAGCATAAAAATATGATTTTCAATTTTTTTCGAAGTATATTTCATAACTATCTTTGCATATATTTCTGTTTAAAGTGCCCCAGCTCATTCATGTAAAAAATTCAAATGTTTTGTTTCTAGACTTTTAAACCTCAGTGGAGTCCCTTTAACATTGGTACTTGGATGGAATTCATAATCTTGTAGAAAGAAAACTATTATGTATAGTATAAAAGAAAAAAAAATCTCAAATAGTCTATATCATACATGTATAATAAAGAATGAGTTGTATGAGTGTCTAAACATAAAATGCATATCTCTTACAGTAACAAATACTGTCCCTCTTTTAACCTTCCATTAGACTTTACTATATAACTAACTGCATATATATCTAGTGTTTAAACTCGATAACTTCAGGATGTTATCCTTTCTCTGAGCACCTTTATGCATAATTTTCTACTTTTCATTTTTACCAAAGGTTATTTTATTAACAATTTATATACAAACACATAGAAAATAAAAGTTAGTTTCACATAGTCATTAGAAGATTCCTGTAGCAGAATACCTGTAGGTATGTACTAACTGAACAAACTAGAAAAATCTAGTCTAAAGTATATAAAGCCAGTAAAAAATCTATCAATTTTCACTCCTCAGGGCCTCTATGCTTTTGATGACCTTACAACTGGCAAATTTTATACAACAAAAATAGTAAGTAATACCCAAGATAGACAGAAAAGAACAAATAATTTAGTAAACATGTGTTACTTCCCCTTAAAATAGAGAAAACCTGAAACCCAAAAGAACACCCTAAACAGCAAATTATGAATTGTTGTAGGCTCAGTTTTATTAAGCCATGCAAAGTAATGGTAAAGTATTCATAAAAGTTAGATGGCAAAGTGACCGCAGTAATTGCAGAAAATCGGATAGCTTTCAACATCCGGAAACTGGTACACTTTGTAAAAACAATCATTCTGTGCAATAGATAAACGTAATATGGATAAAATCAATCGGATAATCGTTTACAACAGTTCCATTACCAGTCCTAATATTCATTTGCAGGTGAACGTTCTTCTTGTAGGAAAAGTTTGAAAATATATAACTGGATGAAAAAGAATACGGCATCAATGTAGACCACAACGATATTCGAAATCCGGGTTTTAGTATTGCCAATAAAGCTAAGGGACAAGCTGTTAAACTTAGCCTGCAATTACGTGAAAATAATATCACAATGCACATGCTTTTAACATAAAGTTATTAAATACAAATATTACAACATATTTGCATGTTTACTTGATTTTTACGAATCAAAATAAAACTAATTAACACAACATGACATTAACTGCAAATAATAACAGCTCCTTACATAGGCCAAAATAAAAAGCATTCCATAATTAAGAGACGACGCCGCTCACCGGCCAATTATAGATAATAGCCGAGGACGTTCCGATTGCTGATATGTCCAGATTCTGATTCAGACCGCTTCCCGGACAGATAAAGGTGTTCTCAGCACGGTGCCCGAAAAGGCAGATGGTTTAGATTTCAGCAGAATCTGATTCATTCCGTTGTCCGGCAATTTATAGGTTGTTCTGATATAAAAGATGAAACAGCTAAATGGTTACATACCTATCTCATGAACGTAAGATCTTGTGACAATTTATAGTGTAGTGACAATCATATTGATGACCCATTATTAACTAAGATGATACATTTTATCAAAGAGAGTAAGGACAAAAGTGAAAAGTATATGTTTATCGAACGTTTTACGTCTACTAAGTATACAAAATCTGATGGCCTTATCATTGATTTATTTATTCATGGAAATAAAAATTGACGATATGATTTTTTTTAATTGGTCACCTCAATATGAAATTATATCTATTGATCATGTCTTGAAATAAGGTAACGTAACAAACTATAAATCAATTGTTCAGTCACCGCCTATGGAGAATACAATACTATTTACATTCAGTAATTTGAACTAATATTTATTATTAAGTTTCAAAAGCTTGTGACAAGCTTGTAAAGAACAATCGATAGGACAAAATCGATATTAGGGCAGTAAATCAGAATATTGTAATATTTGAACAGGACCTTGCATTCTAAACAAGACCTGCACTTAAATACTTTAAGGAATTTAATAATCATGCGACGGATATGTACAAAGGTAGAGTAAACTTTTTTGTGGTTATTATATTTTTTGTTATTAGCAGTCAATGTACATGCATAAACTCTACGTCTTTAGTCGCGCGCTATTTTATACAATTTTAAGTACTAGCACATTTGTACTTATTTATTGTCTTTGTTAAATAACTTATATATCTATCTTGCACCATCTTATGTTAACATACATGCTAGGTTAATGAACATTTGTGTTGTTTGTATGCATCGTGTGGTTTCAATATAACTTTATTATTTTTAATTATATTTCTTTATCATTTAAACTCACAACTCCTTCAAATCAAGATATTAAACTCAATCATACTTCATACTAGTGTTTTTGCTAACAGACGACATTCACTATAAACACTTGTTCCGTTTGCATTCTCTTTATCCATAAATTTGTTATTCTTATCTAATGAACCTTTTATCATAATCACAGGAATAATGTATAGAATAGATGAGATATATGTGTCATTAGTTATAGCTAGTTATATTAGATTAAATAATACTCTTTAAATGTAATAAACATATCTGACCTAATTGCAGAAATTCGGTGCTCAAATTTATGACGATGATCTATCAACATATCAATTGAAATATTATCTTGGATATGCGAGCATTGTACCCTTTTGTCTCGTGTTCAAATAATTTATGTTTCCCTAACTTACTCAATTTGTACACAAATTTAAGCTACGCTTATAACAATTAATTGATTGTAGATATAGGCAGATTGGATTGGTAGGAACAAAGACAACAAATAACAATTCAAATTTAACACGATATTATTTGATTCATCCCTTTATTTAACAGGCAGAATTTCAAAGGGAGCTGGAATACGCTGGTGATCGACTAGTCGCTGTTGATTTCACCGCTGTTTGGTGTAAAAACAATGATAACGTGACTAGAAAAATCAGTGACGCCATGTTCCAACCAGAGTTCTCGGAGGTGGTTTTCCTTCAGGTTGACGTTGATGATAATGAGGTATGTAACAAACAAAATAACCTCTCGGTGACAAACAAAGTAACCTGTAACATACAAAATAACCTCTCGGTGACAATGAAAGTAACCTCTCGGTGAGGAATGTTACAAACAGTAACCTCTTGGTTAGGTATGTTACCAAGTAACCTCTCGATGAGGTAAACATGTAAAAAACCAAGCATTCTCTCGGTGAGGTAAACATGTAAAAACAAAGTAACCTCTTGGTTAGGTATGTTAGCAAGTAACCTCTCGGTGAGGTAAACATGTCAAAGAAAAAGTAACCTCTCGGTGAGGTAAACATGTAGAAAATAAAGTAACCTCTTGGTTTGGTTTGTTAGCAAGTAACTTCTCGTTGAGGTAAACATGTAAAAAAACAAAGTAACCTCTTGGTGAGGTAAACATGTAAAAAACAAAGTAACCTCTTGGTGAGGTAAACATGTAAAAAACAAAGTAACCTCTTGATTAGGTATGTTTCCAAGTAACCTCTCGGTGAGGTAAACATGTAAAAAACAAAGTAACCTCTTGGTGAGGTAAACATGTAAAAAAAACAAAGTAACCTCTCGGCGAGGTAAACATTTAAAAACAAAGTAACCTCTTGGTGAAGGAAACATGTAAAAAAAGGGTAACGTCTCGGTGTGGTAAACATGTAAAACAAGGTCACCTCTCGGCGAGGTATGAAGCAAACAAAGTAACCTCTAGCGAATTCCAAGTGTTTGTTTCTTGGAAATGTGGCAACTATAAAACATAGTTTTATAAATACATTCTTTGTAAATGATCGTTTCCGTATAGTCAGTTATGCATGTAATAAATACAAATTTACGAAATTTATTTCTCATGTAAGATCCTATGTTATATTTAAATTATTCTAATAATATTCTCGCCATACTGCCATGGTTAAGTATCTTGCTCTGGCACCAATCATTTCTTAACGTATAATTCATATATATACATACATATATGTTATTGTTGATATCTAAATAATTTCCTATTACAGGACACACCTGCTTTCTGCAATGTCGATTTTCTTCCAACTGTCCAGTTTTACAGATTTGGACAAAAGGTAATTTTCAATAATCTATAACTTAACATAATATTTATATGTATTTATATGTTTGTATACTAGTATGTGAAATTATATTGCTTTGAAAAAACATTTAATGCCTAATAAATGTTATGTAATTATGTTATATTTCTAATAATCTATTTGTATGCAATATTGTCGGGGAACTACAAACATTCAACAAAATCAAAGCGTCAGAAATAACATTCTTGCTTTTATATTCAAAGAACAAATGTACATAAATCTTTTCTGACTTGTTTTATCTTAGAATACAGAGAAATAAATAGTTTCCGGTCATTTTATTTTGGGAACTACAATACAAGATTTATTTTTTGTCGTTTCCCTTTTTATTAAAACGTTTACTTTTATTATATTTTAGGTTTCGGAAATACATGAAGATACATTAGACAACCTTACATCAGTGTTGCGGTTACATAGATAATTATTAGTCTTAGAAAAGTCACCGGACATAGTTATTCACATAAAGACTTAACATTCTCAGTTATAATCATATCTTTATAATATTTGCTGTGTTAACTCTTTGCTGAACACACCAGTGCTGTCTGGCTAGGCTTTATAATCTTGATATTGAGATTCTTTAAATTCCGGAAGTAAGCTGTTCCAGTCAAAGCAGCGTTAAATTCGTTCCCTGTATTAAATAGGTAAAGGTTTAGATGTGTTATTTATATGGCCTTTCGAGCTGAGCAAAATGAATAGTACATGAACGTGGAAATATATAAAGAATTAAAGCACTTATATGCAGTGCATTTAAAAATCATACAATGTAATACGTTTTTATACTTGTTATCAGATATGTTAAACATGTAGATGTTTTCTAGGGTATTAATTTTGATTATGTAATATAACATTTCTAGCTTTATTTAATACGACACATGAAAGAAGAATGAATATATTTTTAGCTTATGACGTTTACTCGTATGCCACTTATTTACCTTAAGTAAATAAAAAATTTGAATTAGAATGTAGACAACACAAATTTTCAATATTTCTAAAGTGAAATTATTACCTAGCCATTACGTGTATTTAGTTTCGTAGATTTTCGAGGATCTTCCTGGTGTTTTGGAAACTCTTACACTTTCTCTATGTAGTTTATTTTTCACTATTGTGTCTTATTGTTATTGTTATGAATTATTGAATGTGAAAGAAATAAAAAGACATATTTATTACATTATTTTTAGATATTTTTATTGCATACCTTAGTACTGAAATACAGAGTGGTTAAAGAAATAGTAATTTTCAGGTAAAATAATTCTAAACACTTTGAAATAAATACCTGAAATAATACTTGGTTTAAATATTTCAAACGAGAAAACGTAGCACGTGCATATGGAGCTCAGAAAATCAAAATAAAAAATGAATACTTGCGTGAAGTCAGGATTCAAATATTGATTTGCGGTATGCTAAATAATGTGTTTTTCAGTAAGGTTTCAATGCAACAAATTTATATAGTTGATAGGTTGATTAAGCAAGGTTTAACTAAACTTGTGTAATTTATATAGCCTGGATCCGAGTAATGAACAAATTGGGACCCAAGAGGAAATTTTCATACTTGGTAATGTAATAAAGTGGCTGAAAGATTAACAAGGAATATCTTACCTTCATTTTAAAGACTCGGGGTAGAAATGTTTTAAAAGTTCGTAAATAATGCTTAATGATCTCTTACAATTCTATTTTAGAATGGCTATGTGCATTGTACATGCATAAATTTTATGTATTGATGTTATGAATTGTACGATGAAAAGACTTAAATAAAAGATTAAACAATAACATCACTTTCGATTTAATTGCATTTGAAAAATGATAATTTATTAACATATTTATAATTTTTGAAATTTAAAATCTTTGTACAAAACAGAACACATTTCAAATCAATGTAATTTGTTTTGTCTGAAAGACAAGTGTGTATCTATATGCACTAGAGATACTACCATGTTATATTTATTTTTATTCGACGATTTTCGGAAATAAAATAGATAAAAGAATTTATTCTAAAATCGCAAGACCTAATTTTTTATTTTCAAAACCGTAAACATTTAGAAAAGGGTTTCACGCCAGCATGTTTATGCAAAATAAAAGAATATAAGAAAATAAAGGCAAGAACAAAATATTTTTTATATAAAGAGATCAACTTGTCATGAAGAGATATATAAATAAAAGTGTTTTGAACAATAAGATTATTGGTTTATGTATTACATAAAAGATCATTTATATATAGAATAACAAGCATTAAATCATGTGTTAAAGGTGTCACAATGTCTCCGTGCAATCACTTAGCAAAGTCACGTGTTTTATTTGTGTTGTTGAATCAATTTTTCCAGTTCATCAGCATCAGCCCCGACCAACTCGCCAACTTTATCCTGAAATAAAAGTGAATACAATACAAAGTTTATGAATGGCAAATTAATACCAAACCCTTTATATATAACATGATTGCTTAATGATAAAATATTAAAATTAACAACGTGTGAATTTCAGAATATCAAAGTTTCATGTACTTTCATTGGTGTGCTTATTCACTTAGACTGTGTTATAAATAATTATTGAATTTACGAAATATTATGTAAATAAATGTGTGGTAATAAGCGAAATTATATATATTGTATAGATGTACTTTGAAATATACCTAGACTTTAGAAATATTAAGGTAAGAGTAAAAATGGTTACCCCATTTTTCATCAAATGAAATGTAGGCATAGCAGAAATATCGCACTTTTTAGCAACCTCCTAGAATAGAATTTTGAGCATTATCCTTCACATCACAAGAAAATAATAACAACAACAACAACAATAATAATTTAAAGTGGTTTAATTTTCACTGACGGCTCTGCAATCCAGCTGGCAAAATTCAGAAGTTTTATGTAGGTTGTATGTTTGTTTTTTTTCCCGCATATTGTATCATACAAAGTTGTGAGAATTTAAATTTTATAGTTAATTAAATGCGTATATGCTTTATTGACAAGATAGAACAAGAAAAATATAATATATAAATACCGAAACATCATCAACGTCCACCTTGATGAATACAACTTCTGGATATGTTTTGGAAAACTGCTGTGATAGGAAAAAAGAAAATGAAAGAGCTTTAAAGTTTCATGGATAAAAATGTATGTCTAGGTGTAAAAGATAATGATAATGTGGTCACTGTCACATCACACTGGCCATAGTTCTCGGAGAAGCGGTGGGTCAAGCGTAGCGTCAGTGGAGAATTCGTCGCATTAGGTGGGGAAAAAGATTGTCGGTCACTTTTTTCTATTAAGTTCAGTCATATTTCTACATGTATGTAGTATATGTAAATATATGTTAAAGTGCCTTTGATTAAACTTTTGTAATATGTTCTAGATATGTGACATGTTTAACATTGATGTTTATGTATTAAGATGATATACTTATGAATAAGTCTAATAAAATGTCTGTTCTGTTCATATTTGTTCAGTTCAACAAACAAATTGACACTTGTGCGTTTGTGGTTTCAAAAATATATTAAATCCTTTAATTTTTCTTTGGAACCAGAAACACACATGTGTCAAGTTCTATATTAAAGTAATGTTTAGAAAAAATGTAAGGAAATAATTCATAAAATTATTGACTATAACAAACTAAACCTTGAATAAATTTTTATATTTTATCATAACACAAACAAGAAACTTTTGACTATAAAATGAAGCTATCTGATACAATATGTTTTAAGTAAAAATGAACAACACTTCGAAACAAAATTCTGGAGAAGTACTAACGACATATAAATCATAACAATGAACTAGCCTTTTTGAAAGTTAATCTCAATATAAAACCTCAATAAACTTGAAAATTGTAAATGATATAGACATAGTTACTTCAATTTTAGGGGCAATCGCTCTGCAAGGACCACACCAGGTTGCAAAAAAATCTATGACTATGAGCGTGTTCTTGGTATCTTTAACAATCTTGTTAAACTCTGCCTGAAATACAAAAACCGTTCAGCTATTGGGTCATTTAAAACATTTTCAGCAAAATAAGCGCAGCATAAAAAGTATTTGAAAATATTGTACATATATAAATTGTATGGTTTCAAGCTAGAATAACGGTGGCGCAGTTATATGTCGCAACGCCGCTAAATGCCGGATGCCGCTTAATGTCGCAACGCCGCTAAAAATCGCAGACGCCGCTAAATATCGCAGATGCCGCTAAATGTTGCACCATTGCCAAGACAAAAAGCTGCAAGTGGACATATAACGGCACCAAAAGACACAATTTTACCAACAAGTCAATAATTCTTAAAACTAGGACTCCTGGATAATACATACAATAATGAACATTGATAATATAATAAATTATATGATTTATAGCAATAGTGTGACACAATTTTCCATATTCTATATATTGAAAAAGAAACGATTCGGGCAGTTGTAAATGTCAAATCAAACAATCTGTGATTCTCTGACTGAAAAGACTACCTTCTGTTTACACCAGTGCTATAACGCTATATCGAACTGCGCGTATAATTATCATACATGAGCCTTTTTCCTATACTTTACAAAAAAGTATTACATTTTAAACCTGACATTATCAGAATTGAACTTATTTTCATTGACATTTAAGTTACCGACCGCATGTCTAAATCAAGTGTCGTATTGGAAGTGAACGCCGATCTCTTTATGATTATCAATCAACATTAACAACTAATCAATAGCATAGGTCTACATACTTCCGTACAAGAATCATTTGTCCATGTACTCTCTTTTAAACACAAAACATATACATTATAAATGTGATCCTTGGCAAATTTTTAAAATTTACCACAACAATAAATTTGCCACAACAATAAATTTGCCATCTTAGCAATCAAAAAGAAGAGGAAGAAAAACCTGAAACGTTTTGCTTTGTACCTTTTCTATAAATCTAAATATTCATTTGCGGGTCATGGTCAGGCAAATAAAAAAATAAAAATAAAACAAACAAACAAAAATACCTCATCTTTTACAGCCGTTACAACCATTTTGAAAGATATAACGAATGAACAAATATCCAACGAAAAGATCCTAGAATGTTAGAATTACCGCAGTACGTTGAATGTATATACCCGAATCATTAGGATCAAAGACTTGATTTCATGTAAACCGTTCCGCTTCAAGTTTATGTTAACATACTTGGGAGATATACTAATAACTCAAATTATTGAATATTCTATAGCTGTTCAATAAAAAAAAGTATAGTATTTCAACTCTCTGTGATATTAAAGTTTGTTTGCTTCAAGCTCAGACCAATCCAATATCTACCGTAGAAGTAATTTTGCTATCAATATTGAATATTGATTTTGGTTTTATTTTGATGATTGGTTCGTATCAACCCACAATACACCACGGTTATTTGTCACTGTATTTCAAAACTGGACCCGCAATTATTCTTTCATCAAACAAAGGGTATAATAGAATCGATCAAAATACAATGTATATATGAAAAGATTTTTTTTTCAAATCCCATTTCATTTACTTTTATTGTGTACTAAGTATCCATTCGTAAATTAAATTAATCAACATCGTCATATCAGATTACACTCCTGCATATCAAGGAATTTTCTCTCTTTATCTTCTGATAAATATTCATACAACACTAACAATATACAGTATATTTTTCTGTGAATTTGCCTACCTCAAAATTACGACATTGAAAGGGGCTCGGTAACGCCGCATAACAGCGCTGTGGCATAAATTTGGCCCATTTGGCTTATACGGTGTTTTTCCTAATTTGGAAGTAAAGCACATTCTTACCGCATGAACAAAATCAATTAAAACACGATAACAGCGATTAATTATTTCGATAAAGTTTCATCGAGATCGGAACTAGAATTTTGTGTCCACTTAACATAAGAAAAGTCTGACAAATATTTAGTAACAAGTTTAAATGTGAACCAAACCAATTGATCTCTCTGCAAAAACATTTTAATGACAAAATGGCCCGATTAAAAATGGAATTATATATTATAGTCTATCCCATCAATTTTGAACATTTCGTTGTTTATTAGATATAATAGTAAACTCAGCTAGATAAATGTCATATTAACCCTGGAGATAATATCTCTAGGCACGTTGTTTAATTTACATAATTCTGTAGTTGTCAGAAAGGTGTCAATTAATATGTATCAAGTCTTTTTAATGACATTTAAAATGTTCAGCTCCGATAGGATACAATTACATACTAACCTTTTTATTTCGGATACAATGTCTGTGCGCTGTAACAACGAACTTTGGGTCAAACGCACTTTGGGGTCCAACCCAAAGTGCGGTAAACTTCACAGCGCACTTTGGAGTCAAATGCACTTTGGGTGTGAACTTTAAAGTGTGTTTATATGCTGAAGGTATCATCTGTGTTGTGCTGAGAGATATTTTCAAGATTCAAATTTTTTTATTGGCAAAAACATTCCACAATGTCCATCGCCATGTTCGGCGGTTCAATAAACATATAATGAGAAAAACATGTACATAATGAGAATGAGATAATTTTTAATTAATTTGTAAATAGATTAATAAACCAATCTATTTAAGTCTCTTGCCAAACATGCAAAGTTTTTATCTTTCCAATTTCTATTCAAAGTACAAAAAAGAAACCCACTAGATAAGTGCATAGAACATAAATATGAGACATATACATACATAATATACAATCATTGTGAGAACTGGTGAAGGGTATATAGGAAAATGATATATAATGATATTTTTAAATTCCGCTTAAATACTGAGTACTTATAAATTTTCGATCTGTAACCTTAAAACATTTAAGTTGGAATTTACGGAATACCGTTAGAATTCAAAATGACTGTCTATACATAGATACATAACTGTGCAATCAAATAATATATAACTTACAGTGCCAGTGAATTCTGATGTAGCAATAGTTTAAATACTTACTTGTTGCTTATTAAATTCCCAATAAGAAGAGCATTCTGTTTTTTTTTAACAGAAAAGAACAGAACATACTCTTTATTTGGAAGACACAGATTACAAAATATTAAATACTGCAATAACATGTGGGCAAATTTTTAAACACAAACAAAGTTATTATACAATAAATATTGCTTATGGGTATTGTTATGACTAAACCTAAGCTGATCTTACATTCAAAATTAGTGTTTCAATCTCCTTTCTTCTTATGAATGTTTTGGGGGGGTTTTTTTGTTTGTTTTTTTGTTTGTTTTTTACCAATGTAATTCGATTGAAATGAAAGTTGTCACTGGATGGACATAGAAAATTCATAGTGAAAAAATAATTAAGGCTGGCAGATTTAGTATTAAAGAAAAACGGAAACTAGAATAGAAGGAAAAGGGGAAATAATTATATAAAAAGTATATGCGTAGTATTAAATTGACATTTCAATAATCATATAAGCATTTTAAACATATAACACAATATCATGGTGCATGAAAAGTATTGAACTGATTTCAGTAAACATGAGATTCATCATCAAAGTATGAATGGATAAGTCTGGTGGTCAACAACAAAAAAGTAAGGGAATAAAGAAAACTTGAATACTCTCAATGTAATACAGTGCACAGATGAGGGGAGACAGTAAAAAATAACTTAACTTGACATATATAGTCGCATTTACTTCCCATTAATTAAAAAAGGGTCAATTGAATGTCTTTTATAATTATAGGGGAGACTGGGGCACTCTGGGATAAAAATCATAATTTTCAATCTCCTCTCTTTCGTGGATGAAAAGGACAATATGTACTGGATGTAATAGATAACTAACTGAACCTAAACTAATTAAGTTGACTTGGAGATATACATTAGTATACAGTCATTAAAAGGGCACTCTGGGACACCATATATGGTACAGTGGGACATGCTTGGGTATATCATGACAACATGTATAATTTCATTGAAACTAAAAAATTACTGGAAATGAGAAAACAGTTAAAGGAATAAACTTTATCAAACTGTTTTTTTAAACTTAAAGTAGAAGAACTAAGTTTAAGTTAAACACACAATCAGGATTCCAATATATCTCAAATATAACAAGACCCACCATCGGGTGAAGACAACACTCATTTTTTTTACTTTATCTAAAAGCAAGTAAATAAACAGTTCTAAACAAATCTTTAAAAAGAAAATTAAAGGGAAAAATAAGTTTTTCCTTCACACATTTACAGATCACTATTTAAAGTCCGATCGAGAAACTTGATATTTCACCGTAGCACTGTAATGGAGTATATTTATAGTTCTTGGAAGAGAAAAAAAATACTAACTGCGTTTGATTTCATCCCCACCATATTTAAAATGGGGCTCAATATGGCACCAACAGTTATCAAGTAAATGACTGACACACGATATTTTTCACAGCATCTTTTAATTTTATGAATACATTCACAATTTATGTACTAGAGTGCTTTGTTATGTGGACACAATTCTTAGATATTTCAAATGGTTAAAATTAATGAAACTTTTATCACTAAAGCATCAAACAAAGTATCGATCGTCATCTTGAACTCCACCTTAAATATTTCAATGTCGCAGATCGAAAATAAGTCAGTACTCAGTATTTAAACAGGACTCAGTTGACACCTTAAGAACTCTGGAACCCAAAGTGCATTGATATGTAACATTTGGCCTAATTTGTTTAGCATGAGATTAACTACAAGATACTACTTTAAATCATCACTAAAATTCATTTTTATTAATTTAATTTTTATGACCCCAAAATTTGGCCCTTTGTCTCATGTTAAAAATTGCATATGTACCGGTGTATCACACTTTAAGGTCAAGATTTAACCACAAATTAAGTTACAAACTTGGGATCTAACCCCAAATTGCGTAAATGGTAAATTTCATTGTCATTCACAAGTCCAATTTCATTTCAACATACTGAGTTCAAGGCCCGAAATACGCTATCGCGCATTCTAACTCAAAATGAAGAGGACGACTTGATAACATGGTTGTGTGAGAACCCGTTCCTGTCCGACAAAACATCTTCAGACGTCAAGCTTAAAGAGAATACAGCCATAGCCCTGACCCTCTAAGCTCTAACCATCTGGACCACAACTGCAACTGCTCATTTATTTGAACCAGGAATGTTTGAAGATTATATTCTAAAGAATTTGAAACATGACCATTCACGACTCGATTACGATCATTAAAAACAGATGGGGTGGAATTCTGGCAACGATCAAGCAGTGGTCCAGTTAGTCTAGTTGAGATCGTGTATGACGCGCGTATAGGCCTGAGTAATCGAGGAGAAGTAGGTATGTTGGTCAGTTTGTCGTTGTGAAGAAGTCGTCAAATCGTAAAGGGTCGACTTGAGGTAGTGTAGGAGTCGTGAATGTGCATTTAATCGAGCTTCGTTTATCTTCGGGGGGGGGGGGGGCAGGGGGGATTTCTGTAATCGGTACAATCGAGTTTATCTGATCGGCGGTGGGAACACAGCTTTTGAATATTACTCTCGAAGAGCTATGTGCACTACAGCACAACGTGAGAGCTATTTTGAATGCATATTCACGTGTATGCCCAAATTTTCATTTTATGCCGGCTCGCCACGGCGAGCCGGTATTACGACAGGATTTTACTGAGAAACAACCTAAAACTCCGAATCCATCCAAAAATTCAATCGAAGCTTGGCTTCCAGCTTTCTACAAAATTTATCTATCAGGGCTAGGATCAAAAATTATTTAGCCAATCAAATTTTATCTTACATAGCGCCAAAAAACCTTCAATTTTCACGCCATTTTTAAAAAGCAGCAAGTATTATTTTGAGCGCAAAGATATACTGATGATTAAAATGTTTGTTTTCATGAATTATTTTCAATAAATCATATTTACACTGACTTTTGATTTAGCGATCTCACCTGTTCCTCTGTAGTAAGTTTTCGTTTGGTTAATTAACATAAGTGTACATTGGTTCTGTGCATTTTTTTCTTTTTCCTTTTTCCCGGTCATTTTATCTTTTCCGGTATTTAGTGTATATATTTAGATGTATATATTTACTGGCCGGGACGCCCGGACTGGCCGGGATCCGGGATCGTATAAGATATAGAGGAAAAACAAATAAACTATATTTGTGTTGATTATTGTCGTAATGAAAGGCCATTAAACGTTAAGTTTTTTTATTGTATGTAATGAACGTTAAATTAATTAAACTTAGGATATAAATATATTTAGAGCTATTTATTAACAAACTTAAAATGCGGAAATCACAATACTTATAATTATATGCCGAATTAATTGGAAAAATCAAAGAAAACGTTCTTGAATTGGTTAAATCCCGGGATCCCTTTATGTTTTAATGCGATCCCAGCTTTTCTGAAAACTATATTCTTGAACTGGCCAATTCCTGGGATCTCTTTATATTTTAATACGATCCCGGCTTTTCTGAAAACTATATTCTCTAACTGGTCAATTCCCGGGATCCCTATATGTTTTAATAGGATCCCGGCTTATCTGAAAAACATCTTAGACTGGTCAATTTCCGGGATCCCTATATTTTTAATAGGATCCCGGCTTTTCTGGCTGAATTGATTGACAACTTGTGTTTACTTTAGAACTTGTGTCTGTCACTCATTCCAATACTAAATAACATATTACAACTTAACTTCGTATAAAGAGACATCTAAAGTTATGAATTCTACCTATCTAACATTTATTTGGTCAAGGTCAACAGGCCATACAGTAAATGTGCATAGACATAGGGACTTCATTTTATCTGTTTACATGCATCTTCATATATACTCATATTCCTCTTTGTTAAACTGAGAGAACTGGCTTCAATCACTTTTATTTTGATGTTCGCTCAAGTCTCTTCAGCTAACAGAACTGTCATTTTTACATTTAAACGCACCCCTGGAAAAAAATTACGAAGCGAGTCGCTACTAGCTTTTTTAAAAGCTAACCTTGTTGTACATTGTATGCCAATGTTCATTGTGTCACATACATGTACATTTCACTAACTGGATGTATACTTCAGAATGACATTATGACATCATAATGAATTATAATTGTTACCTATTTAATATCATATCATTGACTGATTTCTGCAGTTTCACGACAAACATTAACGTTGGCGCAGACGGGGTGTTACCATGTTGAAGAAAACATCTATTCGAATATCCAACTACCATCTACCAACCAAAAGGAAGAGGTTTCTTTACTTGAAACTTTGTTGGCCTTCCTTCACCAATTTGATATAAATAAAAAATGACAATTGAATATCATAGTCATATTAATAACTATTGGAAATGTAAATAAATAATCCACTTTAATTGAGTGCAATTAATTACATGTAGTGTTCTTATAAAATATGTTTCTGTGTGACAGGACATCAGTTAAGAAGACCCGAAATGCGCGTAGAAAGACCATAACATGTTGAATATTTTAGATTTCATGCAAATAATACACCGTGTGAGAAAATTTAACATAACATCTAAAAACGGATTTTATTTTGGAGCGTATAAGTTAGACATTGTATGATTTAAATCTGAAATAATAAAACTATTTAACGCATGCAATATCACACAATAACACAATTTAAGGTAAGTTACTTATTTAAGGTTACTCATAAATAACGTTTTGAGAAGTATTGCTAAAGTAAAATGCATATTTTCATTTTTCGTATTTTTGACAGTAACAATTTATATTTCCCTGCAGTGAAACATAATTTCTATATTTACACTGCTACCTTGCCGGACAACTTTCTCCTTAATTCAGCAGATACACAAAATCAAAGGTCCAAAAAAATAAAAAGTATATATAAACAGAGCATTCAAGTTTTTGCTTTAACTACAGGATTTAATTTCATCGAGTGTTATGAAAATTGTATTAATATTAATCAAGGGCAACATTGTCGCAATATACGCCAGTCACCGAAGCTTTTGAGCATTACAGATATGCATATAGGAGATATAATGCTCTGGGCAATATCTGGAAAATATCTGGATATATTATCACCTCTAGTGATTTTTTTATCTGAACTTTAACCCTTATGTGTGAACTTGACCTTGAGCCGCAGGGACCTAAATTTTGCGCGCGACACTCCGCCACACAATAGTAAACATTTGTGCCAAGTTATTGAAATCCCTCTATGCATGTAGATGTTTTGCTCCGGACAAGCGTTTTTCAATGACCTCTTAGTGTGACCTTGACCTTTGACCTAGAGGCCTGGTTTATACGCGCGACACTGCTTCTGATAGTGGTAAACATTTCTATGAAGTTTCATCAGAATCCCTTCATATGTGTAGGAGATATGTTCTGGAAAATATCTCTATATTTCATCATCTTCAGTGACCTTGGCAATCATCTTTAGTGACCTTGACCTTGCATATGTTAATCTAAATTACATGTTTCTCACCAGAAGTCATAATAATGACCATTTGTGTTTCAATCCCTCAATAAATGATGACTAAATGGTCCCAATACACAGTTTCATATTTTAAACTGAACTTTGACCCCCATGTGTGACCTTGACCTTGGTCACAGGGATATAAATTTTGCACGCAACAATCCGTCTTACAATAGTGAACATTTGTGCCAAATTATATTGAAATCTCTCTATGCACGTGGAAGTTTTGCTCCGGACAAGCGTTTTTCAATGACCTCTTAGTGTGACCTTGATCTTTGGCCTAGAGGTCTGGCTTATGCTTGGGACACGGATTCAAATAGTGGTGAACATTTCTCTGAAGTTTCATTAAAATTCCTTTACGGGTGAATGAGATATGCTCCTGACAAATATTGGACGCAATCTGCCAAGCCGCCCGCCAAGGGGGGAAACTATAATACGACACGTTTTTTCAAACAGGCGTATAAAAAGTGGCGGAAGATAAAGCCCGTCAGAGCATCGCGTAAGACGGCAAGTTCGCATGTTTTCTACTGTACAGCACAGGGTAACGTTTAACGCTGTCCATTTTTTTATTACATCATAAAAATGAAGATGCTTTTCCATGTTGCTCAGTGAAAGAAATACCAAGATATAACACAAGTGTGTCAAATAATTTTAATTTATTTATAACACCGTAACATGTAGAATTACAACCAACTATTTTTTTTTTACAATAAATGACAGAAAATATACAATCGAACATCTCTGTAATGTTAATTTTCAAAAGAAAACGATCGGATTTGTTGTGATCACAAGTGTATATGAAACGATTTTAACTTTAAAAAAAAAAACAATTTTTATTCTTTAACAAAAACTAATCATTTCGTCCTCATGTATGTCAATTTCCCTCTCCTCGTCATCATAATGGCGTTGTATGCCGTGTCTCGTGCATTCACTGAAGAGATGGCACGATGGTTCCGTTCTTTTCCGTAAAATGAACGTGCCAGCATTCTCTTGATATGCAGAGTTACTTAGGAAGTGCTTAGCATTATTTGTAACGTGACCTAAAATTCACATTCATGAGCCGACACTTTTGTAGACAGTGAAAGAAAAAATAACTGTCGTTAGCTGCCATAAATGAACTCCAAAGCTAGCGGTTCCAGACGTCACTTCCGTTTCCGGTGCGTAGTCAAACTCATCGTAGAATTTATCGTAATCTTCAGACTTCTTGTCCATTCCAACCATATAGTCGGGATTGTTTTCGTAACCTTCGACATATGATAATTTTTCTGCAAAATATAGTATAAATAGTAATTAAGTGTCCAGAACGTTAAAATTGTTTATTAAACAGAGAAGTGACATGATATGATTTATATTATTATGAATGATAAGTAATATTATTAAAAAAATGTATAAGCTCAGATGTCAAATGTGAAAGTTAAGATATATGCATCTAAATCTATGAATTCAAATAACGTAAATTATGCATCGAAATGTATTATTTCAAATCATTAAACTTACTGCATCCATGAATTGTGGTGACTTTACAAGTCATTCTACCGTCGAAGCAATGACAAAGGTGACAACCGGAAGCCATCCACGTTCCGTGACGAATACTTCCGCATGAGCGATGACGTACACGGTGCTCACAGAAACGGCCATAGAAATTTCTGGAATAGATAAAAGACAAAATTATAAAAAGTGATGAAAAAAATGTTGCTGTTTAAACTGCAAATAAAATATCAAGTGAAACATATTTATACTTATTAAATAGGATAATTATTACATGATATTTGGTAAAATTAACGAATGTTAGCACTGTGTTTCTATAAATATATATCAGACAGCACAAAATCTACATCATTTAAAAAAGAACTACAATATATCAGCTGTTGAAGTTCTTACCGTTTGCAGTGACAGAATGTGTTCATAATGCATATCCCGCCATTTAAACAACAACTCTTCTTATCGTCTGCTTCTACAATTCCTTTCTTGCTAGCATCTATAATATACAGAAGAAACTTAAAGATATGCTTTTTCGAAATAACATTTATCTTAAGGTAATATTATTCTATATACGCCCTGAAACAAAATATAGCCTTGTCCCAGATACACTTCGTGCGTCGATTTTTTATTTACTTTTTTTTATTTTTAGTTTCCGTTTTTTTTTTTTTTTTTTCCTTTTTTTTTTTTTTTTTTTGTTTTTTTTTATAATTTTTTTTTTTTTTTTTTTTTTTTTCTAGTTTTCCGTTTTTGTTTACCAACTGATCATAGTTATTGAAGTAAAAGACATACCTAATCTGATGCCATATAAACATAGAAAATCGATACTTTTATGGCATGACGAATTTTAACACATCTCAGATAACACTTCAGATATTATGACATGTATATAAATGAGACTTTATGGTAAATAAATAAAAACGCCAGACAAAATAGTTCTAAAAGTGTGAACCACATAGACATATATTTTTCTCACATCTTAAAGAATCAACAGATAGCACGCAGAGAAGTTTTGGAAATTGAAAGAAAAATGCGAAAAAAGTGCGTAATTTAAACCGCCTGATAGGCATTTATTTGACAGGTGGACACATACCGGGTCAAATCAGCATTCGGACAATAAAACAGTCGGTAAAGATTTTGACATTATTGAAGCACTTTTATTACGGGTGTAATAAAATAACATCTCGGGTAGTTTGACAAATCGTGTTTATGAAACTTTGATTAAGATTCTACGTGCATATAAAAATATAAATAATGCAGTTTTCAACATGGACGCGTTATGGCCAGAGAAGTTCCGAATATACATTCTTTTGGTGCCGGACAACACGTTAAAAATTAAATCATGGGTACTTGTAACAATGTAAACACATGAAGATAAAGTAATTCGCATTTATTCCCGATAAAGACCTAATCATACCTTTAATAATCTGTTATCGCATGTAAATTGTCACAGACAAGGACATTTTAAAACGGGCATCTAATCTCTTTAAGGTTTCTCATACATTTACAACTATTTAATGATTGACGACATATTTGCAGGTGAGAACTAATAAATGGTTTTGAAATTTTACAAGGAATATCATGTATTCTAACGAGTAAATTGTATATGTATTCTGCAATACTTACCTATAATGTTCTTTCTGTCTTTGTTATGAGTCCTTTTTTCTCTACTTGCTGCCCGCAAAGATCTTGCCAGCATATCTAAAAGGGAAAATTCAAACTCAACTGTTAAACTCAACGTAAATGTTACTTTAATATCCGGTTTTATGAATAGAAGAATATATATAAAACATCCCCACAAAACTGGGTATTTCAAACATTTTTGTGATAAGAAAGAACGAAACTAAATGATAAATCATTTCACACAGCTGACAAATGTTAAAAGATTAAACACGATTAACAATTAATGGTTGATGACTTTGTAACGAAGTTTCTGAGATACCAAACAATTCAAGATTGAGGCAGACACGCGAATTGCAACTGGTGCAAAGTATGTCTCCAATTTACTGTTCTTTGACTCGTAGTTCACCCTTCCTATCTAACCAACGCTGACTGCTTTATCACTCTTCTTTGGGTCTATACAAATAATTTAACTAATAAAAATGTCGGTCCTTATTGTAAAATTATATCAAGCAATACAACAATTTCATTATTAGTTCAAGACCAGGTGTGGGAATATTTGAAGGTAAAACAACAGACATTGGTGGAGCAATATACACAGAAATAACTCATATTAATGCGCATCATGACGCCAGGGAAAATGACTAGGCCGAAAAATAAAATTATTGCTATTTTAGTGGAAATACAATGTAGTGATTCTACATGCATGCACAGAAATATACACTAATGGGTGATGCTTGTATATGTTTTTTTTTAAACTAGCACGATTTATTTCTATACACTTTCTATATGCAATATCAACCGGTATATTTCGGTCACTGCCTATTATTTTACTTGATCATTACAGTCAACTAATTGCAATGTTCGTTCATTATCTAAATGTTTTGATGATAACATATCATTCTAAGCGGACTTTGATGCAAACATTCAGATCTACAAAACTACAACAATAATTTTAAATAGATCGGATCGTTGACTAAAATCACTATCGAAGTCTACTCTTACAGATAAGCCAGGTACAAATTCTCGGATTGTAATGTAGGTCCAACACCCGGCTTCTTAGATTATCTTGATCAATATGATAAAAACCATATAACACCTGTTTAACAAGGATACCATAACGGTGTGTGGAACATTATATTATTAAATATAATTATAAAAAAAATATGATTGAAATTGTGAGCTTATAGAAATTATAAACAAAAATTATTATGAAATTTTTTGATAGTGAATAAACCACTGATTTATTACCTGATAGATCCTGATTTGATTCTAAGGCTGTAGCAGTAACAACAAAGGCAATGAACAAAATACTCCTGAAATATTAAAATATGATATGTTAATCTTTGTTATTCTATAAATCTGTTTTCATTATCATTTATCAATATTAGGCTCCAGTTCGATTATTACTTTTCCTTACATCAAACCTGGGGTATAATATACATATATAATGTTATAGTATGTCTTGGATCTGAACTTATTTCTGTCATGCCGAATAAGCGCATTTAGTCTTCGCTAATAATTGCTTAATGTAAAGATGACAGTAAAACTAGCTTTACATCAAATCATTACAAAATTAAAATAACTTCTGCTCCATCCATGGTCTGTTCTTAAAATATATATAATTATCGATTTATCAAGCCATCCTATTAGGGAGGGTAAGTGGTAGAATGTCATTAAAAGTGACAAAAGTATCAATAACTTACATGTTTGTGTGAAATAAATCCATATTTAAACAATTTTAGAAACCAATGTATCTCAATGTACACAAATGTTAAAAACTTGTTTATCTTTAGATTAAAGTCTGAAAGTGATTTGAAAATAATTTATGTAGTCTTATATATGATCCACGTGCTTTTGTTTACAAATTAGCGATAAATTTCTATTGGTTAAGCGTGTTACCCGATTGCCGGTCACGTGGTGTTACATTGCCAATGACATCGCACCTTTAATCAGATACGTCTGCCCCGCAGGAACTTCTAACAGGTGAGATAAATACCGTGCTTAATTTGATAAATTATGCAAATTATTTAACACTTTAATCAAGTGTAGATTAATTATATAAACGGAAACAATCACATGCACAATTGAACAACAAATTGACCGTGTGTCAAAAATTGCTCACTGGCAAAGACATTACTGTCGGATCTTTCTATGCTAAATCTACTTTCTCAGATTATCCACTTTGTATTTTCAAGGTATTTTGACTTTTAAAACAGAAAACAATGAAAAAAGTGCATGATGAACTAACATATGATATACGAGGGTTGTCCAAAAAATTCGTGCACTGCAGTTATTGTCGTGAGAGTTATTTATAAAAACAAATAAATTATATATCACTTGAAAGAGAAATCTGTCTCAAATAAGAAAACAAAAGAAAAAGCCGAGTAACCGGCGTGTCGTGTAAAAGAATGGTCGTTGAGTTGCCTTAGTAACGTAATACCGGCGCACGACAAAAATTGGGTTAGGTCATTACTTTAATTGTATTAATTGTGTGTTGCTTGTAAAGTAGTATTTGCTTTTTATGTTATAATTTGTTTCACTGTCAATAGAGGAATGATTGATGCAAAGTATTGTGTAATTTTTATTGTTTTTATGCAACGTACATGTAGCATATTCCACCAGTGCTCGAATATATTAGACAACCCTCGTCACATGCGCCGGCATTACGGACGGACGTCTGTCTGACCGGTTGTCATCGTCTACCGACTCTCTTTCTTTTCCACAGAGCGTTTGTGCCATTTAAAAACCAGCCTTATATACACATGTAAACAATGACTATGAAGTTTTCCAAACCAAAATGCCAAGACATCATGTCATTAACCGTGTGATGCTATTTCTAAATCAAAGCACAGAAGGCGCGGAATTTGTTTTGGTCTCAGAATGTCAGAAAGGTGAAGATTGTGAGATTATAAACCAATTTGTTTTTGTATAGTGCCAGCAATGCTGTTTCCAGTGTTATAACTGTGCTAAATTGGCTATAAGGCTAATTGCAACACTGTTATTCAATTCAGTATTTGGCTTTAACAGTAAGTAAGTAAGTAAGTAAGTAAGTAAGTAAGTAAGTAAGTAAGTAAGTAAGTAAGTAAGTAAGTAAGTAAGTAAGTAAGTAAGTAAGTAAGTAAGTAAGTAAGTAAGTAAGTAAGTAAGTAAGTAAGTAAGTAAGTAAGTAAGTAAGTAAGTAAGTAAGTAAGTAAGTAAGTAAGTAAGTAAGTAAGTAAGTAAGTAAGTAAGTAAGTAAGTAAGTAAGTAAGTAAGTAAGTAAGTAAGTAAGTAAGTAAGTAAGTAAGTAAGTAAGTAAGTAAGTAAGTAAGTAAGTAAGTAAGTAAGTAAGTAAGTAAGTAAGTAAGTAAGTAAGTAAGTAAGTAAGTAAGTAAGTAAGTAAGTAAGTAAGTAAGTAAGTAAGTAAGTAAGTAAGTAAGTAAGTAAGTAAGTAAGTAAGTAAGTAAGTAAGTAAGTAAGTAAGTAAGTAAGTAAGTAAGTAAGTAAGTAAGTAAGTAAGTAAGTAAGTAAGTAAGTAAGTAAGTAAGTAAGTAAGTAAGTAAGTAAGTAAGTAAGTAAGTAAGTAAGTAAGTAAGTAAGTAAGTAAGTAAGTAAGTAAGTAAGTAAGTAAGTAAGTAAGTAAGTAAGTAAGTAAGTAAGTAAGTAAGTAAGTAAGTAAGTAAGTAAGTAAGTAAGTAAGTAAGTAAGTAAGTAAGTAAGTAAGTAAGTAAGTAAGTAAGTAAGTAAGTAAGTAAGTAAGTAAGTAAGTAAGTAAGTAAGTAAGTAAGTAAGTAAGTAAGTAAGTAAGTAAGTAAGTAAGTAAGTAAGTAAGTAAGTAAGTAAGTAAGTAAGTAAGTAAGTAAGTAAGTAAGTAAGTAAGTAAGTAAGTAAGTAAGTAAGTAAGTAAGTAAGTAAGTAAGTAAGTAAGTAAGTAAGTAAGTAAGTAAGTAAGTAAGTAAGTAAGTAAGTAAGTAAGTAAGTAAGTAAGTAAGTAAGTAAGTAAGTAAGTAAGTAAGTAAGTAAGTAAGTAAGTAAGTAAGTAAGTAAGTAAGTAAGTAAGTAAGTAAGTAAGTAAGTAAGTAAGTAAGTAAGTAAGTAAGTAAGTAAGTAAGTAAGTAAGTAAGTAAGTAAGTAAGTAAGTAAGTAAGTAAGTAAGTAAGTAAGTAAGTAAGTAAGTAAGTAAGTAAGTAAGTAAGTAAGTAAGTAAGTAAGTAAGTAAGTAAGTAAGTAAGTAAGTAAGTAAGTAAGTAAGTAAGTAAGTAAGTAAGTAAGTAAGTAAGTAAGTAAGTAAGTAAGTAAGTAAGTAAGTAAGTAAGTAAGTAAGTAAGTAAGTAAGTAAGTAAGTAAGTAAGTAAGTAAGTAAGTAAGTAAGTAAGTAAGTAAGTAAGTAAGTAAGTAAGTAAGTAAGTAAGTTAAGTAAGTAAGTAAGTAAGTAAGTAAGTAAGTAAGTAAGTAAGTAAGTAAGTAAGTAAGTAAGTAAGTAAAAAATATATATAAATAAATATATATATAAATAAATAAAAAGATAAAAAGATAAATAAAAAGATGAATAAATAAATAAATAAATAAAAATGAGTTGCCTTACCTGGGATTTTAACCCCAGACCTCTGGCTTTCTAAACGTGCGTGTAACCCCTGGACCACGGGAAAGTTATAAGGAAACAGCCTGAAGCAAACCACATAATTCTAAATTAGGGTTTGTAATCCTTATTAATTTCGAGATATTTTGTTCACGTTAAACCTGTTGTTTAAAACTGGATGTAAATAACCACGAAGCTTAATATAAGCATGTATATCTGTGAAATAATTTAGCAAAAATCTTCTCAAAAGTATATAATATTGCACTACTCTGTGGATAAAAATAGCGCTTTGTTTACGTGGATTAAATTATCAGAACAGAACAGAACAAATATTTTATTTGACTTAAGCATTACAAGCCCATCGTCGATAACAATGAAAAAAGGAACATACATGTATATATATATTGGTGTGACATGGAAGATTTTACATATAATACATGAATTATTATTTCCTTAACACATATATAGTGAGAATGTAACAAAGGAAGAAATATATTTATATATACTCAAAAGTTACATGGAATAAAAAAAATTAACAAAAAAAAGGGAATGATTTCAGATTAAGAACGACATTTATATCATTACAATAGTGAATCCCTTAATTTGAAAGCTTTAAAACAATATAGAGCCAAATTTTTCAAGATCTTCTTATTACTACTTTGCATTAATGATATTCATACTTAATTATATTTGTGTGGGTATAATAATATCTGGGTATATAGAGCCTTCTTAAATCGACATAAGCTGTACATTTTAAAACAAAGTGAAATTCGTCCTCTAGATCGTTTAAATTACATAGTGTACATTTTCGTTCATCGCGCGGAATATTATAATGTCGGCCGACTTCAATGTTAAGTTTATGTGAAGAGAGACGTAATTTAGCCAGTGCGTTTCTAAATTTTGTATTTTCTAATAGTCTGATATAATTTGACTGCTCAAACGTATCTTTTATCTCCCGGAAAATATTTAAGGAACTTGACATCTGCAACCCCGTTCTCCAATTACTTATGTATATATCTCTAAGCCTACAACGTAAGACTGGAACAAATACATTTATTTTAACGGATTCTGGATATAACCAGACTTCACTTAGACCAGAAGACTGAAGGATATCGCGTATAAATGAGACCCAATTTTTTATTGATTCGTTTAGCTCTAGACATTTGATTTGATCTTGTAAAACCGCCTTAAGTATGCAATTTTCAGACTTGACGGTATTAATCATTAGAAAATATTTAACCATTTTAACATGTCTTTCTATATAGAGTGGAAATCTACCTAACTCACTATAGAGGGCTAGAGTATGTGTAGACTGCTTAACATTTAGTAGCCATTTACAATATTTCTTATGTACTCTTTCTATAACCTCTGAATTTATATAACCCCACGCCTCTGCGCCATAATTTAAAACAGAAAGTACATACGAATCAAAAAGATTAAACAATATATTTATTGGCACTTTCATACTACGAACAATAATAGCCCACAAAGAATGTAGAGATCGCAACCCTTTCCCGGCTAATGTTAATTATCGGGTGCTTAACTTATAAGACCGTTACTTGCCTAAATTCGTCCCAGTCCTAGAGTCAACATCCTTACTTTATTATTCAGAAAGTATAAATAACAAATGTTCAATAACTCGAAGCTTTACGGATATAGCCGAGCAATTTTCATTGATTAAAATGATATTCGTCCGCGTAAAAAAATTATAAATACATGACCGGTAATTTGCGAAAATGTTAAAGAATTACACAATATTAGAAATCTTCGACCAATCGAGAACTATTTTTTTCCCTGAGAAGGTTTGAAAATTAATGCAGCTGTCATTTGACAATCTTTACGCAGTGATCTCCCCTTAATCTTTCGGCGTTAGTGTACTTATAAAGGGAAATAACCGCTTCTAGGAGTTCGTGACGGACTACTTGCGGATTTTGCAAATAATCATATCAGGGTGTGAAATTTCGCCACCATTATTTGTTTGGTCTTTCGACCCAAATAAATAAAATGTAACGAATGCCTCTGTTTGCTTCTTACATTACATGTATTATACGCATTTCATCTATAAAAAAAGAGAGGCGCATTTGTTTTTAATGAATACCATATCATTATGTTATGATCATTTTGCATCGATTTTATCCACAAATGACCCCTCCTTGCTTATTCTCAGTAAATTTTAACACGCATGAGACATTTGTATTGGTCACAAACTTGGTTTGATTCAATTTCCACGTGTATTAAAAAAGCCGATTAACCATCAAGTCTCAATTAATTGAGACTTGATTGTACATTGATTTTTAATTTACTTTTCTGGAAATGGTATTAAGATCTGTGTTAAAATGTTGAAAAAAAGTTTTTAATGGCAGTTGATTGGGACGGATCAAACCGGACGCTGGGACGGACCCCAAAGCATCTGCGGATATAAGAAAATATATCAACAACAGGTCATTCTTTAATCTTAAATTACATTCTTTAATTAAAGTCCTTCAAATAGAAATTAAAATTCTTACGGGTATTCTTAAAATATTGTTTCGTCAATATTTATTATGAGCGTCTGTAGTAGAATGTTTATGCCTCCTCTTTAATCCACATGTCCTTCCGTGCGTGTGTCTTTCCGTGAGTTCCAAAATGTGGTGGCACGTCCTTGAGCTTGAATCAACAAACTAAACTGAAATTTTGATCAGCATTTGAAGTTCCGCAAGTGAGATTTCGCGTGTGGATTAATTAAGTTTTGTTAGAGTAATTGTCCTTGATTAAGTTAAGTTTTGAACTGTTAAGTTTTATCGCGCGTAGCTAAAAAACGTTTTGACTTGAGTCATGAAACTTTACAGGAATGTTGGTCAACATGTGTAGTTATGCACCTGTGGGTTTGCTTGTGGATCTACTTAGTATGTAGAGTTATTTCCATGGACTTGGTATTTTTTTCAATTTTCACCTCTGTCGCCCAAGGGTCACGAAACCTTACAGAAATGCTGGTTAGTAGTTTAGTTGTGCATCTGCAGTTTTGCTTGTTTTTATTTTCTTTAAAAGCAAACTTGAGCATATAAAATTGATATTTGGAATTCTTGCAGCTCAATTTCGGGAAAAATCAAGATGTCAGCATTGAAAACAAGAGGTCCATGATGGCCCTGAAATCGCTCACCTGTATATCGGCCCCGGGGCGGGGCCAATTTTAACCCAGGGGCTTTTATTTGAACAAACTTGGTAGACACCCATTTGAAGATGTTTCATAATAAATATCTAAGCTCAAGCTCTAAGAAGATTTTTTAACTTTTTACTATACACTTATAAGGAAAAACAATGATACCCCCCCCCCCTCTTGGCAGGCCAATTTTGTCTCCAGGGCTTTTATTTGAATAAACTTGGTAGACACTCACTAGAAGATAATTCATGCTTAATATCTAAACTCTAGCTCTTTGGGTATTTTAAAAGAATATTTTTTAAGTTTTTACTACATGTATATACATATAAGGAAAATCAATGATCCCCGGGGCGGGGCCAATTTTAACCCTAGGGCCCTTATTTGAACAAAAATGGTAAACACCCATTAGAAGATGTTTCATGCTAAATATCTTAGCTCTAGCTCTAAAGGTTTTTTAAAAGAAGATTTTTTAAGTTTTTACTATATAAGTAAAGGGAAAAACAATGACCCCCCTGGGGTGGGGCCAATTTTGACCCCAGGGCTTTTATTTGAACAAACTTGGTAGACACCCACTAGAATATGTTTCATGCTTAATAGCTAAGCTCTAGCTATTTGGGTTTTTTAAAAGAAGATTTTTTTTTAAAGTTTTTACTATATACATAAAGGGAAAATCGATGACCCTAGGGCATTTATTTGAACAAACTTGGTAGACACTGACTAGATGATGTTTCATGCCAAATATTAAAGCTCTAGCTCTTACGGTTTTCTAAGTTTTTTCTTTCAGTTGCCATGGCAACCAGAGTTCTGCTTGGAAGAACAAAGTTTAAAATTGACTACCAAAGAGATATTTCTGTGAAGTTTGGATGAAATTGACTTAGCGGTTTATGAGGAGATGTCGTTTAAAGTAAAAGTTTACGGACGGACGAAGGACGGACGGACGCCGGACGAAAAGCGATCACAAAAGCTCACCATGTCACTTTGTGACAGGTGAGCTAAAAAATGGATCTCATTTTTATGCTCAAACCATTTTATATTTTATTTTATTGCTATTTTCGTGACTTATGAATAATTTTATTCATTGGAATGCCATATGAAAAATAGATGTATTTAATTACGTTACATTACACTACATTACATCACACCACGTTAGTTAATTGAGAATCTATAATGAAAAAATAAAAAAGAAGTTTTAGTTTTTTATATTATAAAACAGATTATCGCAATATATATTGCGATATGGGTTACCTGTATCGTAATATATCACAATGCGGGTTTCACCATATCACATCTTGTTGGAACACTTAATGGCTCATTAAGCCCCCGAAATTCTTTTATCTTTAATTCTCAAAAGCCTTTTATTTTTGATGCTCTGCTATATTTTTCAAGATACTAACAACCATTGGCCAATTACCTGAACCTTCTTTTGCATATATTGCTGATTGACAATTTGTACAGTTATAGTGATGAAGTATGGCAGTCAATTTCGCCGGTACTGTATGGCAGTCAAAATACTACATGTACATGTATTTCTTTAACATTTTCATGGGGAAAGATCTGTTACACGAGGGATGGAGTTCTAATGATGACTTGTCAGGAGTTCTTGTGATAACTGTCCCGGAGTTCGTCGGAAAACTTTTGTAGAAACACTATAGGAACACTCGTCAAAAATTGTAATTTTCATCTTTAAAAATGAGTTTTATGTGCTAAATTAAACATTAATGATTAAGCTTGCCTTACATCTTGTATTAAATACTAATTTATAGTCCATTTTTCAGCGACTCTTGTTTAATATCTGGGAGTTTTGAGTAAAATTTCCAAATTATTTGCAAATTCACACATATTAAAGATCCTGTATGTTTTGTGATTGATATTGTAATTGTGTATATACCACACTTGCAAAAAGTTATATATGTATATAATTATGCAAATAAAACAATTTTCAAACATCGAAGAATATGTAAAATGTGAACTGCAAATATTTGTTCACATTATATTTAATCAATAAATTATATGCATTCATTTCTTATTGGAAATTTTGACTTAGAATTTACAGAAAATAAAATTCTAATTACCTCCCTTTATTTACATGAAATGTTAAATTCGGTAATATCTTTATAAAAAATGCTTATTGGAACTTACAATATTGACAAATCTTAATTTGAGCATCATATAAATGAAATAAAACCATGAAAAAAATGTGTTACAGGATCTTTAACCTGTTCATTTGTGCCATACAAAATTTACCTATACTTATAATACAAAGTTGCATACATAAAGCCCGGGCTTACAAATTTATGCCCGATTTTTCAAATGCCCCGGAGTTCTTGTGAACAGTTGTGTGACAGTTATCACAAGAACTCCTGACAAATTATCATTAGAACTGCATCCCTCATGTAACGGTTCCTGCCCCGTGATTTTGCTACTTTTATTACAAATAATTTCACATTTCACACCTGTATGACTAAACTGGCTATCTTTTAAATACATTGTCAGCATTTAATTTTTTTTTATGAATTCTTATAATATTATGAACATGTTCAGAGATCACATACTGTTGATTATAAATGTCAAGACCGCCATTCTTTAAACAGTCCTTTTAAACTGCGTGATCGGTAAAATCAAGTCATTTTACAAGAGGTACAAACTTAAAGCGATAGCAAAAAATCTTAAGGCGTAACACCTGTTCCTTTGCCATATTTTGCATGCACAGTGAGTTGCATAAGCAGTGTTCGGTAGCCCCGATCATTGAAGGCTTTGTTGATTTTATTGTTTTGTTTTTGTTTTTGCTAGAGAGACTACAGGTGTTATGTCAGGTATCGGACCACAGTAGATTTTGGGCTTCTACGGAATGGTTCAACTGCCTGACTAAAATAAAAGGGATAATTTCATTATAGATTTGCAATGTTATGACATATATGCTCTTATTAAAATGTTTTTTTTTCCAAGGTTTGGCAGTTTGGGGTTAGAAATATCAGATGTGCTAGCATTGCCTATAGAACATTAACGGCAGGAACTTGATATTTAGTTAAGAGTGCTACCTAATCGTGTTGCAAGCAGTTAAAGTAAAATCATAGTGCGGACAATATAACAGTTGGTATAAAAAAAACTGAAGAAAAAAAGTAAAGAAAAACAACAGCAAAACTGGCATAACCGAGTAATTTTATTGTAGGTACAATTATTAATGGTTCTGATTCTATAACGTTGGAGTAACGGGCTAATCATGTAGATGAATAAATTACATTTTACAAGTGTATAGCCTATTAAAATTTCATATACAAATATTATTAAATCCAAAACAGTTGTTATTACACAACAGAAACTAATCATTTCGTCTTCATGAATGTCAGTTTCCCTCCTCTCGTCATCTTGAACTAATGCCGTCATCTTGAACTAATGCCGTCATCTTGAACTTACGCCGTCGTATGTTGTGTCTCACTCTCACATATATATTGTATTTAATGTAAGAACGACACATATGTTTCTTTCGTTTTCGTAGTAAGAATGTGTTGACCAGCGTTCTCTTGGTATGCGGAGTTACTTGCGCAGTCTGTTTCTGGTTTCGCTCCGAACCATTCCTTTGGAAAACGGTTGTGTTTGATTTATCTTCCGCGTATCAGACAATATACGTTCATGAGCCGACACTTTTGTAGACGGTGAAATAAATAGTCACCATCGTTAGCTGCCATACCGGAACTCTAAAGCTAGTGGTTCCAGACGTCACTTCCGTATCCGGTACGTAGTCAAAGTCGTCGTAGAATTTATCGTAATCTTCAGCCTTCTTGTCCATTCCAACCATATAGTCTGCATTTTTATCGTAACCTTCGACATATGATAATTTTTCTGCAAAATAAATAAAATTCAGAATGTTCAGGAATGGTACAATGTTCAATAAAAATGAATAAAACTGATATTATTTCTTTTTAGTGCTTATAAAGATTTATGTTTAGGTGTCAAATAGACTGATGTCTAAAAACCTAAAAAAAATAAAGTTTGAATTTTTTACATAAATAAGCTAAGGCATATTAAACAGACATATGCAAATATAGTTAAGAAATGTACTTGGAAATAAACTGAAAGTCGTATTTTTGTGCTTTTCTTAGTCCGATTTGGATGAAAAGCGTTGAAACGCTTTCCAGTTTGGGGGTTATTTATACAATTTGAATAATTACTCTAGAAGAAATGAGTGAGCGAATTATCTGAAATTTTACACAAAGGTTATTGGTCTTGATCAACATCAAATGGAAAATTTATCTCGAAAAATTATTTCTAGTCCCATGTCAAAAAAAGACTCAGTGAATTCCCTTTAAAGTTATTGAAATCTTAATTCAAATAACGAGAGATTATAAAACACGAATTTGTATTAATTCAAATCATTAAACTTACTGCATCCATGAATTGTGGTGACTTTACAAGTCATTCTACCGTCGAAGCAATGACAAAGGTGACAACCGGAAGCCATCCACGTTCCGTGACGAATACTTCCGCACGAGCGATGACGTACACGGTGCTCACAGAAACGGCCATAGAAATTTCTGGAATAGACAAAAAGACATTATAATAAAAGAATTGCATTTATTTAAAAACAAGTTAATATACTTTACTTATAAAAATAGATATTAAGTGATATTTGGTGAAATTAACAAATATGAGCACTTTGTTACTATAAATAGATCTATTTATTACATGTTTTGCAGTAGATTACTGAATTATAACGGTTAATTATATTCTGATAATTTCACAGTAATGATTACCAAATATAATTTCACAGTAGCCGAACTATATTTGGCGTAAAAATAAAATATTTATCATTAATGAATGTTTTTTTCAGCGGAAATGTAGTCAATCATAATAAAAAATGTACGTGATAACTGTAGTTCGTAAATATTTACGAACGTTGTGCTGAAAAACATCTAAAATCTAAAAATAATCATGGAATTATATTTTGCTTCAACATTGTGACGTCATTATTTGATGACGTCATGAAGATAAGAGCATGACGTTACGCGGCAAAAATCAGTAAAATGGTGTAAAAATCTACAATAAAATCATGAAATAAACAGAAAATTTGTTTGTTTTACATGTAAGATCAAATAATATTTCACTCGTGAACCCCAGCTATTATATTTTCACTCGTGGCTACGCCACTCGTGGAAAATATTGCATCTGGTGTTCACTCGGTGAAATATTTTTCGATCTTACACTGAAACAAACAAATATCCTCTATATATATAAAAAAAAATGACATTCAGATGATACGTTTTCAATATTTCATCGGACCAATGGTCTATGAGGACAAACAGAAACATGATAAATGACAAGACAGTGTAAAGCATATACATACAATATTGATAAGCGGAGAAGGTATGCACAATTTTTATGTTATCATTAAAATGATATAAAAAAAAACTTCAAACGTATATAATTCTAAAATAAATTACCACTGTATAGCAAAAGTTGCGGAGCGGTTATCTTCAGATGTTAAAATTTAGTCAGCTGTACTTACCGTTTGCAGTGACAGAATGTGTTCATAATGCATATACCGCCATTCAAACAACAACTCTTTTTATCGTCTGCTTCAAGATCTACTCTGCTTTTCTTGCCAGCATCTAAAATATACAAATGAAAATAAAAGAAATGCGCACAGTACTTAATCTTAAAACCTAAAATGGCTTTAACAGAATTCTAGATAGCAAATAGAAATTGCCAGACAGGTAGGCTTAAACTAAGTTATGAAGAAATGGCATGTATTTTGTCAGGCAAAAAAAATCTAAAAGGTATGTATTTTTATATAAACAAGATGCAAAATGAACGCTAATTTGGACATTTTACCCGGGGACACCCGATAAAACACTCGGCAAAGATTACAGTTTTATGACATTGTAATAAAATAATATCTCGGGAATTTTGACATATCGGTTTTGTAATATCAAAATCATTACTATGCATTTTTAGTTGATTTGAGATTATGCATGAATAACAAAATGATTTAAAGTTTTCGTCGTGCACATGTTAAACCCAGAGAAAATCCAACTAGACATTCTTCAGGTGCCGGACAACACGTTACTGGTTAAATCATGGGTACTTGTAACAATGTTAACACAGCAAGATAAAGTAATTCGCGTTGAATCTGTATTAAGATGTAATCATACCTTAAATAATCTGTTATCACACTCAAATGTTCATAGTCACGGAAATAGAGAAACAGTTATCTAATCTTTTAAGCTTTCTCATTTATGTACAACTATTTAGTGATTTACGAGGTATTCGCCAATGATGATAGTTACTTGATTTTAACAGAGACATAGATAACATCTACTAGTATGTCTCTGATTTTAATGCTTTTAGAGCAACAATACGCATTCTTACAAGTGAAATTTACATGTATCCGGCAATACTTACTAAGAAGGGCTTAATCTTATGTTGCTTAGAACTTATTACCCAAGCCCTTTGCTTTTTGTTATTTACCTATCCTTTGTATAATATTTGACATTTTGATGCAATAAAATATGTTCAAGCTAATACTTACCAATAATGTTCTTTCTGTCTTTGTTATGTGTCCTTTTTCCTCGGCTGGTTGCATGCAAAGGTCTTGCCAAATCTATAAGAGAAAACGTGAGTCAAACTACAAAGTATTCAACCAATTTTAATGTTCCTACTATGTCCGGTATTGTGAATGGAAGAATATTTTTGGTTTTTAATTTCGAATCATTCCCACCAAACTCGGTATTTCAAACATTCTAAAGATAAAAATGAACGTAAATAAATGATAAATCATTTCACACAGCTGACAAATGTTTAAAGATTAAACACGATTAACAATTAATGGTTGATGACTATGTGACGAAGTTTCTGAGATACCAAACAATTCAAGATTGAGGTAGACACGCGAATTGCGAACTGGTGCATAGTGTGTCTCCAATTTACTGTTCTTTGACTCGTAGTTTACCCTTCCTATCTAACCAACGCTGACTGCTTTATCACTCTTCTTTTGGTCTATACAAATAATTTAACCACAAAAAAAGGTTGGCCCTTTTTGTAGAAATATTTCAAGCAATATAATTTCATTATATACTTCGATCAGGTGTGGGAATATTTTATCGTGAACAACGTACAAATTATTGGGGTACCAAAATACAGTGTCCAGAGAAAATCACTACGCCGGAACACAAAATGATTGCTATTTTTGTAAATTGACAGTGCTGCAAAACTCGGTATATTTTAACAATATTATGTTATTCCTGTACAAATACGAAATGTTGCAATAAGTTTAAAAACACCATTAATCCTTTAACGAGAAAATAGGGGTTCATGTAACAATAGAAATATAGTACATGTACTTAACGCAATACTTTTTAATCTTTTTCTTATCACTGCTTACAAGGCATATATCACTTAATTACTCTTTGCACCTTCTTATAAATATGATTTTAAAAATGGTGTGTTGGTTTTTAAACCAGATTATGGAAGTTATTCTTTCCCCATCAAATTTTTAAGGACCCTTGTGATTTAAGTAGAAATAATGATTCTACATGTATACACAAAAACATACACACACTAATGGGTGTTGTACGAATATCTTATTTAAACAAACGCACATTATTTTTATACACATAGACATAGTTTTATTGCAATCATATAAGGCTTATAAGCCCATGAAGACATGATAATAGCATAATACAAGACAACGAACAGCGCACATGTCGACATTATTAAACATAAGTATGGATGCATACCATGAAGACAACTCATATATGCAATATCAATCGGTGCCTATTATTTTACTTGATCATTACAGTCAACTAATTGCAATATGCGTTAATCTTAATGTTTTGCTGATAACATATCAGTCTAAGCGGACTTTGATGTTAAAAACTACAAGAACGCTTTCAAAAGGATCGGACCGTTGACTAAAATCACTACCGAAGTCTTCTCTTACAGATAAGCCGGGTACAAATTCTCGGATTGTAATGTAGGTCCAACACCCGGCTTCTTAGATTATCTTGATGAATATGATAAAAACCATACAACAGCCACTTAAAAACCATACCGATATATGGAACATAATAAATATATAAAAATTATGTTTGAAATTGTTATAATAGAATTTCTGATAATGAATAAACTACATATATATTACCTGATAGATCCTGACTTGATTCTAAGGCTGTAGCAGTAACAACAAACGTAATGAACAAAATACTCCTGAAATATTAAATATGATATGTTAATCTTTGTTATGTTTTATGGTATAAATCTGTAACATTACTACATGTATATAATCAATATTAAATCAAAGTTTGCTTATTGTGATCATATATTACTTTTCCTTACATATAACCTGACACATTATGTATGTCCCTGATCTAAACTTATTCATAAGCGCCTTTGGTCTTTGCTATGAATAATAATTGCTTAATGTAAAGATGACGCTAAAACCAGTTTTATATTAAATCACAAACAAATGCATTAAATTACAAAACTAAAATATTTTAAAATGTATATAATAATCAGTTTCAACTATTTTACAGTCAGCTAAAACTTACTATATATGAAGAGTAATCCTGGATGATTGACTGAATGTATAAATAACTTACATGTTTGTGTGAAATAAATCCATATTTAAACAATTTTAAAATCCAATGTATCTCAATGTACACAAATGTTAAAACTTGTTTATCTTAAGATTAAAGTCTGAAAGTGATTTGAAAATATTTTCTGAAGTCTTATATATCATCCACGTGCTTTTATTTACAAATTAGCGGTATGGTGCTAGTCCTTTCTTATTGGTTAAGCATGTAAATTATTACCGGTCACGTGGTGTTAAATTGCCAATGACATCGCACCTTTAATCAGATACGTCCGCCCCGCAGGAACTTCTTACTGGTGAGATAAATACCGTCTTAATTTTGATGAATTATGTAAGTAATTTAACACTTAAATCAAGTGTAGATTAATTATATAAACGGAAACAATCACATGCACAATTGAACAACAAATTGACCGTGTGTCAAAAATTGCTCAACAGCATATTCTGTGCAACTGATCCATACCGAAAACTATCAATAAATTACATTATCCATTCTGTAAAATCAATGCATATTGTAAAGCATACGATAAAATAATTAAATGCATGCTAAAAAATCCAACTTTCAAATGATAGATAAAAAAAGTTAAAAAAAAGTGATAATGAATTTCCCAAGCAAACCATGATCAGACACCAATTCATAAACGTTGTGATGCTATTTTAAAAAAAACCACACACACACACACAGTTAAAAAAAGAGTAACGAATGACTCGGTTTGTTTACATTAAGTGTATTTTATTTAATACTTATTCTGCAGATAAGTTAGGAAACGCAGTTGCTAATTTATGCTATAACCTGCATAATGTGTCATTCAATAAGATCATTTATTTCATCATTTTTATGGTAAAAGAATATATATCAACAACAAATTATACGTTCATTAATATGGGAACTTTAAAAGCACGATAACTTAGACTACATAACATTACGTCACATCACGTCACGTAAGGTTAGTTACATTACACATACAAAAACACCGTGGAAATAAGCTTTGACAGTTGGTTTCAGATGTAAAACTCCCTATATATATGGATCGTATTTTCTTGAAAACTTATACCATTTTGATTTATTTTTCATGTCTCGTTCCAGCGTATAAAGGGATTTGAGTTCCATATCCAACATCAAGGTACTGTTTAAAGGAACGCCAACTTAATATCATATTTGAATCACATCCGCATGTCCATACCGTCGGCAACAGTATAGATTTTCTTTATTTTTCATTTAAAATTTGGTGCGAATATGCTACTTACATAAATCTACAGTAAATGTTTTTATTCACATCAATGGATGTCATGGATAATATCCCCGTCTGCATTATCATTTAACGTAAATACGGTATCCACATTATTTCCTACCAATTTGGTGAACACCCCTTTCTGACTTCCTTACGATTCTCATCGTTGAAATCTATGGTATTCGAATAACCATTGTTTCATGTGCTTTTAGAAATATCATCATTTTAGTTTATTATTTGGCTACATGGAGCTTTATTCGTCAAAATGGAACATCTTGACATATATATTGCAATAATAGTATGGCGGTCAGAGAGTTGTATACGGTAAGAGCTTTATTCAGCCAGAGCTTTTTACGGTAAGAGCTTTATCCAGCGAGAGCTGTATACATAACATAATCTTTATTTGGCATAACATAGCATGAGCATACATAGTATGAGTATACGGTATGACCTATATTGTTATTCTTTGTTTATGGGTTGAAAATGAAAAAAAAAAAAACAAGACTTCTACTATCGGACATACATGTATTTGTGTATACTTAAAGCCAGGACTATGTTTATTTAAAATGATTTCGTTGATATATAGTCCTTACCTAATAGAAAACTAAGGATCTAATAGAAAACTAAGGTAATATTTGTGTTCGAAGTCTACATGTACTAGTATTTGTTTAAAAGACATCAAATAAATACATGTAATATGTATATAGTCATACCTTTACAGAAATGAATGACACTCCCAGATGCATTTGTCTGGTTTACTCATTTTCTATTATTCAAATTTAACCCGTTCCACGTTATATATTTCTCAAAGGGACTTCTCCATCTTTCAATCTGGACTTCGGGAAAATGTCAAAGTATGAACAACACAGAAAAAAAGAAACACACAATAAAAGAATCGGATCCGGAACATTTTAAAGGCTCTACGCCGAGCGCTTGAGAATTCTATGACAGGCGTTTGAAGGAAAAATGGCTTTAGGAACACAAAAAGTACCATTGATCACTTATCAACAGTTAATTATATTATTGATACTAGAAAACAAGAAGACATTGTCAACTGCGAGTGTGCTTTCATTGATCCACGCAAGCCATATGTTTTAATGAATCGTCACATTTTATGGGGTAAACTTGCTAATGTTGGTGTAAATGGTATCTAAAGAAGGACTGTTAAGTCTGTTTATGATAATGTTTCATGTTCAGTTAGAATTAATGGTTTTCTGACTGTGACTGGTTTTCTATAAGGACAAGTATAAAACCAGGCTGCTCATTTTCGCCGATGCTGTTTAATATTTTAGATAAATGAAGGTTGAAAATCAGTGTGTCTATTTTGCTTTCTGCAGATGATTTTGTAAAAATAGCAGATTATACTGAAGATTAACAACAATGTATGTTGAATTTATGTATGGTAAATAAATATGTGTATCAACAGTGGCACGGGTTTGGAAGCTATATATGTTTTAGCTAACAATCGTGAAGCGCGCAGAATCGCACATAGGATAAAAGGTGAAGAGAGATGATGACACGTCCAAATGCTGATGAAATATTGTATTTTTTTATTGAGAATTCAAAGGGGTCATACCATGCGCGCGCATCCTGAAAATTCTGATACCGCGAACACTTTTTCAACCGGTATTTTGAACAAAAAAAGAGTCATGTAAAGCAATCAGAATAGATTTGAATTTAATTTCTTTTGCAAAGAAGATGTCCTTACTTCTAGTTTTAATATTCCAAATGTCTTGACACAAGTCTTCCCTTTCTCGTCAGTATTTCGCGTTGAATGCGATTTTGATACTGCGTACACCCGGCGTGTTAAAATGTTACAGAAATTGGAAATTGTCGATTAACACAGCTGGAAGTTCTTTTATTGAAGAATCTATCTCATAAATATATTTTCAATCTTTGTTATTTTTCTTTTGTACGCAATATTTTGTAGAAGGTATGGGTTTGCATGAAGTATTTATTTTGTTTTGCATTAGAACTATGCTCTTTTTTCCCTTTAGTTAGAATAAATAGGCATAATATTTTATCATGGAAACGTTTCTTTAAATGTTGATATACATTTCATATTTTTGCATTTGTTTTACATTAAGTAAAGTAAAGTAAAGTAAAGTAAAGTAAAGTAAAGTAAAGTAAAGTAAAGTAAAGTAAAGTAAAGTAAAATAAAGTAAAGAAGTGAAGTGAAGTGAAGTGAAGTAAAGTTAAGTAAAGTAAAGTTAAGTTAAGTTAAGTAAAGTAAAGTTAAGTAAAGTTAAGTAAAGTTAAGTTAAGTAAAGTTAAGTTAAGTTAAGTAAAGTTAAGTTAATTAAAATTAAGTTAAGTTAAGTTAAGTTTAAAAGTTAAGTTAAGTTAAGTAAAGTAAAGTTAAGTTCAGTTAAGTTAAGTAAAGTTAAGTAAAGTTAAGTAAAGTAAAGTTAAGTTAAGTTAAGTTAAGTTAAGTTAAGTAAAGTAAAGTAAAGTTAAGTAAAGTAAAGTAAAGTAAAGTAAAGTAAAGTTAAGTTAAGTTAAGTAAAGTAAAGTAAAGTAAAGATAAGTAAAGTTAAGTTAAGTAAAGTAAAGTTAAGTTAAGTAAAGTAAAGTTAAGTTTAGTTAAGTTAAGTAAAGTTAAGTAAAGTTAAGTAAAGTTAAGTAAAGTTAAGTAAAGTTAAGTTAAGTTAAGTTAAGTTAAAAGGTTAAGTAAAGTAAAGTAAAGTTAAGTGAAGTTAAGTTAAGTTAACTTAAGTTAGTAAGTAAGTAAGTAAGTAAATGTGTATTACGCCGTTTGTGGCATAATTTTTGACATGTGGAGACACACCGGGTCAGACAATAAAAACGTCGGTTAAGTTTATAGCCGAATAAACAACTGACATATTGCGGCAATTTTATTACTGTAACTATATCAAAGTTCTAAATGACTGTCGCTTAACGGGATATATATATTTTTGCAAGGGTATGGCCGATTCAGTTTAAGAGTAAATTCTGTTTTCACTATGAATTACTGATAATAAGTAACAGACGCTTATAACAATTTGAACATAGAAAGATAGAGAAATTCTTATTCGTTTGTATTTGACTTTATTGTGGTAACATCGTATCAGTTACAATAATTCAGTCATTATTAAGTCAATAACAATATTGTATATCATGGTAATTATCAACAGTAGAAGAATGTTATAGTTTTCATGAGTGTAATGATAAAGTTTTTAAATCAAACATTTGTTATAATACAACAATAACTAATCATTTCGTCCTCATGAATGTCAGCTTCCCTCCTATCGTCAGCATAAACTAATTCCGTTGTATGTTGTGTCTCACATAGATAGCATGCGTTCAGTGAAAAATATGACACGGTGATTTCTTTTTCCGTAGTATGAATGTGCCCCAGCATTGTCTTGGTGTGCGGAGTTACTTCGGCAGTCTGTTTCTGGTTTCGCAGTGAACCATTCTTTAGGAAAACGGTAGCGTTATTTATCTTCCGAATGACAGACGATTGACTTTCAGGAGCCCATACTTTTGTAGACGCTGAAATAAATTATCATCATCGTAAGCTGCCATACCGGAACTCCAAAGCTAGCAGTTCCAGACGTGACTTCCATTTCCGGTGCGTAGTCGTAGAACTTATCGTAATCTTCAGCCTTCTTGTCTATTCCAACCATATAGTCGGCATTGTTTTCGTACCCTTCGACATATGATAATTTTTCTGCAAAATAAATTGAATTCATAACAGTCAGCAAATATATTAATGATCAATAAAAGTGACATGACATGAAACAATACATTTTTAAGCTCAATTCTTTAAAACGACAAATAAGTGTTAAGCAGCCCAATTTAGAAATTTAAATCATGAGTGAATTCTATGCATGAAAATAAAATTAGTTTAAAATAATAAAACTTACTGCATCCATGAATTGTGGTGACTTTACAAGTCATTCTACCGTCGAAGCAATGGCAAAGGTGACAACCGGAAGCCATCCATGTTCCGTGACGAATACTTCCGCACGAGCGATGACGTACACGGTGCTCACAGAAACGACCATAGAAATTTCTGGAATGGACAAAAAGACATTATGATACAGGATTACAGATCTCTTTATTTTGTCCTTAGATACATGACATTACAACGTGAGAATATAATATATATGTTCAGGTGAATATCATATTACTATAATTAACTTTTACTTAATAGATATAATTAAACTGATATTTGTTGACATTGACAGAATAAAAAATAACTGTTTGAATGACATTAAGAATATCAGCTGTACTTACCGTTTGCAGTGACAGAAAGTGTTCATAATGCATATCCCGCCATTAAAACAACAACTCTTTTTATCGTCTGCTTCTACAATTCCTTTCGTGCCAGCATCTGAAATAAAAAGATGAAACTTTAAAAAATGTTTAAAGTATTTAAGAAAAATATATTTACAGTAATATATGAACTAATAACTGAACGCTTTGTGTGTCCTTTTTGTTTTTTGTCTTTTTATTCATTTTCTTTAATCGTGACAGTTATGAAAGACACATGCGGTACTTATATAAAGGATGTAATATCTTATTAGTGATAATGTAAACATATAAAGTAATTTTGATGGAACAAGTCTGACATGGTGATCTTTGACACATTTCATTTGGCATAAAGACTTCTACCACATTACATAGGGCTTTATAATTATGTCAGACGAAAAATTCTAAAAGTGTGAGCCACATAAACATATATTTTTTGGAATTTGCCAAACGAATGCTGTAAAAGGTGCGTAATTTAAACCTGTGATAGGCATTTATTGACAGGTGGACACACACCGGGCCAAATCAGTTTTCGGACAATAAAACAGTCGGTAGAGATTCTGACATTATTGAAGCACTTTTATAACGGGTGTAATCAAAAAATATTGCGAGTGATTTTGACATATCGGGTTTGCGATATCAAAATTAATATTGGCAAATATCTAAGGCGAAGTATAAATCGTGTAACTATGCGTTAAATTGCAAACAGCCAGCCGAGATAATCTATATCATATGTATTCTGCAATACTTACCTATAATGTTTTTTCTGTCTTTGTTATGAGTCCTTTTTTCTCGACTTGATGCCCGCAAAGATCTTGCCAGCATATCTAAAAGAGAAATTAAAAATTTTGATAAAATTAAGACCAGCTTCATTATGTTCAATCTTCATTGTATTCAATGTGTTGTAATGCGTGTATGACATCCTGCACTCTTCGTTTGGTCCATACAAATAATTTAACCACTTAAACGTATGGCCTTTATTGTAAATTATTTAAAGCAATGAAGTAAGTTCAGTATAGACCGGTAGCGGGGTCTCAATATATTCAGAAATAGTGATCAAATATTACTATTCAATTTCTGCGCTAATCGCAACTTTTCGACCATTTTCTTCAATCTCCGGATAACATAATAGTCCAGGTGTTCCGAATGCCGCTGCGCATTATGACAAAATGACAACATCCGGAATATAAAATAATTAACTGACAGTGCTGTAAAATAGGTTTATCATTATTATATAAACCTACCACCTTTAACGAGAAAATGGGGATAATATGACAATAGAATTTTGGTCAAATCCAATACTTTTTAATCTTTTACTTATCACTTCTTACAAAGCAAATACCACTTAATTAGACTTCTCACCTTCATATAAATATGATTTTAGCAACGGTGTGTTGGTTTTTAAAGCAGATTTTACAAAAGTTATTCTTTCCAAATCACATTTTCAATGACCCCTGTAATCTCAGCAGAAATAATGATTCTACATGTATACACATAAAAAGGTGCTGTACGAATATGCTATTTAAACCAAATAGGCAGTATTTCATACACAAGTGTGCACTACAAATCAGATTTCCATCTCAATCTGACTGTTGTTTTTTGTTGTTGTTTTTTATAAATATTTCTTTACAGTCAACTAATTGCAATATGCGTTAATCTAAATGCTTTGCTGATAACATATCATTCTAAGCGGACTTTGACTATAACATTCAGATGTAAAAACTACAACAACAATTTTAAAAGGATTGGACCGTTGACTTAAATCTCTACCGAAGTCTACTCTTACAGATAAGCCGGGCACAAATTCTCGGATTGTGAGGTAGGTCCAACACCCGGCTTCTTAGATATGATAAAACCATACAACACCTACTTAACAAGGATACCATAACGGTATATTTTTTTTACAAAAATCATGTTTGAAATTATGAGCTAATAGAAATGATGAAAAATGATTCAATTTCTGACATATACGAGTATATATTACCTGATATATCCTGACTTGATTCTAAGGCTGTCGCAGTAACAACAAACGTAATTAACAAAACACTCCTGAAATATTAAAATATGATATGTTAATCTTTGTTATTTTATGTTATTAATCTGTAGATCTATTACATGATCAAATATTAACACGAGTTTAGATTGATCAGACATATTGCCATTATGTACACTTTAGTCAAAAATGCCGTAAAAACACCTTCTAATTATAATAATCTGCCAATCTTCACAGAAAAGACTAGTTTAAGATTAATTTAGTACAAACATTTAGTTAATATTTATGACTATGATTTATTGTAATTAATTCTAAATATTCGTACAAAACTGAATGAATAACTTACATGTTTGTGTGAAATAAATCCATATTTAAACAAGTTTAAAATCCAATGTATCTCAATGTACACAAATGTTAAAACTTGTTTATCTTAAGATTAAAGTCTGAAAGTGATTTGAAAATAATTTCTGTAGTCTTATATATATGATCCACGTGCTTTAATTTACAAATTAGCGATAAATTACTGGTTATTTTCTATTGGCTAAGCGTGTAACCGATTACCGGTCACGTGGTGACATCGCACCTTTAATCAGATACGTCCGCCCCGCAGGAACTTCTAACAGGTGAGATAAATACCGTGCTTAATTTAATAAATTATGCAATTAATTTAACACTTTAATCAAGTGTAGATTAATTATATAAACGGAAACAATCACATGCACAATTGAACAACAAATTGACCGTGTGTCAAAAATTGCTCACGGTCGTCTTCAGCGAATTTTGACCATAGTGTCGTGTTCTCACTAAAGTCACAGTTTATCCTGTCACAATGATGATGAATTTTATGGTTTTCGTATAATACACACTAATATATTCCTATTTTATATTTACGTACTGCGTATATAAAAAATACAGATTTAATGTACAACACGTATACAGTTACGGTGAAATATCATCAGAAAATGGCGCTTCATTGACAAGAACTGTCAGAGGAGATAGCACGCTCTACTGGTGTAGGAAGACAACAACAGCGGACACCTGAGTAAAACCACCAACCTTCCGTAAACTAACTTGATAGATTCCTTACATAAACCCTGATACAACGGCAAGGGAAAAGGTGATTTGAAGTCGGCGACTCGGCCACGGAGGCATCCCCACAATTTTGATACTGACAAGTAAAAGAAGTTCAGAACTAGAAAAGAAAAGACATTTTTTTACAAATACAAGTTAAAAATGGGAATTGCTTTTGAAGTATCTTGTCATATGTGACGTGTGTGGCGATTAAATTTTTCATGAAAGTAACGATAGAAATGCCTTTTTAAAATGTAAATTAATTCAATTAAATAACGAAAGCGGTTTATTATTTGAAATTGAATTTGGATTAATCTGGAATATGTATATCAGAAGTATGAATATTGTAATGGGGGTGGATATCAGGAATATCTGTTTGAATTCAGTAAAATATTAAACTATTTCATTTGCCGTTAGGAGTAAATTTTGAGATTTGTTCTTGAATTACTGTTACAAAATATATAAACATTGTAAGATGACGAGGACCTGGATGAAAGACAAGTATATAAAGGTTAAATTAGGGTGGCTAAATAAAACGGCATCATTATTTCTTCTTCTTTATTACTTTACTAGTACAACTCCGTAATCATATTTTCCATACAGTCGAGCTAAAATGTTACAATATAACACTAAACATATATTGCAAAATCAATGTCAGTACAGAACTTCATTAACCTTGAAAAAAATATATAAGCAACTGGCGTGTACTAAAACCATTATTTCTTTAAATGCATGTATTGTATTTCTCATTTGTTAGAGATTTCCAATCCTACATATCAATTATGAATCATGTAAGTGTATTAAAGGAATAAAATTACCTCTTGTACATTTGACTTTATCGTTAAGTATAGACAATTGTTAAATTTGATATCTTCAAAAAAGTAAAAGTACCTATCTATCTAACTTCCCATTCCATTTCCGAGAAACTGACATTTTTAATGACCTACACAAAAAAAAATGAGATAAGTGTGTGTCAAAATGTTTTATTTTTTTATTTTCTGTTTCAAAATCTCTTGATGACCGGCTGAGTTTTAGACCGGACAGTGTGATGGACGGACAAACGGAAGGACGTTCTAATGAAAGGTACTATTGTGACTACTCCATTGTTTTCCTTTTTTTCTTTAAGCAACATACAGAAAATAGCCACATCAAAGCTTACGGAAGGAAAATCAGAGTTATCTATAACTAGAACTATCACTGAAGGTGAAAAATACCCCTACCAACAACTTTGACTTTTAAAAAGATAAGTGGTCTGAAGAAAAATTTGAACTAAATCTACAGTAAATGAAGTATCAACTGTGTACACAGATTTATTTCAATTAATTGTAATCCCAACCAGGATCTTCATATAAACTTGCTGTACACCAAGTTTGAATACAATATCTCATTTCTAACTCTAGTTATTGTCCGGACATCATTTTTCCATTTTTAGTAACGGTGACCTTGACCAAGGGGGTCAAAATGCAATACCAACCGGGGTCCTCATATAAGCTTGATATACACCAAGTTTGATTACAATATCTCAATCCTAACTCTTGTTATTGTCCTGAAACCATTTTTCTATTTTTAGTAACGGTGACCTTGACCGCAGGGGGTCCAAAAGCAATGCCAACCAGGGTCTTGATATAAGCTTGCTATACACCAAGTTTGATTACAATATCTCAGTCCTAACTCTAGTTATTGTCCGGAAACCAATTTTTTATTTTTAGTAACGGTAACCTTGACCCAAGGCCCCGTGTTCACAAAGATTTAAGGATCAGGATCAAGATCAGGATCAAATCTAAAAACCCTAATATTCTTCATTGTTTATCCTCATAGATAAATATCTAATTATAAATTTGATAAAAATGGACTTGAAATAGCAAATATATGAAATTTTAGAATAAATAAATTGTTAATTTTGCAAGATATGGGCATTTTACAGTTGATCCAAATATTGATCCTGATCCTAAAATTGATCCTTATTTTGATCCAAATATTTTTGTATTTGTTTTGTTATTTGTTGATTTTATCCCAAAACAGTTTGTTTTCTTTGCAAATCAGCATATTTTTACATTTTGAATATTTACAATTTAATTCAACAAAACACAAATAATTTTAATAACATTAAACAATGAAAATAAAATCAGGATCACTTGATCCTGATCCTGGAACACGGGGTCAGGGGTCCAAATGCAATACCAACCGGGAGTTTCATTTAAGCTTGCTTTACACCAAGTTTGATTACAATATCTCATTCCTAATTCTAGTTTTTGTATGAAACTATTTTTCTATTTTTAAGTAACGGTGACATTGTGGCATAATTTTTGACACGTGGTGACACACCGGGTCTGACAATAAAACAGTCGGTTAAGTTTATAGCCGAATAAACAACTATAATAAATAAATAAATACTTTTATTTCCTCCAATATTGAAGAGCATAACATATTTACAGAGGTGAACATAGATATATACATAAACAAGTATAATACATATTAACAGAATAGTATATCCAACTTAGCATCGTTCATATAGTAAGAAGAGATGCATTAGAAATATTTTACATTATCCGTGTGCTTGTGATAAACATCATTATGTCACATAGATTACAGTAATTTAAATTAGAAATAAAAAAAAAAACTGCTTACAGCATTAATTTTTATCCTTATAACATTATGTTGGCATATCTGTCACATTTGACAAAAGTCTATGCGGACGAAAACGAAAACGTATAGACTGATGAGATGACAATTACATGATATCATGTTATATATAAATATAGTTATACTATTTAGAGTTGGTTCCTATTTTGTTAGTTTAACAAGTCCTGTATTAGGTATTTATTACACCGAGTAAATTCCGGCTTTTTGTTCATTATAGAGACCTGGAACTCTATAAGATTTCACAGTCACCCTCCATGTACCAATTTTTTCTAGTTTGTGCGGATCTTTAAGAGATTACGAATAGACTTCGCAACTCTATAATTGCGCAACGCTAGACTGTCATTATCAGATGCTAGCCGGAAACATTGCCAGCATTGTTCCTCAGGTGACAACGCAAGAAGGTCTATAAATGTTGTCATTCCGCATTCCTCAATGACGGAGTCCCACAATCTGATTATATTGTTGTTGTTTACCGTACAGAAGCACATCAAGTGTACGATTTGATTTTCGCAAAGCCTGTTGCATTTTCTACATGTTACAACATATGACTGGGACATAAAACTACCTATACTTTCCATTAAAAAAGAACACATATACGCCGTTTTAGGGTTGTTTCTTGATACATACCACAGCGTCGCTGGCAATGAATACTGGATTATTCCACATAACTCACGTCTTGACAGTATTAATCGGTTAACACGCGTGTAGGTTGCAGTATTTGTAATGGCTGAGCGTAAAGTAACTTTCCATGCATATTTCGAAGGGAATACGCCACTTTCTAAATATGAGTAAAGGACACTTTCAAGATTATATTTCTGCAATAGTCTGTATACATCGGGTATAAATCCACGACTCTGATTGTCAAAGTTCAAATACTTTATCAGTCGCGTAATGAACACTTGTTTTGCCAAATATTGGCAAGGCAGACGACATAATTGGCCTAAGAAATTTAGCTTTCTGTATTTTATAACAGTTACTATATCAAAATTCTAAATTACTTTCGCTTAACGCGCATATATATATATATTTGCAAAGGTATGGCCGATTAAGTTTTTTGATAGAGAAAAATTCTGTTTTCACTATTCATTACTGATCAAGTAGCATGCGCTTATAACAATTTGAACATAGAAAGATAGAGAAATTCTTATTTGTTTGTATTTGACTTTATTGTGGCAACATCGTATCAGTTACAATAATTCAGTCATTATTAAGTCAATAACAATATTGTTTATCATGGTAATTTTCAACAGTAGAAAAATGTTTTTGTTTTCATGAGTGTAATGATAAAGTTTTTAAATCAAACATTTGTTATAATACAACAATAACTAATCATATCGTCCTCATGAATGTCAGCTTCCCTCCTATCGTCAGCATAAACTAATTCCGCTGTATGTTGTGTCTCACATAGAGAGAATGCGTTCAGTGAAAAATATGACACGGTGTTTTCTTTTTCCGTAGTATGAACGTGACAGCATTCTTTTGGTGTGCGGGGTTACTTCGGCAGTCTGTTTCTGGTTTTGTAGTGAACCAGGAAAACGGTAGCGTTATTTATCTTCCGAATGACAGACGATTGACTTTCAGGAGCCGATACTTTTGTAGACGCTGAAAGAAATTATCACTATCGTAAGCTGCCATACCGGAACTCCAAAGTTAGCGGTTCCAGACGTGACTTCCGTTTCCGGTGCGTAGTCAAACTCGTCGTAGAACTTGTCGTAATCTTCAGCCTTCTTGTCTATTCCAACCATATAGTCTGCATTGTTTTCGTAACCTTCGACATATGATAATTTTTCTGCAAAATAAATAGAATTCATAACGGTATATTAATGATCAATAAAAATAAAAGTGACATGGTATACTATTATTGACATCGTATCATGAAAAAATGTATTTTAACATTGATTCTCCACTAAACGTGCAAATTAGAAAATATTCTGTCCCTCGAGTATATTTTGTTGCACTGCAGTTGAAAAATACTTTTTGGGCATTCCATTGCTTCATTACATAGTCATGTATGTAAAGCATCCAAATTAATGACTTAGTCTGTTAGATCTATACGAAAATATTATCATGCAAAGGTGCTGTATAACCCATTATGTAATGTCCCCAGGCTTGGTGCCTTTATTACTGTTGGTTTTACATATTTTCACCTGAAACATGTGTTGAAGAAAAATTGCTTTAGTATTAAGTTTTAGTTTAATTGTCTAAGTGAGCGATTTTTATTGTTTTCTACAGTGAATTTGAAAAAAAGTTACCAGCTGAAATGCATGTCCCTCATATATTGAACAGATACGTTACCACACTTCAGGTAAACCTGAGTAAGAGTAATATGAACTTGTAACATATTAATAGTTTGCTAATGAACTCAAGTTTTATCATATTTCATTATTCAAAAATAATTTTGACGACAATATACATGCTAGAACCACAATGCCTTTGCAATGATGAGGCAATTTGGATTATACTTTAAAGTGAAACAGATACGTTACCATGATATCCCACTGAGAAACATTTACTATTACCAGTACTTAAAAGTAGGATCGCATTTATGCATTATTCATATATATGCTTTACAAAACTTAATATTTCAATATATTTGGCAAACATGTGTGTATATCTGATATATTTTAGTTTTTTGTCCAACAGATACGTTACCAACAGATACGTTACCAATATTTATTGTTTGAATCTTAATTGACGATTTTGCTCAATTTTGAAATAGTTTCATGTAAAAAATCACAGCATAACGTACATGTAGCCAATGAATGATGCTTTGATCTCGATTTAATTGGAAAACTAAAAATGTGAATCAGGAATTTGAAATTCAAGGATTAGTTGAGCCAGTTTTCTAGAAAATAAAATGTTGAAAAACAGGAAAGAAACATATAAAGATTTACTGTTTTATTTCCTGGAATAAATATATGTTGATATCTTTTTGGTTTGCAAAATTTGTATTAAAAATAAAATGTAGAGGACTGTATAACTTCTGGTAACGTATCTGTTTATCAAAGTAACGTATCTGTTCAGAATGAGATTTGAGTACTGTTTAATATATATAACTAAATCTTCAACAAAACTTTGGTTAAAATAAGTAATATATGGTTAGGCAATATATAACAGCCCTGTAACTTTATGAAAAAACATATTAAAGTATTTTTAAATGAATGCCCGTTTAAGTTTCTAAATTTTAGTCAGGGTCGTATCAAGATTTTCTGTCTATGGTAGGGATGGACTAATTGGATATAGCTCAAAATCTTGGAGGTGCACATAATATATATGGATTGATTATAATACTAAGTTGGTTTTCTTTAAGCGGTACCATTGTTTCTGATATAATTTTGTTAAATGTAGATAAGCAAATACATGTACGCTTACTCATATCACGAAGTATGACAAAATCAAGGATCGAGATTGTACCAGTATATAAAGAAAAAGTATATAGAAAAAAATAAAGACAATTGAACAGCAGATGAACCAAAAAGACAACAGAATGTCAATTCACACTAGTCTATGTCAGAAACACTCACATAAATCTAGCTAATTAATATTCTAATTGATGAGTGTCTTTATTCAAATGTTCTTGTTAAGTTCAATCTGTTTCTTAAAGTCACAATGTTATTTGACTATTTGAAGCTACACATAAAACAATAAAACTTAAAAAAAACTTTAAATGATATTGTGTGTTCTGTTTAATATTAAAAGTACTGGTTCAGACATATCATTTATTGGTCAGTTGTTTAAAAAACTTTATGGATATCTATCTATGTGTTCAGGGTTTCATAGAATAACTGTGAAACAGATACGTTACTATGATTTAATATTTGTTTCCACTTAGCGGAATAAATTTATACTGTTAAGTAAATCCGAGCAATATTGTGTCAATAGATAAGTATGGAACATCAGTATTTTTATACCTAAAATGCTTAAATAAGTAACTCATGTATTTGGAATAAACAAGTCTGATTAATAAGTAACATTTTCATCAGCTCAAGTTCAAAAGCTATTCTTAGACGTAGATTTTTTTAAAATGCATATTAATGCATAATATTTTGTAATATATACTGGTGCTATAATGCTGAAAGAATGATAATAAATTTCTAAATCGTGTATATTCATGCTAATTATTTCTATCTAGTCTCTGAAAGCAATTGGAAAAATGGTAACGTATCTGTTTTTCTACAAATCTCGAATTCTTGGTAACTTAATTTCAGGAAATATTACAAGTTTTTTGGTGAAATGTTAAAAGAACCAGTATGTGTTCAATGTTATACATGAGTTGTACCAACTAAAAAAGGTGTCTGGGTAACTATTCGCAAATGTCAATTATTCACTATTACTTACAGCCTAATTTGAATGTTTAGTGGAGAATCAATGTTAAGCTTAATTCTTTAAAACGACTGATAATTGTAAAGCAGCCCAATCTAGAAATTTGAATTATGAGTGAATTTTATGCATGAAAATAATATTATTTTAAAATAATAAAACTTACTGCATCCATGAATTGTGGTGACTTTACAAGTCATTCTACCGTCGAAGCAATGGCAAAGGTGACAACCGGAAGCCATCCACGTTCCGTGACGAATACTTCCGCACGAGCGATGACGTACACGGTGCTCACAGAAACGACCATAGAAATTTCTGAAATGGACAAAAAGAAATTATGATACTGGATTACAAAACTTTTATTTTGTCCCTAAGATGATAAAGTTTTTCGCCGATGAGTATGGATTAAATGTTCCTGTAGATGTTAAAGAGCTTCATAGGGATTCTTCAACTAAAATTGATCCGATCAGTATCCATCAGATGATACTAGTGCAAATGTATGTTATTAACAGACAAAGTGTTATCAACAGGCCATGTAGAAAATATGTATACCATATTACTAAAATATCAAGACAATGTAATTATGTATGTAAACTGATTAATCATCGTATTCAATAAAGGTAGAAATTTACGGCAGTGAAAAAGAAGGTTAGCAAAAAAGTTATTAACGAAAGAGTAATTTAACTTTTTACTAATGAATATAAATATTAAGTGATATTTGTTGACATCGACAGAGGAAAAAACAACAACTCTGTTTGAATTACATTAAGAATATCAGCTGTACTTACCGTTTGCAGTGACAGAAGGTGTTCATAATGCATATCCCGCCATTTAAACAACAACTCTTCTTAGCGTCTGCTTCTACAGCTCCTTTCTTGCCAGCATCTAAAATATACAGATGAATATTAACAGAAATGCTTACAGTATTTAAGAAAAATATATTTACAGTAATATAATGTTAAGAACTGAACGGTGTACGTGTCCTTTTTTGTTTTTCGTCTATTTATTCATTTTCGTTGGTTTTAATCGTGACAGTTATATATTCATATATTTGAAAGACATATACGGCACTTAAATAAAGGACGTAATATATAATTTGTGATAATGTAAACAGAAAAAGTAATTTCCAAGGAACAAGTCTGACATGGTGATCTTTGACACATTTCATTTGGCAGATTCGTTTTCATTTAAAGACTTTGTATGAATGACACTGTCTACCACATTACATAGGGCTTTATAATTATATCAGACGAAAAATTCTAAAAGTGTGAGCCACATAAACATATATTTTTCTCACATCTTAAAAGATCAACGCCTAGCATGTAGAGAGATTTTTGGAATTTGCCAGACGAATGCTGTAAAAGGTGCGTAAATTAAACATGCGATAGGCATTTATTGACAGGTGGACACACACCGGGCCAAATCAGTTTTCGGACAATAAAACAGTCGGTAGAGATTCTGACATTATTGAAGCACTTTTATAACGGGTGTAATAAAATAATATCTCGGGTATTTCGACATATTGGGTTTGCAATATGAAAATTAATATTGGCAAATATCTAAGGCGAAGTATAAATCGTGTAATTATATGTTAAATTGCAAGCAGCCAGCCGAGATAATCTATATCATATGTATTCTGCAAAACTTACCTATAATGTTCTTTCTGTCTTTGTTATGAGTCCTTTTTTCTCGACTTGCTGCCCGCAAAGATCTTGCCAACATATCTAAAAGAGAAAATTGATAAAATTTAAGACCAGCTTCATCGTGTTCAATCTTCATTTATTCAATGTGTTGTAATGCGTGTATGACATACTGCACATACAAATAATTTAACCACTAAAACGTATGGCCTTTATTGTAAATTATTTAAAGCAATGGAGTAAGTTCAGTATAAGCATAGACCGGTAGCGGGGATATCTAATGGTTGTCTCAATATATTCAGAAATAGTACATCACATATTACTGAGCAGAGAGTCTATGCTAATCGCAACTTTTCGACCATTTTCTTCAATCTCCGGATAACATAATAGTCGAGGTGTTCCGAATGTCGCTGCGCATTATGACAAAATGACATCCGAAATATAAAAAGTGCTGTAAAATAGGTTCATTATTATTATATAAACCTACCACTAACATAATTAATCATTTAACGAGAAAATGGGGATAATATGACAATAGAATTTTGGTAAAATCCAATACTTTTAAATCTTTTTCTTATCATTTCTTACAAAGCAAATACCACTTAATTAGACTTCTCACCTTTTTATAAATATGATTTTAGCAACGGTGTGTTGGTTTTTAAAGCAGATTATACAAAAGTTATTCTTTCCCCATCAAATTTTCAATGACTCCTGTGATTTTAGTAGAAATAATGATTCTACATGTATACACATAAAAAGGTGCTGTACGTATATGTTATTTGACCCAAAACGCAGTATTTCATACACAAGAATGCAGAATGCACTACAAATCAGAATATTTCCATTTCAATCTGACTTGTTTTTTTTTGTTTTTTTTTAAATATTTCTTAAATGTCAACTAATTGCAATATGAGTTAATCTAAATGTTTTGCTGATAACATATCATTCTAAGCGGACTTTGATGCAAACATTCAGATGTAAAACCTACAACAACAATTTTAAATGGATTGGACCGTTGACTTAAATCACTACCGAAGTCTACTCTTACAGATAAGCCGGGCGCAAATTCTCGGATTGTGAGGTAGGTCCAACACCCGGCTTCTTAGATATGATAAAACCATACAACACCTACTTAACAAGGATACCATAACGGTATTTTTTTATACAAAAATCATGTTTGAAATTATGAGCTAATAGAAATGATGAAAAATGATTCATTTCTTCAATTTTTATGATAGAATTCATCTACATAATATATTACCTGATATATCCTGACTTGATTCTAAGGCTGTCGCATTAACAACAAACGCAATTAACAAAATACTCCTGAAATATTAAAATGACATGTTAATCTTTGTTATTTTATGTTATTAATCTGTAGATCTATTACATGATGAAATATTAAGATGAGTTTAGATTGATCAGACATATTGCCGTTTTGTACACTTAATCAAGATTATTCAGTCTAAAATGCCGTAAAAACGCCTTCTAAAAATCTGCCAATCTTCACAGAAAAGACTAGTTTAAGATTAATTTAGTACAAACATTTAGTTAATATTTATGACTATGATTTATTGTAATTAATTCTAAATATTCGTACAAGACTGAATGAATAACTTACATGTTTGTGTGAAATAAATCCATATTTAAACAATTTTAAAATCCATGCAATGTATCTCAATGTACACAAATGTTAAAACTTGTTTATCTTAAGATTAAAGTCTGAAAGTGATTTGAAAATAATTTCTGAAGTCTTATATATGATCCACGTGCTTTAATTTACAAATTAGCGATAAATTACTGGTTATTTTCTATTGGTTAAGCGCGTTACCGATTACCGGTCACGTGGTGTTAAATTGCCAATGACATCACACCTTTAATCAGATACGTCCGCCCCGCAGGAACTTCTAACAGGTGAGATAAATACCGTGCTTAATTTAATAAATTATGCAATTAATTTAACACTTTAATCAAGTGTAAGTTAATTATATAAACGGAAACAATCACATGCACAATTGAACAACAAATTGATCGTGTGTCAAAAATTGCTCACGGTCATCTTCAGCGAATTTTGGCCATAGTGTCGTGTTCTCACTAAAGTCACAGTTTATCCTGTCACAATGATGATGAATTTTATGGTTTTCGTATAATACACACTAATATATTCCTATTTACGTACAGCGTATATAAAAATACAGATTTAATGTACAACACGTATACAGTTACGGTGAAATATCATCAGAAAATGGCGCTTCATTGACAAGAACTGCCAGAGGAGATAGCACGCTCTACTGGTGTAGGAAGACAACAACAGCGGACACCTGAGTAGAACCACCAACCTTCCGTAAACTAACTTGATAGATTCCTTAAATAAACCCTGATACAACGGCAAGGGAAAAGGTGATTTGAAGTCGGCGACTCTGCCACAGAGGCATCCCCACAATTTTGATACTGACAAGTAAAAGAAGTACAGAGCCAGAAATGAAAAGACCATTTTTTTTTACAAATACAAGTTGAAAATGGGAATTGCTTCTGAAGTATCTTTTCATATGTGACGTGTGTGGCGATTAAATTTTCCATGAGGGTACCGACATAAAATACTTTTTTAAAATGTAAATTAAATCAATTAAATAACGAAAACGGTTTATTATTTCAAATTGAATTGGGATTAATCTGGAAATATGAATGCCAGAAGTATGAATATTGTAATGTGGATGATATCAGGCATATCAATTTAGTAAAATATTAAACTATTTCATTTGACGTTAGGAGTAAATTTTGAGGTAGTTCTTGAATAACTAAATACGAAATGTATAAACATTGTAAAATGATGAGGGCCTGGTTAAGAGACAATTATGCAAAGGTTAAATTAGGGTACAATTCCGTACTTCATATTTTTCCGTACAGTCGAGCTAAAATGTTACAATATAACACTAAACATATATTGCAAAATCAATGTCAGTAAAAAACTTCATTGACCTTGAAAGAAAATTCAAGTAAAAAATATATAACCAAATAGCGTGTACACAAACCGTTATTTCTTTAAATGCATGTATTGTATTTCTCATTTGTCAGAGATTTCCAATCCTCGATATCAATTATGAATCATGTAAGTGTATTATTAAACCAATAAAATTTCTAACAGTAAATTTGACTTTATCGTTAAGTACAGACAATTGTTAAATTTGATATCTTCAAATTTTCATCATATTAACATCAAAGACTGACTAACCTAAAACAAGTTGCGGGAATCTGTCTTAATTCAAAACGGTCTGTTTGATGGATAACAATTGCATTAAACTAAAATTACTTTTTCTAATGTATATTTCTGTCCATTTCCGAGAAACTGACATTTTTTATGACATACAATCTTATTTCAAGCTGAAAAAAATGGGATAAGTGTGTCAAAATGATTTCTTGTCGTTCTGATTAAGGGTGAACAACTGCTTATAGTTAGAAGTGAATACTTTATATCATTTTCTTTTTCAAAATCTCTTGATGACCGACTGAGATTTGGACCGGACACGAAGTGTGATGGACGGACGGACGGACGGGAGGACATTCTAAGGAGACGGTACTATTGTGGCTACTCCATTATTTTCTTTATTTTTCTTTAAAGTCTCATAAAGAAAATAGCCACATAAAAGCTTACGGAATGAATGAAATCAAAGAAAGAAGTACAGTTACCTATTGTTCCTGTAACAACATCCGAATTTAAGCTCGAACAGAAAGACAGACGCAGCCCATTTCTGTACCCCTTTTTTTCTTCGAAAATGCGGGGAGAAATTAACGAGAACAAGAAAATTCGTTGAATTTATATCCCCCGCCGAGTACTGGTTATTATTAACACAACACCTGAAGACATAAGGCTTTATTTATATATTAATCATGGCATAAACAGTAATATTCTTTGAACTTGATAAATATTCAGGGCAATAACAGAGCCATAACTTTGTGTTAAATAGTAAAATCTGGAAATGCCAATGAGATGTATGCATACTACATAACTAATCAAGGGCCATAAATCTGAGTTATAAGTATCTGACTGGAACAAGGCGACTATATGCACATCTCCTCTTAGTATCCCATAAAGTTTCATTGAATTCCAGCCAGTAGTAGCAGAGAAGTAGCGAGGAAACAAATAATTTTCTATATGGATACTGCATAACTAATCAAGGGCCATAACTCTGAGTTAAAATGTCTGACCCGAACAAGCCGACGATATGCGCATCTCCTCTTGGTATTGAAGGTTCCCATAAAGTTTCGTAGAATTCCAGCCAGTAGTTGCAGAGAAGTAGTGCGGAAACGATTTTTACTCTATATGCATACTACATAACTAATCAAGGGCCATAACTCTGAGTTAAAGTGTCTGACCGGAACAAGCCGACGATATGCACATCTCCTCTTGATATTGATGATTCCCATAAAGTTTCGTTGAATTCCAGCCAGTAGTTGCAGAGAACTACTCCGGAACGATTTTTACTCCATATGCATATTGCATAACTAATCAAGGGCCATAACTCTGAGTTAAAGTGTCTGACCCGAACAAGCCAACGATATGCACATCTCCTCTTGATATTGATGATTCCCATAAAGTTTCGTTGAATTCCAGCCAGTAGTTGCAGAGAACTACTCCGGAAACGATTTTTACTCCATATGCATACTGCATAACTAATCAAGGGCCATAACTCTGAGTTAAAGTGTCTGACCGGAACAAGCCGACGATATGCGCATCTCCTCTTGATATTGATGATTCCCATAAAGTTTCGTTGAATTCCAGCCAGTAGTTGCAGAGAACTACTCCGGAAACGATTTTTACTCTATATGCATACTACATAACTAATCAAGGGCCATAACTCTGAGTTAAAGGGTCGGACCGGAACAAGCCGACGATATGCGCATCTCCTCTTGATATTGATGATTCCCATAAAGTTTCGTTGAATTCCAGCCAGTAGTTGCAGAGAACTACTCCGAAACGAAATTCGGACGGACGGACAACGCCAAAACTATATCCCCCTCCCGATTTCATCGGCAGGGGATAAGAATATTGATTATGGTGCTTGACGACTTTAGTGCCAGTACTGGATTACACTTAATACTGTCTACCTTTTTGTATACATGTACGTGTAACAATTCTCAACATTGTGTGAAACATACTTATTATAACGCTTACATCAAGTCTGTCCAATCCAAATATTTCAAAACAAGGGTCGATGAGAAAGCATGTTTTTGTAAACTTAAAAGAAGTCACAATTTTTTGAAATTGCATCGTTATTTCTCGTTAAGATAAATTTAGATATCTGATTCTCCATGGCAACACATTTCATAACTACTGCTGAAGTACTCTCATTCAGACATTGATGGCAGACAGCATGTTACATGTTTCTTTAATGTACATGAGGTCTTTGGGTCTTTGGGTCTTTCAAGATTACATTACATAGTTCTAAATAAGTAATCTTTAAAGCAGCCAACACTAAACTAGGAATGGGGACTTGACTTAAAGCAGCACACCCCCGGATTTCATTTTTTTTAATTTTTTATCGCAGACTATGTTAAAAGTTCTGTCTTATATGAACATTTTAATATTGTTCTTTTTTTTTATAAAAAAAAGCATAAAACAAGTGCTGTCTCACTTGAAAATATTTAATATAAAATCTTATACCCTTATCATTAATTACTTATCATACATGTATTTTTTGTAAGTTTGACTATTTAAAAATTTACCAACACTTTGAGTTTTGGATGCATGTAGCTTTAATATTACTATATAGAAAACAGGAGAAAAATAAATCTCAGTTTATTTGTACTGATATATAATAATCAAACATTTCATCACCAAATATACACACATTGTTACAAAAACATCATCATTGAAAGACAGGATTTTCTTTGAAATATAATATTTAGTATTGTATAATAAATTTACAGTACAATACAGACAAAGATTGACAATACTTAACACAGATTTGTACCCAGAAATTTACATTAATATGTTGTAAAAAATGATTAATGTCTTAAGATATAAGTACAGTTATAAAATAGGTAATGTTAACCTTTATATGACATCGTTTTTAGTTGTTAACAATACAGTTTCTCTGAATGAATAAATAACCAACCAATGAGATAAAATGTTTCTGTATTTTATCATTCACACTTCCCTAGTTTAGATCTAAGTTCACTACATTACATGTCTAAATCTCCTGTTATTAATAATTCTACTATATCAAGGTAAATGGCGAATCAGCATCACTAACAATGTTGTTAACATCAAAATCAAGAACATGATTGAAATAAATATTGTAAACCCAATTTGTTTAAAGGTAAAAGAAACTTCTTTAAAAGTTGTTTTTGGTTTTTGTAATATTTA